CTTCGATAAAGGACGCGCCATCAAATTTTATTTTAAAATAATTTTTAATAGCGAGTTCAAGAGGCGGAAATCAGTTTTCAATATCAAAAACAAGCAATTTATTTCTTGAAAATAATCATTTGGATGAGTGAAAAGTCGTCTTAAAATCATTTGCATTAAAATAAAAATTAAAATTAAATCTAGATTTTCATAGAAGAAAACACATTTCAACAAGGAGCTTCGAAATTTTTATCAACTTTGAGAGAAAAAAATTACTATCTAGAAAATTCCCATAAGAAACAATGTTAATTTTCAAAATTTCAGTTCTTCCAATGAATTTACTTAATCCTGAAATCTAGAAACCATTGGTTAGAGAAAAATTATCTTTAAACATTACTAGGGCCGTTTTATTTTTCCTCAAAATCTCTATTTAAAATGAATCAGTGTCAAATTATGGAATCAGTTTATTAAATTAAAACTTTCAGTTTGTTTTGGAAATCTTTAATTTTTTTAGTTGAATATTTTTGTCTCATTTACACAAATTATAGTAAAAAATCTAATCAAAATATGTAGAAATCTCAAAGTGATAATTTTGATTTCCTTCAGTTTTAATTTTTTGTACTTCTAATTATGTGTTTGGCTAAGATTATTACAGGCGTGAGTGATAATTTCAGTAGTTTTCATTGTAAATATAATTTTCCACGAAAAAGAAATTAAATGTTCACGTTCTCACCAATAAAAAAATAGCAACTAAAGAACTATGATTAATTTTCCCTCCTTATCGTATTCTTAGAACATAGAGATGAAAATTTCTCATTCTTCTATGAATTTTGTGGTCACTTGTTTGAAAATCATTTTCAAAAATATTTCCATGTAATTTGGCGAAATAGTTTACAAAGACTAAAGATTGCTAAAAATCTCATAAAATATGAGTTTGCATTTTATAAAAGTTCTTCAAAAGTAAAATGTACACATCAAACGTCAAACTCGGACAAAAACAACAAAAAATAACAGTTTTACTTCGGATTTTCTTGTTCCTTTAAATTTAATTTTCTTAATTATTCTTTAATTTTAGTGCTTTTTGTAATATTTTCTGTTAAAATCCAAAATTAATGAAGTTCAAAAACATCAAGGCTTCTTGCACTTGACAAAAAATTTCCAAAAAATTTATTTTCTTCAAAGGAAAAAAACTTCTGATTCAATGACAATTTACATATTTTTAAATTTTGATATTATCTTTTTAATTTTTGTCTGAATTTATGAAGTTCATTTGATTTACAATTCTGAGCTCATTATTTCTTGAGTTCGCTCAAAGCGAAAGTGTTATTTGTGCTTGCCAAAACGAGCTCTTTCTCTCTTTTCTTTCTCTTTTCCATTTAATTGAAGATCTTCAAGTGTTAACAAGGTGATCGATCAGTCAATTTTCCAATATATTTGACGCGCGAATTTCAATCTGTAAGGAAGATGAAAATAATTTTTTTTTTTTTTAAATCAAATTTCTTTATTCGTGTAAAATATTGAAATGTTAAGAGGGATAATATGAAGATTTCGAGGTTGGTGCAGGTGCATGGTGTGGCCCGCGGCGTTTGAGTGACGGGACGCGGCCGGTCTCGGCTCGCCGTGGGGGCCGCGCGTATTTATAGCCCCCTTGCCGCGCGCACCACTGGAGCCGCCGCCGCCGCCGCCACACAAACCGAAAACACTTGGACCAAAATGATCGTCTTGAAAAAAACTTTGCTTTATTTTCGGCGAGCGAATCAAAATTCGGGCAAATTTGAATTTTGCTGCCTTGAAAATTTCTAAATAATTCGGCGCGTCGAGTGTGTTTTTCGAGGAGAAACGAAATTGGAGTGCGCGGCGGCGACTATTCTCGGCGAGCGTGTTGTGTACTCGCGGCGCGCTCAGACTCAGAGACACGGCGATGGAGAAAAGAGCAATTAAAAATCGTTTTGGGCCTAACGAGCCTGCCTGCCGTCAAAAGGTGTGAAATCGCGCCACTACAAAAGAAACAAAAGCGGCCAACGAGAAAGAGAAAGAAACAGTTTTGGCAAACACAAATATAACCCTTTTGCTTGGAGCAGGCTAAAGAAATAACACTCAGAATCAAATGAAACTCATAAATTCAGTCAAAAATTATAGAAATTAATGAAACGTTGTTAATTTAAAAATATATAAATTGTCATTGAATCAAAAAGTTTTTTTTAAACAAAATTAAAATATCTGCAAATTTTATTGATATTTTGTAAATTTAAATAATTTTTTAATTAATTTCTTCATTTATAGTGGAAACTATTAAATCAATTATGAATAATTAAGAAAATTTAATTTAAATCAACAAAAAATCTAAAGAAAACTGTAATTATTTGATGCTTTTGTCCGAGTTTGACTTTTGAAGTTGAAATGAAGAGATTCGATTGAAGGTTGAAGACTTGAAAAGGTTCGATTGAAGGTTGAAGACTGACCTCGTGGCAACTGGTGGTGCGGAGTCTGGACTCGTGGGCGTGCAGGGGCGGCTGCAGAAGCCTGCGCGCGGCGGCGCCGCCGGCGCCGCTGCTGCTGCTGCTGGCGGCGCGCTGCTTCTTCGAGTGCGCCCCCGTGAACATCATCGCGGCTGACACCATCAAGTCGGCCGCCCCCGACCGCCTCCGGGGCCGCCTCCGCGGCCGACGGAGCGCGGCCGACCTCCGGCCGCCGCCACGCTCATTTCGCTCCGACTGAACACTGCGCCGCGGGGCCCGTCGGCTATTTCCGGACTCGACCCCCCCCCAACCCCCACGGGCCCAGCGACGCCCGCCGCAGACCGACGCGACGCCCTCGGACCCGAACGCAATTCCCACCACAGGCACAGGCCGTTTTTAATTCTACTCGCGCCTTTTTTAATTTAATTCTTTTTTTCTAAAAAATCAACATAAATTTTGTTAAAATTTGATTTTTTTTTAATAAGATTAATTGTTTTTAATAATTTACCTGGCAAACCATAATATTATGTTTAATAAAGGTTTTAATTCAGGAAATTGTTAGACAAATATTAACTAAAATATTACTTTTTATAAGTTATTTATAGATAATCAAGACTGCCATCTTAATTTGCAGGTTCTTAATTTTGTCTTTCCCTCATTCTTAATGATTTTTATTTTATCGTTATCATATATTTTATAAATAAATTATATTTGTTATATAAAATAATTTAATAAATTGAGTATATTGTTATAATTATAATAATAATTTTTGAAAACGATAACAAAATTATTTTGTTAATTGAATTCGCACAATAGTGACAAATATTAGCAATTTATTAGTAAAATAAAAAATATATGATTAAATAAACTTGAATTTTTATTAAACCTTATCAATGAGTGCTTTATTTTTTCCTTGTTATTTTCATTCTCCATATTTGCCAAAAAATCAACATGAATGCACGGACGAAATAGCCAGGCACATCCTATGTTAGCAGAAAAAATCCCTGAATAACCTGAATCATACTTTTTCCTTCAATTTCTTCCTTTCGCAGAATTTATTTGAAGCAAAATGGAAAATCTACTTCAATGCAACCGGAAAAAACGATAAAACTGTGTTTGTTGAGTCGAATATGGAATTCTGAATGAAGTAAATCACGGCTTTGATATGAATACATTTTATTCATTTATAATAATCTTAATTGGTCTTTTCATTCAGGCAAAAATGTTGCCTGATCAAGGATCATTGGTCTTTTTACTTGTAAGCGCAGCAAATATTTTTATGTTTTCTGCACAAGCAACCAAAGGTAATTAATTAGTATGAATTAAATCGCAAAATTGACATAATTTGCAGTCGCTTTGCCCGCGTGCCCTGTTGACCTCGGCAAGTGCTACGCGTGCAACAAGAGCGAAATATTTTGGCAATGTTTCTGCAAATCAAAAAACTCAAATTTGCATCCTGACTTGCAATACTGACATCGGACAACTGAATCTCTACGACGGAAGAAGTAAGAACTTTGTCGGAAGATTTGAGATTTCAATTTTGCATATTTGCAGCCGGTGATTTCATGTGTCCTGCCAAAATGTGCCCAAAGAACGGCCGCTGCAGCCAAAAAACCATCAGGAAGGACAACTGCGCCAAAATTTTGAAACTGCAATCTCGAGAAATTATGCAAAAGCTTCACAAAAGTAAAAGTTATTTTAAAAGAATAAAAATTTTGTAAAATAAGTTTTTTAGACGAACCGAGCAGAAAACCTGGCGACTGCACCACCGACCTTTACCAGGTCAACCCTTGCAAGCAAAATGCTCCATTTAATTGTTTCTGCCCGGCCCTGAGGAGAAATGTCACCATTCCCAGCGGCTATAAAAATATCTATGCCTTTTTCAACCAGACCAGTGAGTTTAACGAAAAGTACTTTGAATGTGAGGAATTTAAATCTGAAATTCGCCCAGCTGGACTTCCACTTTGTCCTGATGTTGAAATTCCTCAGAATGAATGTTCTTGCCTGGCGAGCGTAAAAAAGGCCTGGTGCCTCCGACAGGGTTTCCTTTCTGCAAATTCTGAAGCAAACCGCAAAGGTCGAAAACTTTCTGCGAGCAGCGATTCGAAAAGTGGAAAAGCAGCTCCTCTAATCTTCGAGGTCAAAATTGCCCTACTTGCTGCGGCCCTGATTCAGACGTGTGCACTTATTTGGCTGATTCCACAAGTCATCAGGGAGGGCCGCCGATGCACACCAGTAAGACCAGAGACACAGCAGCGGAAAATGCAATTTACACTGAAATCAATTATTGACTGTCAACATTTTTTTGGAATAAAAACTTATCATTTATTACAACTTATTGGTCATAATTGAAGTAAACTATGAATTTGAGATTTTATATTTTTTTGTAAATCAATATTTCAAATTACATATTTATCAAGCATAAAATACAAAGCTCAAAAGACGCAGAAAATTGAATTACTCGCGTGTTGCTTGAGCTTGGAAATACCAATCGAGACATTTGATTAGCACGAGGAAGTGACCGGACTTGAAAACTGATTTCACCGACTGATCCGGAGAAAACGCAACGATGCCTAAGCGCGGCTCGTTGGCTTTTCCCCTTCAATTTCTGACAATTATCTTTTGTTTCTCACAAATAATTTCTATACAACAAACCAAAGGTAAATATCTCTATTTATTTTTACTCTGTTTGCTCTATAATGAGGCTTTTTTTAGTCAATGGGTTTCGTGAGTGCCCCGTCGACCTGAGCAAATGCCACCCTTGCGACACTAATTGGCTCTGCCGCTGCAATTCATTTAAAAAAAATATGAATCTGACTTGCGACAACAAAACAGGGCTACTGAATCTCTATGACGGAAGAAGTGACAAAATTATTTATAAAACTAATTATCTCTTTTCATAGAAAAAACAACCAAATGGTTGATTATAACAAAATCCTGGTTTAATAAATCTCATTTTTTTTTTCAGCTGGCGGTTTGATGTGTCCTGAGAGCAAAGAGCTTTCTCAGTGTCGATTCTATCATCACAATGCAAGCGACAGACAAAATTTTGAAATGTGCTTTGAGGCGATCAGGAAGGACACCTGCGAAACTATTTTAAATCTTCCATCGACTGATGATGGAAACAAAGAAAATATCATCAGTAACTTTTCATTACAGCGTCAAAATGCGACAAATTTAATAAAAAAATGTTTTTATAGAGAAACCCAACATAACTTTACACGAGTGTCCGACCGATCTTTACAAATGCAACAAAAGTTCATCATTAAATTACTTCTGCCCATCCCTCGGAAGAAACATCACCATTCCCTGCGGCTCTAGAAATATTTCCGCCTTTTTTAACCAGACCAGTGAGTTCAATAAAAACTAATTTTTAAGATTCAAAATATTCAATTCGCTCAGCCGGACTTCCACTTTGTCCTGATGTTGAGATTCCTCCGAATGAATGTTCCTCCCTGGCGACCATCAAAAAGGCCTGGTGCCAACGACAGGTTTTCCTTTCTTCAAATTCTGAAACTAACCGCAATGGCCGAGAACTTTCTGCGAGCGATGATCCAAAAACTGAAAAATGGACTCCTCGGAAGATATTCTTGGTGGTCAACCTGGCCCTTCTTGCTGTGGTTCTGCTCGGGATTTGTGCAATTATTTGGCTGATTCCCAAAGTCATCCGAGAGCGCCGCCGAAGCTCCTCAGACACCAACAATCAAACAGCGGAAAATTCAGTTTATGCGGAAAATCAAATGTGATCGAAAAAAACTATCACAAATATTAGGATGTTTATGAAAAATATATAAAATTCCTTATTTGGTTAGTTCCATACTTTTTGTATAATCAAATGAATGAAAAATTTATATTTTGAAACACCCTCTCCGGTCAAATGTATTGCTCTCTATTCTGAAAGATTGTTAAATTTCGAGTATATCTTTTGAAAACACTATTTGAAAATTCCAAACCGTTGCGTCTCAATCAAAAGAAAACCTAAATACGAGTGATTCGCGCGAAAAACATGTGAGAATTGAGTAGCCAATCAGATTAATCAGTTATGTCCAAAAACTGCAGGTTTTTGTCACTTGTGGCGCTGCGATCGCTGATTTTGCCAAGTTTTCTGCAGCGCCGTGGGGCAATAGTGGCAAAATCAGCGATCGCAGCGCCAATGTGACAAAATTCTGTAGTTTTTGGAACAAACTGATGGATCTGATTGGCTACTCAATTCTCACACGTTCTATCGCGTGAATCACTCGTATTTAGGTTTTCTTTTGATTGAGACGCAACGGTTTGGAATTTTCAAATAGTGTTTTCTCAAGATATACTCAAAATTTAGCAATCTTTCAGAATAGAGAGCAATACGAATGACCGGAGAGGATCTTTAAGATGTAAATAACATAAAAGAATGCGACAAGATTTAATAATTTCTCATCTAATGAATATAGATTTTGCAATAGTTAACAATGTGTGCTTAATTATACTTTTAATTTGTCTATAAGTTTTGGAAATTATATTCTTACGAAACAACTATTTTGCATGATAATGGTTTTAACTAATCAATAATGTAAATAAACAAGAAGAAAGGGGCCTCGGGCCCCTTTCTTCTTGCCAGTGAACCCTCAGATACAACACCCTGGGCAAGGGCTTGCCGAGCTCGGGGGCTCAAGAATTTTTTATGCCGAGCTTGGTGGCTTGAGAATTATTTTTCCGAGCCTCGTGGCTTGAGAAATATTTGTTTCTTGATTGTTTGCGATTTTATGCGATTACTGTAAATATTTACACCTTACTTTTATGCTGAAAGTGTAATATGTAATAATCGAATAATGAACCTAATGAACAGATCAAAAAGGCTAAAATGAAACATAATTTCTAATTTGTATTGAGTAAATTAATAGAACAGATTTATTATATAAAAAGTATTTCTCTTGCCAAAATGAATATTATGGCAAAATTATAGGCCAATTCACAACCACTAGGCGAAAGAGAAAAAAATCCCCCCGCACGGCCATGCGGATCGCCAAACGCCGGTTGCATAATGACTATTTAAATCAGGCGCGCGGATGCTTGTTTTTCTCTCCCGTCCAGCACTCAATTATTTTGCGTCGAAACCAACGCCGGCGAATATCACGTCGCCCCGTCGGCGCCGTCGGCTGCCGCGTCCCGTAACGGAGGCGAAATTGAAAATTTTGTCACGTTGGGCTCCGCGAAATTTCGCGGCGAACCTACCGAAGTGATCAGAGCGGCGGACGAGGAGGGTTTGGCGCAGGAGGGTGCGGAAAAAAGGGGCCTGAAAACGCAGGTTTCTGGGCCGCGGCGTCGACCCCGGGGGACAGATCGGCGCCGCCGTCTAGACGGGCACGGAGGGCGCCGTCCCACGTCGTCTGAGGCCATTCACGTCCGATCGGGAGCGGCGGCGCCCAAGAGGCCGCAAACTTTGAGGGGCCGGCGGCGCCGAACGCGGCGCCGCGGGTCGGTTCCACGGCGATGAAGGTTTAGCGCCCGACGGTTGGGTGACGATTTTTCGAATTTGGGCACTGGTCATTCATTATTACATAGAAAATGGATATTATATATGTATATAAAATGATTTATTGCAGGACTTGGAATGAAAAATTATTTTTCTCATTCGTGTTACAAAGGAGAATTGCAGAGGGGGAAATTTTCAATTAATAAATAATAATTTATAATGTAAATCTTACTTTAATGTTAAAATATAAAACCTGATAAAAGCTTTTTTAAAACACGAAAACAATTTTTTTCATCTTCAGTAACTAAAAAAATTACAAAAATATATATGCAATTTTCTATTGAATTAAGGTCTTATATTTTTAAAATTACATTTAAAGAATGCATTAACGTTTCACATCGTTCAAACAACATGATAATTTTTTGCTTATTTGCATAAATTGCTAAAATCAACTCTTTATTTACAATCATTTTATGCTAATTTAAAAATAATTATTTTTCATTATTATCGTTCATAATAATACGCGCCACATGAACCAAAGTCGGTGCCGTTGCGTGTATTATAAATTTTGCTCAAGAAGCGAAATTTTATTGTATATCAAGTGCGTCAGCAGTTGAGATAAGTTTTGAGGCAAGGAAGTTTGTTGCTTTTCCCTGCAGCGATAACAATTGAATTAATTAATAAACAAAATTCAGAACAAACTTAATGTAAAAAAGGATAAAAAAAAGAATGATAAGCTTCGATAAAGCAAAGAGCATTGATACAATTTCATCTGCGCCCATCAATATGATCTTTTGTTTTTTTTTTCAGCCTGAAAATTAAAGGGTGGCAAGAGTTAGTTTTTCAATCTTAGGGGACTCGCCTTTTGACGCAGAAAAATAATATTATTAAGATTGTTTTTTTTTTTTGCAAATAGGAACACAAAATTTAAGTTTTTCTCATATTGAGGTTTACTTCAGGCTTTTTGATGGATGAAGTGAGAAACGTATGATTTTTCATCAACTCCATTTGCCTGATTGACACATAAAATGCCTAAAATTTTTATGAGCTTTGACAACACCATTTTTTAATGTAAAAACCAACAATTAGCAAACTTGGACATTGCGAAATGTTTTCTCAAGTTTATATTTTGTAAAATACAAATTAATATAAAGGGCGGGAGCTCCAAAGAACAGGAAAATCGAAATAACAAATTTTCAAGTCACGAGTTTTGGGCAAGCTTGATTGGAATCGAGACATTTGATTAGCACGAGGAAGTGACCGGACTTGAAAACTGATTTCACCGACTGATCCGGAGAAAACGCAACGATGCCTAAGCGCGGCTCGTTGGCTTTTCCCCTTCAATTTCTGACAATTATCTTTTGTTTCTCACAAATAATTTCTATACAACAAACCAAAGGTAAATATCTCTATTTATTTTTACTCTGTTTGCTCTATAATGAGGCTTTTTTTAGTCAATGGGTTTCGTGAGTGCCCCGTCGACCTGAGCAAATGCCACCCTTGCGACACTAATTGGCTCTGCCGCTGCAATTAATTTAAAAAAAATATGAATCTGACTTGCGACAACAAAACAGGGCTACTGAATCTCTATGACGGAAGAAGTGACAAAATTATTTATAAAACTAATTATCTCTTTTCATAGAAAAAACAACCAAATGGTTGATTATAACAAAATCCTGGTTTAATAAATCTCATTTTTTTTTCAGCTGGCGGTTTGATGTGTCCTGAGAGCAAAGAGCTTTCTCAGTGTCGATTCTATCATCACAATGCAAGCGACAGACAAAATTTTGAAATGTGCTTTGAGGCGATCAGGAAGGACACCTGCGAAACTATTTTAAATCTTCCATCGACTGATGATGGAAACAAAGAAAATATCATCAGTAACTTTTCATTACAGCGTCAAAATGCGACAAATTTAATAAAAAAATGTTTTTATAGAGAAACCCAACATAACTTTACACGAGTGTCCGACCGATCTTTACAAATGCAACAAAAGTTCATCATTAAATTACTTCTGCCCATCCCTCGGAAGAAACATCACCATTCCCTGCGGCTCTAGAAATATTTCCGCCTTTTTTAACCGGACCAGTGAGTTCAATAAAACCAGATTTTTAAGAAATAAAAATTCGATTTCCTCTCAGCCGGACTTCCACTTTGTCCTGATGTTGAGATTCCTCCGAATGAATGTTCCTCCCTGGCGACCATCAAAAAGGCCTGGTGCCAACGACAGGGTTTCACGTCTCTTAATTCAACCACAACACTGACTTCCCTCAGCCATGATGAAGAGCCGCAGAGCAATTTCACTCTGGTCGCCTCCGTTGTTGGCACCATCGCTCTTTTCAGCTTTATTGTCGGCGCCGCCTTTTTGTTTTGGCGCCGCCGACAAGCCACAAGTGGCGCCGGAAACGAGTTCGAGATGGTGGAGAACGACATGTACGGCTCAGTCCCTGATCGTCCAACACCGCCCACTGACGACGACGAACCTCTGTACGAGGCCCTCAGCATTCCTCATGAAAAGGACGAGAATGAGGAGGTTGAGAATAACGACTTGTACGGAACTTTTGAATAATTTATTTTGTACGTCCTGATTCTTTAAGAGAAAAAGTTAATTGCTATTTTTCATATTTGATCAAACTCATCGGCTGAAACAAACGCCCAAGTGGGAAATTTTCAAATTTTTCGCCAGTGTCAAAAGTACAAAATTTTCAATATATTTCACCTCAAAAATTGACACTGATTTAATTTTTTTTAATTGGCTTGCGGAAATTACTGCAATGAAAAGCACAATTATTGATAAATCAAATTAATTTAAAATACTTAAGTAAAAACTGAGAGTAATAAATAATAGCAATAAATTTGTGAATATTTTTATTTGGACAGGTTTCTCTGGTTTAATACAAGTATTTTTCACATTTTTCTATTTTACTTGTTTTGAATTTAATTTTTTTCCAATTTTAAAATAAATTCAACTTGCTGAATAAAAAATTACCTGGTGTGGGCAGTATTTGACGAACGCATTTAAATCAATTTTAGCGATAATTTTGACGGAATTCAAAGAACTATTTAATTTTAATCATTATAATAATTTATATGAATTTATTATCAAATTTTCATATAATATAAAAGGGCATTAAAACTTTAACCTGCCAATATTATTTCACCACACAAGATGATTATGTTTTTTTGGCACCTTTTTAGGGATTTATTTGTTTATATTCTTACATGTCATAATAACCTTAATCAAGGTGTGGAAATTATAAAAGTTTGGTTTCTCTCCAATATGCTTGTCATACAAACACTTTTTTGAAACAAGGAAGTCTGCCGTATTTTTATCACTGATAAGCCTTTATGCATTTCAAACATTATTTTCATGACAGTGAGATTTGTTGACCAAACTACCAAAATTGAGGGAAACTGAAACTATCTGCAAATGTAAAGATGAAACCCTTCGGATCGTTCGTGGTGAGATCTTCATACTTTCTTTACTTGCTTCAAAATTTTTTTCAAGAAAAAAAGTGAAAAATTGTTTATGCCAATGTCAGAATAAAAAAAATCAAACATGTTTGATGAAACTGTGAAGAAGTTCAGCCTTTTTGACGGAAGAAGTGTGACAAAATATATTTTTACAGTTAAAGGCGGCAAGATGATCTGCGCTGAAAGAGAAGTAACGAAAAATGCACTAAAAATTGCACCGCTGCAGGAATATTTTGGCTGCGCAATTTTTGTAAGAAATGTGCATCCTGGCGAAATTTTCTGCAAATATCTTTCATTTCAAAAAAGAACAAGGAAAACGTGAAAATTATTTATCAGCATAATAAAAGAGGTTGACAAAAACATTTAAATAAGTTCATGAAAAAGAAACACCTTTTCCGCCTTTTCCTTCAACAGACGAAACGAATTCTTGTCCCACTGACCTCAGCCCTTGCAAGATGCACGAAAATTGCTTCTGCCCTGCCTTGAAGAAGACAAAATCGAAATTAAATGTAGCTTCGGAAATTTCTCCCACTTATACTTTGACGGACGGAAACAACGAGTTAATTGTTGAAAACAAAAAATAGCATGAAAATACTTTGTATTTTTGCATTTGTGCCCTTTTTTAATGAGTGGCTTCTCCGCCGAGCTCGCGTCCAGAAAACAGGCTTGGTGCGAATTCCTCATTTCCTCGGCGGCCGACAATTTGAAAATCACGGCATCATAATCGGCGCCGCTGCAGGTTCCCTTCTCTTTGTTGGCTGCGGCGCCGAAGAAACACCGGCGGCCGTCCGGACACTGTCCTGAGGAGTTTGCGGAGGAAATGAAATGTGCGGCCGAGAGCAGCGCCTGACCAGCAGAACGATCTCTAAGGAACTTTTGCTTGAGAGATCAAAATTTATAGTACGCGCGACGTGTTTCCCAAAATCCCTGATTTCAGTTGGCATCACTTGCATTACGTCGCGCGTTCGATAGTGGTTTTACGTCGCGCATACAATAATGGTTTTACGTCGCGCGTACAATACTGGTGGCGGTATAATAGTTAAGAACCGATTATTCCATCGATACCTCGGCAACATGTTGTATAGCACGCGCGACGCAAATATTTTCCTACAATCTCAAATTAGGGGACTGCTAGGAAGAATAGGGGCCCTTGGGATGGGTTCAGAATGGGGCAAGACGACCTCCGGAGGGCCGTGCGCACCCTTATAGCAGGCGCGACGTATGTTTATAGCACGCGCTACGCATGCTTATAGTACGCGCGACGCACGACTAATTAATTATTATACAAGGTGTTGCACGCGGCCGGAGTTGTGGGCGCCCCACGAACCGGCAACTCGGAGGTGGGCAACCCCCAAGATTAATTTTTGCAGAAGCCGCGAGCGAGGGGTGGAGGCGCAGCGAGGTCGAGGACGTGGGGAAGGCCGTGCGGAGGGCGAGGACAAAAGGGCGGCTGTGTTCATGAGGGGGCTCCGCAGGAGCCCCCTCACGATCCCCGCCCTTTTGTCCCGCCCGGAGCCGGCCTTCACCACGTTCTCGGGCGAGCGCGCCTCCCGAAGCTCGCAAACCCACAACGGAGTTGCGTACAAAAGGAATTGTCTGCAAAAAGGGCTTAGAATGCAAAAAATGTGGTGCCCACAACTCCCTTTGCAGACAACACCTTTTGTGGGCAGCTCCGTTGTGGGTTTGCGAGCTTCGGGCTGGAGGCGCGCTCGCCCGAGAACGTGGTGAAGGCCGGCTCCGGGCGGGACAAAAGGGCGGGGATCGTGAGGGGGCTCCTGCGGAGCCCCCTCATGAACACAGCCAAAAAAAAGGGCTTTTGTCCTCGCCCTCCGCACGGCCCTCCGGAGGTCGTCTTGCCCCATTCTGAACCCATCCCAAGGGCCCCTATTCTTCCTAGCAGTCCCCTAAATTGAGATTGTAGGAAAATATGGTATCGATGGAATAATCGGTTTCCTTAACAATTTCACCGCCACCAGTATTGTACGCGCGACGTAAAACCATTATTGTATGCGCGACGTAAAACCACTATCGAACGCGCGACGTGATACTTTTACATGGGAGCATAAGTGCTGCCAACTTATGAAAAAACACGTCGCGCGTACTATAACATTACCCAAAATGTTACCTCAAAACTCTTTCAAAAGTTGCTCTTTTTATATTTTAAAAAAATGCTGTCAATTTTTTGCTTTTAATAACTATTTACAATATTCATATTTTGTTTATTTACTATAAATTAATGTACAACAAGTAATTTTTGTGTACAATATTGAATTTTGAGCAAATATTGAGAACCGCGGTTTGCATTTTGTTTTTATATGCATGATAGAGACAAAGATTTCTATACTGCTGATCTTTTCAGCTCAAAAAATTTTCAGAATTATTGCCTTTTGCTAGTTTTATTTTTGCTTTTTTTCAAAAGCACCAACCAAATTGCTCAAGCTTTAAGTTAGTTTAAGAACAAAAGAAAACACAAAACATTATGTCTGCAATTTTGAATATTAAATTTGACTTTCTGGAAATATTATTCAAAATTATTAATGCTTAAATAATATAAAATTCAAAAAACTGTAACAAATAATATAATTTGAGTTTTGCTTACCTGGCACGGAGCTGGTTGAGTCTTAAATTGATATTGTGGAGACTTAATTTGAAGAAACGGCTGCACTTATCTTCTGATTTTGGAGCACTAACACTTGCAAACGTCGTCAGGGTTTGATTTTGAGCGATTTTGAGACTTGGCAAATCAAAAGCAGCGCTTTCGGCCTGTGGCTGTTTTTGGCTGTCCTAATAAAAATTTTTTAAGCGCTCAACTATCACCAGTGGATCGAATGAAGAGTCTGTGAGTCATAAGAACTGTGTACACTATAATTATAATGAATTAAATTCCTATGCACATCAACGTACCCATTTTAGAAAACTCGATTCTGCCGCATTCTTGCTGCACGAAACATCGTCTCTGGTATTTTCTTGCAACAATTTTCTTGTATTTACAAAACACAGCTGTTGTTGGCACGCCCCTGTCCCTTCCCCTCTTCTCTTGATGATGGGATTTCCCCTCCACCTCCAGAGTGAATTTTGCGCCAATTTGGATTTCTCCAGCTGTTATCTGCTGTTATCGTGGTGTTTTTTGTCGTTTGATCGGTTTCAAAACCAATCAACCATCGTTTAAGGCTTTTAATCTGATCCAACCTTAAAGATACTCTGAGAAATCTCTGTGGTATTATTTGGGAAGCGTAAGTAAAAAACTAAAACTGATATTTTTCGCCTTAACACAAACCTCCAAAGACTTTTTTGTCTGTCTCATGCCGCCGCCGCTAATATAAAAAATCCATTCCTATGTATTGTATGCAATGGGGCGGCTATTCATACCAGTAAAATAAATATTTTCCGTAAAAATAATTTCCGAAGTTCCTTTCTTGTACTGAATTGAGAGCGAGAGTTTTGATTATTTATCATAATTACATTATTATGCAAATTTGAATTACAAAAAAAAAATAATAAAAAAAATCATTTTTACTTTAACAGACTCTGCAGAGTGAAATTACTGGAATCATGGCAAACGAACTAGAGGAAGCTTTAGAAAGGCATTACTGGGAAGATGAATTGTATGGAGCTCGAGAGAGAAAGTTGAAAGCTCTCGAAAAAGGTGAAGGAACAGATTGCGTTTTTGTCGTTGGTCGTGATGACTCGGAAGTTGAGGTGTGATATACCGACATACATAGTAAAACCAAAATTTTTTCAACAATTTTTTAATTTTACAGGAGTTTTACGGCAATAAATTTGACTTGAGAGCTGCGAGCGAGTACTTCGAGGTGCTTTTCAGAAGCCCCCTGACACCTCCGGGGCCCATCCGAGTGAAGCACGTGGAGCCCCGCATTTTCAGGATGGTCATTGAGTAATTATACGAGCTTTAATTTATTTTCAAATCCATTATAACTTTGCTTGTCTTTATAAAAGGTTTGCCCATTGCCACAAACTCTTCAAACATCCTGCCAATTTGGAGGAGGCGGTGCTGTTGGCCAGGTCAGCCGATGAGTTTTTGATGACAGAGTTGGACATTGTCTGCAAGACCTGCATCTCAGTATTCCTCAAGGTGGATCAAGTGTGGAAAATCTACGAGATGAACAACTTGTGTCATTTGGTGGCCAAATCTTGTCAAGAGGTTTATTATTAGTAATATATTGATTATATTATAATTCTAGCAACATTTTTCAGTTCTTGTGCAACAAAACATTAGCGTGCCTGAATCACCCAACATTCCTTGAGATTAAAACTGATACCCTGATTTCATTTTTGGCCTGCGGTGGAAAAATGAACATCAATTCTGAAGCCGACCTTGTCCAAGCGTGTCTCAACTTAGCCAACACAAAGAACAGTGACGATGAAAAAAGGTACTTAATCAAATAATCAATGCAGAATTTTAATTTCTTTAATGCGAAAACAAAAAAAAATTCTTTATTCCCTAGGCTTTTGATTAGATCTGCCCTTCCACACCTGCGCTTGCTTACCCTGGACGAGGGACAAATTTCTGCGCTCTCAGATTTTTTGACAGACGAAGAGAAAAGTTTCCTTGTTTTCAAAAAGCAACCTAAACTCTCTCCGCTTTTCCCTACTGGACCTTCGGCACCTGAGAGAATTTGTCAAATTAAAACATCAAGGTGCGGAGTGAAGACCTTCACCCTGCGTCCTGACCCAAAGCCTCTCAGGTTGAGGGAAACACTTCAGACTGAAAACCGTATGGAAGTTGGCGACCAGGAGTGCTTCACCATTTCCTTCGAGGCCAGCAAGTTCATGGTCATTCGTGGCTTCGACATTTTCTGCAAAATGAACGACCCTCCAAAAACAGTCTTCATCGATTTAACAGATGACCAAAATTTGTAGGTTTAATATTCATTTCAATTTTTAAAACAATTAACTTTCTAATGGTTTATAATAGCCTGTACCTGGATTCCTATGCCAAATGTTTTGCTTATGACAAAAATCTTGACGTCTCTATCAAAGTGAGGAGCTGCGACTTGAAATTTTCTGGTGCAAAATTATCATTGGCACCCACCACTCTCAGGCCTTTTGTGACCAACTCTTGGGTTCACTTTAACCTGAACGTCCTCGTCCCTGAAGGAGGCACCTTTGAGATGAGTGTCACTTTAAAAGAGAGTTGCTACTACAGATTTGACAAGCCATTGAATGTTGTGGAGACTGAAATCCCCAAGTGGAATGATCCTGATTCCTTGAAGCTCTTCAAGAATATTAAATTTTCAGACCTGTTTTTCAATACAGATGACAAACTTATTGAAGCCCCACGGCATCAGTCTCTTACTGTGGTTAGAAAGCTCTATTACACCCTGATTTAGATTGCTTCTGTCTTCACTTGTCATACTTGTTCATTTTAGGGACTTTAATTTTGCAAAAGTTTAACACCAAAATTATCTCTATGCTATATCTTATACGGTAAATTGAATTACAACAGACAGCAGAGACCAATTTTATCAAATAATAGGAGCAAACAAGCAAAAATCTCATCTAGAAACCAATATGTAGCACTAGTAAATTTAATTTATTATGAATGCTTTTGTCAAATTTTGTTTTTTAGTGTCTAAGAACATTTTGAGACGTTTGTAAAATTGCAGGCTAATTCTACCTGCAATTAAACAAAAGATTTCTTGAATAGATATTATTGCGAGCAATTATGTTAAATAAATTACAAAGATTATGAGCAGATGTCTGTCAATCCAAGTGAACTTTGGCAGGGTCAACCGATCATTACCAAATTTTACAGGGTGATAGACCATATTAAGAGGTTTCCAAACATATATAGGTTTACCCCAATATCTCAAAATTTCCGGGTTTTACGGGCCATTCAAATTTGGATTTTGAAAATTTTTAAACGTCTGTATCTCGGCTTTCCGTGGTCGTAGAACAAAAAACTTGGGTGCTTTGGAATCCTCTTATTGCCCTCTACAACTTTGCTTTGAAGTGCAAAATAGTAGGTCACAGGTCAAGGTCACTTCCGGTGACCTCGTGACCTTTGACCTCAAATTTGAGGGTGAGCCGTCACTTTTTTCAAAATTCTGAGATAGCCATTTTGTAGATCGCAAAATTTTACGTAGTATAAGAGAATAAAAAAAATGGGACCCCTCTTAGTTTTTTTAATTAAAAAATAAAACCAATAAAAAACGTGGTTTTCCGAGCTCTGAACTTGGAAAAAAAACTTTGAAGCTCTGTAACTTTTTATGTGTTAGAGATAGGTAAATTGTTTCAATGACAAAAAGTGTTTATTTTTAGACGGGCTATCCAACCATGTAACACACATACTGATCAGGTCACAAAAGGTCATTGACCCTGGTGACCTGTGACCTTGAAATAATTTTGTATGCAAGTATGATACATCGTTGGAAAGAGGACATTAAGAGGATCATTTTGATACCCGGAATTTTGTAGTAGCTCAAAGAGGAACGAAGTTATTAACGTTTAAATGTTCTCCATAATTAATATTTTTCGTTTTTAATTTAAAAAAAACTGCAATAACTCCGTTCCTATTTGAGCTACTACAAAATTCCGGGTACCAAAATGATTCTCTTAATGTCCTCTTTCCAACGATGTATCATACTTGCATACAAAATTATTTCAAGGTCACAGGTCACCAGGGTCAATGACCTTTTGTGACCTGATCAGTATGTGTGTTACATGGTTGGATAGCCCGTCTAAAAATAAACACTTTTTGTCATTGAAACAATTTACCTATCTCTAACACATAAAAAGTTACAGAGCTTCAAAGTTTTTTTTCCAAGTTCAGAGCTCGGAAAACCACGTTTTTTATTGGTTTTATTTTTTAATTAAAAAAACTAAGAGGGGTCCCATTTTTTTTATTCTCTTATACTACGTAAAATTTTGCGATCTACAAAATGGCTATCTCAGAATTTTGAAAAAAGTGACGGCTCACCCTCAAATTTGAGGTCAAAGGTCACGAGGTCACCGGAAGTGACCTTGACCTGTGACCTACTATTTTGCACTTCAAAGCAAAGTTGTAGAGGGCAATAAGAGGATTCCAAAGCACCCAAGTTTTTTGTTCTACGACCACGGAAAGCCGAGATACAGACGTTTAAAAATTTTCAAAATCCAAATTTGAATGGCCCGTAAAACCCGGAAATTTTGAGATATTGGGGTAAACCTATATATGTTTGGAAACCTCTTAATATGGTCTATCACCCTGTAAAATTTGGTAATGATCGGTTGACCCTGCCAAAGTTCACTTGGATTGACAGACATCTGCTCTTATACATTTTTTAGCCTTATTTTCTGAAAATTATATATAAAATATAATGTCAAAACTAAAAAAAGCAGGTTTTCAGTTTAAAATTTCAAGATTCTCATTTATAGTATTTTTTTGGAACATTGACCAACAGATATTGATTTTTTTTTACAATCAACCTTCCTCAAAGGACATCACAGGGTGCACAAATTTATTGTTAATAATAATTTCTTTTTTCACCACAAAGAAACAGTTGTGTAAACTTTGCAGGCCAAGAATTAAGAATAAATTGTAATTATAAAGCTAAGTCGGTTAGGTTAAGGTATATCAATCAATTGATGCAACCAAAATTTCATCCGAAAGCCTTATATTTATGATTAAGTATTATTTTAGGCATGTTTAAGCACGCATTTTTGCACTTTGTTCTTTTTTTGTCAGAAGGTACATTTTTTGAAAAGGATTTTACACCATAATTTTTACTAGCTTCATTGAATAATATCAATAATCCTTGCATCCATGGGTGCAACAAATTAATCAAATTTATCTATGATTATTATTATCCATTCCTCTCGGTCAATTGATACAGAAATTGTAATTTGGAAAATTTAAATTTCTAAAATTTCATTTTTACCTTTGCCGGCAGAATGCGCTGATTCCGGCGATTGCGGGGGCGTGGTGTGAATTTCCGTCAAAATCGCAATTCGCAAAACAATCAACAAAGAAACTTCGCGTTTTTCGGCCGCCTAGAGGCCTTGGAGCAGATTTTTAGGTAATGTATTGCATTTGCATGGATTAAAGAGCTAATTTAATGCGATACATCTAGGATGATTGGCGTGAAGAATTTCATACAGACTAGCTGAATATTAGCCAGTTTTTGTTTTCAACGATTGTATCATTTTGTAAAAATGTTCTCTTGCTGTCAATCTATAATATTTGCATGATAAAAAACCAAAACCACACGTTTATTTACATACATAAAATTTAATTTCATTTATTTTGCAATGTTAATATACACTTTTCTCAACGTTTATGTAAATTTAGTCCCTTTTAATAATAATAATTTCTGTCCCCACAAACACAGCACACAAGACGAGAGGCGAGAGTGGTGGTGAGAGAGGAAAGTCATGGAAACTAAACCTGAACCAGAGAAAGAGAAACATTCTGTGGAATTAAAGAGTGCTGGGAATAAGAAACTTGGAGTAGCTCGAGAGAGAAAACTGGAAGCTCTGGAAAAGGGAGAAAGAACGGATTGCGTTTTTCTTGTTGGCAGTGATGAATCCACGGCTGTGGTATATAAAACCAGAGATATTTGTGTATGTAATTTAAATAATTGGTTCAGGCAATTCACGGCAATAAGTTTGACTTGGAAGCTGCGAGCGAGTATTTTGAGGGACTTTTCAGAAGCCCCCTGACACCCCCAGGGCCCATTCGAGTGAAGCACGTGGAGCCCCGCATTTTCCGGATGGTCGTTGAGTAATTTCCCAAGCATTTTTCTCAATGTTAGTGTAATTAACCATATCCCTAAAAAAATTTAGGTTTGCTCATTTCTTTCAACTCTTCACCCCTCCTGTCAATGTGGAGGAGGCGGTGCTGTTGGCCAGGTCGGCTGACGAGTTTTTGATGACAGAGCTTGGCACCGTTAGTGTGGAGTTCATGTCACAATACCTTGATGTGGACAAAGTTTGGAAAATTTACGAAATGAACAACTTGTGCCGTTTTGTGGCTGAACCATGTGAAAAGGTATAATTTTATTATGAAGTTAAATTGTTAAAACTGTTAAGAAACAAAAAATTTCAGTTCTTTTGCGAAAGAACAATGGAATGCCTGAACCACCAATCATTCCTTGGGATCAGCAAAGAGACGTTGATTTCATTTTTGAAAATTAGTGCAGAAATGGACATCGATTCTGAATCGGACCTTGTCCATGCTTGTCTTAAGCTAGCCAGTGCAAAGAACAGTGATGATGATAAAAGGTAAGATAAATACAGAACTTTTGTTCTTTTGTATGTTCTAAAACCAAGAATTATTAAACTCAGAAAGTTGATTCGGTCTGCCCTTCCAAACCTGCGCTTGCTTACCCTGGACGAGGAGCAAATTTCTGCTCTTTCAGAGTTTTTGACAGACCAAGAAAAAACTTTCCTCTTTTTCAAAAAGCATGAACCCCATCCCTGTTTGCTTTTTCCTACTGGACCTTCTACACCTGAGAGCATTTGTCCAATTGAGACACCAAGGTGTAGAGTGAAGATGAAGACCTTCACCTTGCTTCCTGACCTGAAGCCCGTCAGCTTGAGGGACACTCTAGAAGCTGAGCACCGAATTCCGGTACAAGACACGGAGGTCTTCACCTTTTCCTTTGAGGCAAGCGAGTTCATCGTCATCCGTGGCTTTGACATTTTCTGCCAAATGATCGACCCTCCTGAATCCATCTTGAGTAATTTCAAAGATGAGAAAAACAGGTATCAGAGCTATTTTTAAATACTTTTTAATCTATAATTAATTTACATATTATTTCTACAGCCTGGATTCATTTGCTGAACATATCGCGTATGACAAAAATCTAGATGTCTCTGTCAAAGTCAGCAGCTGCGATATGAAATATTCGGGTGCAGAAGAAAAATTGGCACCCACCACTAGCAGCCCATTTGTGACCAACTCTTGGGTTCACTTTGGCCTGAACGTCCTCGTCCCCAAAGGAGGCACCTTTGAGATGAGTGTCACTTTCAAAGAGAGTTGCTACTACAGATTTGAGAGGCCATTGAGTGTTGTGATGACTGATATCCCCAAGTGGAATGATCCTAGTTCCTTGAAGCTCTTCAAGAATATCAAATTTTCAGACCAGTATGTTCAAGATGACAAACTTGATGACGCCCCAGAAGATCAGGCTCTTACCGTGTTTAGGAAGCTCTACTTCACCCTGCTTTAATTAATAATTGCTACACTTTATACATGGTTTGCAGCAATCTCGGCACTTGTTTTTGTTTGATATATTTCTGAAAAAGTTAACACCATAATTGCATTATAACTATAAATTGGTAAGTCAAAGTGCAACAGCCAGGAGGGACGACCAAGTTAATAAATAGAAAGAGCAAACAAAATGTTATTCGCACAAAAAATTAACTTGCATGTATCATTTACAATTGTCTGTATACCTGCAAACTAATTAGTTCCACTAGCAAAGGACCAAGTTTTTTCACAAAAGTAAATAAAAACAAAAAAAAATAAAAGTTCAACATGAATACATAGGTTTTATTTCTTCCAAATCTACAATTTGCACAAAAAAAATTTATATTGTATTATTTTCCAGAACATAGAATCTGCCTTAAAAGGTCTTTAGTTTAATATATTTCATTCCATTTTAAATTTAAATTTTTTTACATCCATCAACAGCTATATTGATTAAACTTCTTTTACCATCAACCTTACTCGAAGGACGTCAATGAGGGTTAAAATTTTAATTTATTTCCTTAAATTTCATTTTTTACACCACAAAAGAGAAAACAGTGATATTTAAAAACTTTGTAGGCCAAAGGGTATAGGGGCTCAGTAGGGCACGGAGCTCTCGGGGTCGATGGTGACGTCGTCGTCGGCGGTGCTGCTGTTTCGGTGGCCGCGGAGGCGCAGGGGCGAGGAGAGGGGCGACGGCCAGCCGGAGCCGCCGGCGGCCAGGTACTGCAGGCCCTCGACGGACAAGCGCTCGACGCCGTTCGGACCGCCCTTGCGTCGTTCGGCCGTCGCTCGCAGCGTCTTCCGCTTCTGCAATCAACACAACACACGCACGTTTCTTCCGCTGTCTTGTGCTTTTCCAAAAATATATGATTCAAACTCCGCATGCACAATAAAATATAAAACCGAAATTAGAGAGAATAAGAGAAGATTCAAAAATCAACCACACACGTACCGAGAGCAGGGGAGAATTCGAAAGAAAGAAGAAACGGAAAAGTCGGTTTGCCAACAGGACATTTTTATTCTCATGACCGAAGCAATCACAAACTTAATCAGAATCTCACGCATGCCTCCGACGATGTCACATTTATTTCCAAAATTTGACATTTTTGAGTTGGAATTTTTAAGTGTTTTTTTAATATGACAGATGGAGTGAGGAAATGTTAAAAAAAGGAAACAGAGTAATAAATTGTAGTTGAGATAGAAATTTTAATAAAATCTTTGCATATTAAGGAAAAACTATTTAATTTAATATTTTTGAACTCTAGAAATGCCATCAAGTGTGCTGGGTGCTTTAATTTGAAAGACCTTTGATGATTTTCCCCGTTAATTCGTCTCCTTGTAAAAGTTTAAATTCATTTTTATTGTCATCTACTTTGGTATATATAATATTAAAACTGGTAAATCGTCCTCTCTCTGTTATATAATAATTATGCAGCTATTTCAAAAACCTTATTATTGGAGTTGTGGCCAATTGAGCAATATTTGGATCAAATATAATATCTCTGCGTTAAAAGCACTGGAGGGACTTTTATCTTCCTTTAATTCCTTTCTAGGGATCACAAAATTCTCTCACGGATTTTTACTCCAAATACCGCTGGCTCTGATTGCAGTTCAAATTTTAATTCTTTAATTATAGGAAACACTTTAATTTTTGTTCAACCGAGGCCGGAGGATTGAAGTTTTATTCCCTCGCCAAATTCCATTTTCTTTACTGGCTACTTTCTCCTTTTTACGTTTACTTTGGTGTGACGTTTCAATATAATATATATTCTGAGTGTGTATAAAGCACCATGCTGCGTGTTTATGCAAAATAGGATGCACAGCGAAAATTAAAGTGAAGCTCGGAAAAGGAAAAAGAAATTCATGCGACTAAACGTTGAAAGCAAGCAAATATCATATTTGAATAAAATTGCCACACAGATTGCTAATTTTAAACTAAATACTTATAAACATGCACTGCTAATTTATCAAGCTAAAAAGCTTTGGGACTATCTAAGAATGATTGATAGGAAATTATTGGCCTAAATGTTGTTTTAAGAGTTAAAAGTGAACAAAATTTTGGGCAATGTTTTTGAAATTGCGTTTTTTGAAAAATTCAAAATTGGAAATAAATTTGCCTCTAGTGGGAATTTTGATCTGCTTCATTTTCCAGCGAAACTTTTTATTCTGAACAACTTTCCTTTGAAATTTATTGTAGGTCAAAAAATTGCAAGTTAAAGTTTGAAGTCGATTTTTCTAAAAAATAATTGAATTAATTCTTGATCTTATTTGTCTAAAGCTATAAAAATTTTACTCTTGGTGGATGATTTCCAGAATGGCATTATTTTAATTTTTTCTGCAATTTATGGCCACAGCGGCTTTCGATACTCGACTTTGGCACATTTTGGTATATTATGTAAAATTTTATAAAATAAAAGGAGTTACCTTGTTGGCTACAAGTTTGTTCAACAATTCACGAATTTTTCCAATATTGAGCACAAAAAACCATATATTTTTTTTTTAACTTTGGCCCAAAATTTCAGAAAATCTTGAAAATAAGCCAAGTTACTAAAATGAAGCAAAATTTACTAAAAAATACTAAAGATTGTTTGTTCAGAATAAAAAGTTCCCTAGACTGCAAAGAGAACAGATCAAAATTATCATCAGAAGCAAACATATTTGAATTTTGACTTTTCTTTAAATGCAAATTAAAAAAGTCTTTGATTTCTATACAAGTATACTTAAATTAATTACAGGACCAAACATTTAGGCCAATTCAATCATTTTCGAACAGTCCCCTTGTGTGTATTTTTTAAAGACATCTTTAGTATTTGAGACAAATATTTGATTATTTAGTAGCATATTATTTAGTTTATGAAAAAAAAGTGATTTAAATGATGAGAATGTCACAAATTCCTCTCTTTTTCTTTTCTTTCTTGATTTAGCATAATTTTCAAAAATTATTTTTTAGTTGAACGTGTGTGTTTTAGTATTTGCTGAGGATGTGGGCGCGAATGAGTCGCCGGCGGTGCTTTACCTCGATCACGCCGCGCCACTTGTCGGCGGCGTGGCGCGCCAGCTCCATCCGCTTCTGCTTGCGGATCTGGTGCTTCTTGTAGGCCATCTCGATGACGATGAGGGCGACGCCGCCCACGATGCCTGCGCCCACCAGGATGAACACGCCGGCCATGTTCTTGAGGCCGAGGGTGTTGGGCGTTTTCTCGTCGCCCTCGCAGTGCTGCGTGTTGCCCAGGAAAATCCACTTGCTGTCCAACGACTCCATGAACCCGCCTGAGTGAGTCAAAAGTCAGGATTTTCTTTTTCAAAAAAAAAGAGGAAAAATATTTTTACTTTCGTGGAAGTCGAGGATGGCCAGGGTGACGGCGTCCGCCCACGGAGAACCTTTCTGCAAACCGATGCCGTATCCTGAGCGTCCGAAAAGTTCACCCGCGGTCACCAATTCGCAGTCCTGAGCCGCTTCGAACTCAAGACGAGAACTGTCCCAGATGAAAGCCATCAGCTTCCTAGAATTTAATTTGTTGAAAATTACAAAATCTGCAGAGACAATTTGCATAAAAACTGGATAAAGATTTAAAAGAGAAGTAAAAATGGCATAAAAGATTTATTTAATAAAAAAAACTAGTTATTTAAAATTTTATTAATTTTTAAACAATATTAACAATCATAAGTTATCTAGTTTAATAATTTATTTCACTTTTTGAAGTATTTAAAAAATTGAAACTTATTTTTATAATTATCCCTTTAATTTTCATAGTAAATTTATTTAATGATTAATTTTGTACCTGTTTTTGACATCTTGAATGGCCTGTTCGGCGGTGTCATAGTTGTTTGCCTCCATGGAGCGGTACATGTTGGACAGTTCGACCTGTCTGCGGAAGTACATGTCCACAGCTGAGCCCTTGACGGTGGCGCAGGTCAGGTTCTCCATTGTGTTTCTCAACTGCAAAATAATTGAGTTATTCCACTTTTGTGAAACATTTTTAAGAATTTAAGTAGCAATATAATTAAATTGTAAATTATAAAAAAAGCCTGTTTTTAGGTTCATAATTCATCTACCATTAGAATATTGATTCCATTTTAGTATTTAAATTCAATAATCTCTTTTTCTTTACTAAATATGAGAGCGCTGCAAATTAAGATCTCGAAACTTGCGAGTTTGTGCAAAATTGAAGTAAAAGTCTTAAAAGAAATATGCCAGAAGAAATGAAATGCCCACAACCGTGCAAGGCCCTCCGAGGCGCTCCGATGCCCATGTCCTGTGCATTGGTTACTTGTGTTCTGACTTCTGACGTAAGATATTTCCCACAATAAAAGTTATTTCTTCTTTACATTTTTGTAGATAAAAGAACACTATATTGAACACAACCCTGTTAAATTTTAAATTGAGAGGTAAATAAAGCAGTAAATTTATTGGTAACTAGAATCAATTTTTTATAAATCTGTACACTTGGTAACAAAGTTTTTCTAGGGCTGGCTCCAAACGCCTCGCGATATGGGCTTCGGAGAACGCCTCGGAGTTAAAAATTAAATTTCCAATCTATTCGCTATGTTGAGAAAAATGCAAAAAATTTTTATCCTATGTAAATAAATTTTATATTTCGACTTAAAGTCTTCCATACGAGAGCAATAAAATTTCTGACACCATGAGGCCTTTGAAAGAAACTGTGCAAAATTTAATTGGCTACTTTTTTTTCTCAAAAGTTTATATTTCTAAAAAAACGTCACATCTGCATATAATTTCCCCAATTGATTATGTAGTCGCTTGCACAAGATTTGCAGGGAAAGCAAATTCAGCCACGTTTATTGAGTTCTTTCCACTCAAAGTCTCAATTCATCTGGCATATTTCCTACATTTTTAGAATTTGGCAGTAAATTGAATTAATCAAAATTATTAAAAAATTAAAACAAAGAAATAAATGAAAATTTTTGGTCTGATTTTAACAGATTTTTTTTTTTTTTTTTTAATTTTATAGAAGTTTTGGCGCTTTCTTTTAATTTTTAATTGTTTTGCTTCATTGCCCTTATTGTTAGATATTCTTCAAGGACTGAAAGCCTCTGAAGACAAAAGTTTTTATTTAAACCTACCTATATAAATTAGGTTAAAATTACCATCTGAAGGCTGAAGGTGTTTTATATTATTTCGCTCAAATTGAATTTAGGAGAAGAAAAATTTGATAAAAATGGAGGTGTTTTTCGTTACCCTGGCGTCGTTGATGCCGGTGAGTTTGGTCTTGGGGCGCTCGAGCACGAGGAAGGCGGCGAGGTTGGCGGTGTAGGAGGCGACGATGATCATGGCGAAGCCGGCCCAGACCATGCCGAGCACCCTGGCGGAGAAGCTGCGCGGGGTGCCCTCGCCGATGCCGCTGTTGAGGAGGACGCCCCACGCGAACCAGATGGCGCTGCTGAGGTTGAGCGCGTCCTCCTCGGTGCCGTCCGAGTTGGCCAGCTTGAAGCGGCCGAACGGCGAGAAGCGGTCCAGCAGGTACAGCACCAGCGCCACCACGTGCACCGACACCATCACCAGGATCCACAGGGTGTTGCTGAACGGCTGCAGGAAGGACACCAGGGTCGAGCTGCGCGACGGCTTCTTCTCCAGGATCGTGATGCCCTGGTACTTGAACGGTTTGCTGAACTCGATGAACTCGGCGCGCTCAGGGTTGATGGTCAGCGGCGCCACGATCATGTCCGCGCGGTCGTACACCAGCTCCCCTATCAGGCCCGTCCACTCCTTCTTCCCTCCACCTGAAAATTAGGGTTTGAAAAAAAGTTGATTCCATTATCATGAAAACTACCCGAGGTGTTTTTGATGATGTGCGAGCCAAACTGGCCGTCTGGAGACAGCGCCAGGTTGAACGTGAAGTTGATGGTCGTGGAAAGTTGCATCAGAAGGTCGATGCAGTACCCTTTGCAGCAGTAGACCTTTTCCGTCTCTTTAAAAAACAAGAAGAGTTGCATTTAAATTTCATTCAATATATTAAATTTTCACCGTGTTCTGACGTGGTGTTGAAAAGTGGGCAGCGAACCTCGTCTGGCAAACACTCGAGCGCGTCCAAACTTGCTCCAGTCAATTCTCGGACGTAGACAAATGGCTTTTCCTCAATGGTCAGCACCTTGTTTTTTTTTCATTCATTATTTTTATTTTAAAAAATTACAACTTTTTAGTAAAAACACCAACCTTGAGGTGAGTGGGAAGAATGAATCCCTCGGGCTTCTTCCGTTGGCGTCCAGGCCACATGACCTTCTTTTCGCTCAACCTCAACGACATCCGGTCCAAATCCTTTGGAAAAATTACAAATTTTGCAAAACTTCCAAGTGCAAAAAACCGACCTGGTGGAAAAAGTAGCGTCCGACGGAGACCAGTCTCTGATCCTCCTGCACGTTGATGATTTCGAACTCGGCAAACATTCGGTCGCCGTTGTCGTCGAACGCCACCTTTCCGGTCGCCCCCTTGAACAACACCTGCTTCTTGATGTACCTGCGATTTTTAAAATTAATGTTTGGTACAAATTATTATAAATTCTGATTCAAAGACGCACTCAAACAAAGTTTTGCCCGTCTCCCAAATTGTGGCCGAGTCGTCGCAGTTTGCCGGCGCCTCGGTGATGTTCACCGTCCGGTTCATTTCTCTGATCGCCGACGCCAAAACGTAACTAAAAACGGTGAAAAAAGTCAGAAATTCTCTTCAACTGAATTTTTGAACTTATTTGAAATTATACACAAAATTATAAGCATCTGACTTAATTAAAAAAGCAAAAAATCGTTCTTCATATATTTCAGGGAAAATGGATTTTGTTTCAAATAATCAAACTTGATTCATTTTTCATGGCCCTGATTGAATTCCAGAAATCTAAATGATGTAAAAAAAAATAATGTACAGAAATTTTACTAAAATTACTTTTTGAACTCTATAATTCAACAAATTAATTCAAACTTTATCAATTTAATATGAAGAAAAAATTTTATATTTTAACAGAGACGGCATCACTAATTCCACACAATTTACAGGTTTCAATTGAAACGAATTTTGAAATAAATTTCAGCACCAAATATAATGAATAACAATTAATTGATTTACAGAATTGATTATTTACAAATTGGCTGCACTCACATGCTGTCCTTGATGTGGTCAAACTCGTGGGTGGCGTTGATGAGGCTGAGGGCGAGCGCCCCCTCGGGCACGTTCTTCGCCTGCAAAGCCTGTTCGGTCAAAATCCACACATGGCCCGTTTCCGTCATGTTGAGCGCGGCGGCCTCTCTGAAAATCACCTCCGCGTCCTCCTTCCTATAAATAATTGTCACTTTAAAAATGCTCCATTTTTTATTTATTCAAAATTAATTTAAAATTTATTTTAATTTTTGTTTTAAAATTCATAAGAATTTGTTTAAAAGGGGCTGACCCTGCGTAGAGGAGGTAGACCCTGGCCTGGGCGCCCTTGAGTTCGTGCAGCTGCTCTGCAAAGCTGTCCAAGCCTGGCTCAAACTCAATCACTAACTCAACCTGAGAAGAGGGATTTTTAATTAAGAATTAATTTATCGGCGATTTTTATGAGCAAATTTAGGGACTGAAAAATTAAAAGCACTTTTGCCCAGTGTAATTCTGCAAAAATTCACGCTAGTCTGAAAATTTCACCTTTATCGAGACACATTTTTTTAGAGTCTCGCAAAAGTACCTTTGAAAAGTGGCGCATTTTTTTTTTTTTATTTTTTTTTAGTAATTTTTCTATTTCTTTGTACCAAAATAAGACCAAAACCATTCGATGTCAAACTTAATCAGGCTTCAAAGCCTTTTTGCCAAGTTTACCAAATCCTGAAAATTTTTGGTGCTGAAAATTTAAATTGTTTGAACAAAGGTTAAAGTTTCGGCACTATTTTATTGGTTTCTTAGCTCTATTGGAAAACATTTCAGAGAAAAATGTTTCATACAAAACTTTTATGAAATTTAACTTTGAACACTATTTGTATTTAGCATTTTCTTCCAAATCCAAAGTGGCAAAAGTTATGAATGCGCAAAAGCTGAAAAATGAGGTGTTCAATGTTAACCTCGTGAACACTCGTATAATGCTAATTTTTTTTTATAAAAGGATAAAAAGTAAGAATTAGATTAATTTTTTATTTTGCATACCAATATTTTTAATTTTTAATTAAAAGCACATTGGCCAGATTTTCTAAAATTAACATAAATATTAAGATGAAGCACGTGCGGCATTTTCCGTGCTGCCAGCGCTGCCCTAAGAAATGGCTTCTTACCTAAATACGACACAAAGCTCCTAATAACCCGATCACTTAGGATTAACCACGAACCAGATTTGAGACTTTGAGAGCGGCGAAATGGCAAATAATTTTGTCTAAGCGGCAGATTAAGGCCTTTTATTCCTTGCCTCCGTGGGTCTTACAAAGGGTTGGTTGCAGGCAGCGAACAGCGAACAGCGGGCGCGAGCGGGGAAGGGGAAGTGGAGCAGGGGAAGGGAAGCGCGCTGCCCTCACTCTCCTCGCTCGCCTGGCTGGCGCTGACGTCACAATTCTCTCCTGATCCGAGCCGCTTACGTCACAATTGACACAAAACTTTTCATCTCCCCGACATCCAAGGAGAGAGTTTGAGTTGCAAACTCCTTGACTTGTCCTTGACACCCTTCGAACGACGGACACGCCCCTTTCTTTCCCGCTCAATTCGCGATCAGTCGCCAAAAGGTAAACACGTGTTTTGTGATGATCCTTTTTTACCGCTTCATCTCACCAGCAGATTCCACTGAACGGATCAAAAATGTTGCTAAAATTACGAGTTTTTAACGGAAAAAGTTACGACGAGTATTCCGTGGAGATTTCAAGATCGAGTCACGTTCATCAACTGCTGGAAGAGGCGAGTCGGATTCTCAACGTCGCAAGCACCAACATCGACCTCATCGTCCAAGGTCAATTTGTAAGTATTTTGGTAAAATTTGGCTTAAATTGAAATAACTCTGCACTTTTTTCTGCAGATGACCAAAGATAGTCCATTGCTGATTTACAAATTGAAGGATTTAGATGTCGTGGGCGTCCGAGTGAAGAATAAGCAGCCCCTCTCTGCCCTCTCTCCTCTCAACAAGGAATCGACTACAGAAGCAGTCAAAGATGACAAGGTCCAAACAAAGCCTGAAGCACTCAAAGCCAGTTGCTCCTATTTTGAGGTAAAGAAACGCAGTAATTGGCCATTTTACTAACTTCAAAACTTCAACTTTATTGTGCAGCCCGGAGACCTTCTGTACTACAAAAACCCACAGACGGGTCAGTGGCAGGAAGGTGAACTGGTGTCCATTGAAGAAACCGCCAATGAAAATGAATCACCTAAGTCAGGAATTAGTGGGAAATTTTCTTACACAATCCATGATGGATTGTAAGTTTATTTTTGATTTAAAAAAAATACGATATTTAACCAAATTATTATTTTTAGCAAAAGCGAAGACTTGACAATGCCTTTGGATAATTTGCTTCCCGTTGGAAATGAAGAGTATGGTGCTTGTGACCTGAAGCAGGACATGGTAGTGCTTGCGTACTCCCATCTCCCAAATTCAGTCAAAGGATGGTAAAGTGTAACAAAATCTTGATTTCCAAATTTTATAATTTATTTTCCTAGGTTTGAAACTGTCATCACCAAAGTTGAGCCAGGCAGAGGGCAATTTCCAAGGGTGTATGGCTTGGTACGAGCTACACCGGACTCGTACCCAAATCAGAAGATTGGGTACATGTTCAGGACTGTGAAGATGCCCACGCTCCTGCCGAGATCAGAGTGGACACAATTAAATTGCACCTATTCTCTTGTTGATCGTGAGAGTTTCCGAAAATTAAAATTTTACATTTTTACCAAAAGCCAATTTTTTTTTGCTCTCTTCGTAGCTTGCAAAGTCTGCCGTGGACACCCAGTCACAAAGTGCAGGAAATGCAGCTGCGTCATTTGCGGAGGAAAACACGACGAGGACAAGCAACTGATCTGCGAGGAGTGTGAAGATGCATTTCACATGAATTGCATCTTTCCACCTCTAGAGGAAATTCCAGAAACAGACTGGTATTTTTCTAAATGGAATTTTACTAAATTGAATAAAAAATTTGAATAAAAACCAACTTAGGTTCTGCAAAAAGTGCAGCAACAATGACAAAAAGCTGGAGGACAAAGGCCTGAAGGCAAAGAAGAAGAAGACGGAAAAGGCCGAGGAATCAATTAGCAAAATCAAAGAAGGGAAGAAAGACTGGGGCAGGGGACTCGCCACAGCCGCTGTCATTGACAAGTTCTGCGTTGTCCCGAAGGACCACTTCGGAAAGATTCCTGGAGTTCCCTCTGGAAGGCTCTGGATTTCAAGACTTGACGTAAAACTTTCATAAGTCAAAAAGTATATCAATTTTAAAACTATTTATCTCAAAATTAGATCTGCAGCTACGGCGTGCATCGTCCACCAGTTGGTGGAATTTGTGGAACACCTGCCACTGGAGTGCAGAGCGTCTGCTTCTCGGGTGGCTATCAAGGTGACTACGACGAGGGAACCAGCTTCGTCATGTCTGGCAGTGGTGGCCGGGACTTGAGCAACAACAAGAGAATCAACAAGCAGCAGAGCTTTTCTCAAGAGTTGAAAGGAAACAATTTGTGAGTCGATTGATTTGTACTGAAAATTGTATCTCAATGATTTGTACCAACAGGGCTTTGGCACTTTCATGCCATGCCGAATTGAATGAGGAAAATGGAGCCAAATCATTAGATTGGCGTCAAGGTCTTCCCATCCGAGTTGTCCGGGGATACAAACTGGGCAAAATCTCCAAGTACGCCCCTGACAAAGGTTACAGGTAATAAAACTGATCATTGCCAATTTAAAAGTGCAGTGTTTAAGTGCAATTAAAATTTAAAATGACGATTATTTATTGTATCTTAAAAATTGTCTCGGATTGAAATTTAATTCTCTGCATTTAATCCCAATTTTGTTGGAAAAGAATTTGATTGATTATTTTTTCATAGATATGATGGGATTTACAAGGTCGTCAGGTATTTCAAAGACACGTCTGGCGGCAATGTCATGTGGAAGTTTGAACTTCGCAGAGATGACTCTGAGCCTCCTCCATGGTCCTCAAGTGGAATGAAGTTCATGAAGGAAATGAATGTGGGATTCCTCGAGGTATTTATTTCATAAATTTTTGGTGAAAATTACAGCTTTAAATTTATATTAATTTCAGGGAAGCAAACTGAAGATTGATGAGGAGAAGAATTTCAAAAGGAAGGTGCCAATGGAGGGAGTGCAGATCAAGCAAACCTCAGTTAATCCTTATGTTCTGAAACCCGAGATCAAACAGTTGGTGGAAATGGATGTTTTGAACAAAAGAATTTGGGATCATCTGTTGCACTCTCTAAACCTGGGATACCCAGTAAGATTCGTTGTTATTTTTTGTTTATTGATTTAATTTTTCTTCTTCAAAGGACTTCATCAAGGCTCTGGCTGAACAGTTTTCTTGCCAGATTTGCCAGGAGGTGGTGAAGGATCCATTTACAATGAATTGCGGCCACAATACCTGCCTGGTATGAATTCAATTACTTTTTCTTTCAAAGATGAAATTTTTACTGAAATTTGCATTTCTAGCACTGCATGAAGAAGTGGCTCAAGGATGGCAGCAAGGCGTGCTGTCCGATCTGCCAGACTTTCGTCAACAAAACCAAAGTGGAGGTCAATGTGACGCTGAACAGAATCCTCAACTCGCTCCTGGCAGGCTACAACCCTAAGGAACCAGCCCCTCGACCTTACGCTTTGACCAAAAAGTAGGCAACTGTGTCGTTTATTTTTTTATCATTTTTTTTGTACTTTGATGTGTTAACTTAATATCGTTGTGTTAATTTATTGGATGTACTGCGCTTTACGCAGATTACCAAATAATCTGCTGTTTTAAAGCAGCAAACAAAGTAATAATTTAATATTCTTTTTACGAAAACTGCTCAACATTTGTGAATTATTGCTCTTGGTCTTATCAAATAAAGTCTTCAATTTATATTTAATAACTAAATTATTTGAATAATAATATAAATGCATTGCTTGGAGATATTTAACAAAAATACTCACTAAATGAAAATAAACATCTCAGTAGATCAATAATTGGAAATAAATAATATTCTTTTGTTAAACCTGATCATAAAGAAATACAATATGAATTTATCCAATTTATCATATCATAAATTATTTCAATATATTTTTTAAAGTTCAAATACGCTTAGAATATTCAATGGAAATTCACTATGTATAGTTGAGCATCATTGCGCGATAATATTTTTGATCCGTGTTTGATTTTTCAACAATTGCGCGGAAATTTGCAGCATTTCCGCATTTATTTCTTTTGCCGCTTTGGATTTACAAGAAAATTTAAGACACAAAAAGTGTGCTAAATTGAATTATCTACAAGTTTTGTATGGAAATAATTTCTGTAAAACGTTTAACAGAGAAGCTAGACCTGAAAAACCAATAAAAAAAATTTAAAAAGCCGAGCTTTCTTCAAACATTTGAAATTTTTGACACCAAAAATTGTCTAATTTATCAAACTTAGTGATCTAATTTAAATTTAATTAAATTTCCTATTGATTGACGTTATTCTCATGTTTTGACAAAAAGTAGAAAAATTAAAAAAATGCGCCACCCATCAAAGGTTCGTTTTTACCTAGAAAGGGTAGCAGAAGGGAATTGTCAGAAAACATATGCATTTTTTCCGGGTAGAAAACTTTCTTTTCCATACTAATAGATCATAACTCTGCGATTTAAAAACAATAAGAAATTTTAACATTGAAAAACTGCGTCACAAATTTTATGACGGAAGAAATTTTAATTAAAACATTGTGAATATATTATTTTGTGAAAGTTTTTTGATTGAAAAAGTGACTCACATTGACGCGAACTTCGACGTCGTCCTCGGAGGACTGCGAGGCCGTCTGGAACCTGCCGAGGAGGGCGCGGCCGTCCGTGTCCGAGCTGTGGATGAAAATGACCCTGAGGTAGGACAAGTGCTTGAGCAGCTCGACCCACACGTCGGCCTGGTGCGAGTACGGCGGCACCGTGCGCAGAAACGACACGTGGATGTTCTGCCGAAATTTTTCATGATAATTTAATTTGATCAAAAAGAAAAAATGTTCGTTTTTACTTTGTCGGAAAAGGCCGAGTCGCGGCTCGAGATGCCGATGACGGGGATGTGGTAGAAACCGCTGGTGTAGGAAACGGCGGCCGGCGAAAGGTCGCCCGTCTGCGGGTGCGACACGATCACGGCGTACACCCTTTTCGAGATCAGGTTTTTGCACACGTTCAGCGCCGTCCGGATCGGGTTCGCGTCCATTTGGATCGCCTCGGCCCTGTACGTGTTGCCGCGCTGCACGTACTCGTTGTTGAAGTTCAAGTGCTACAAAAATAATAATTTCATTTTCATTAAAATCAATTTAATTTAAGAACAACCATATTTTTCCATTTTATGCATTTTTTATTTTAAATGACACTTTTTCAATTTACGTGGAAGAAAAGTAAATCAGTTTAATTATTTAAACCCTTGAAAGTATAATTTTCTTGCATAAAATGTTAAAATTGAGAAATTTGCTAAAAATCTGGCTTTTGAACAAAATATTTTGCGAGTCATAATGGAAAAGTTTTTGTCAACCGTCTTGCAAATCTTATTTTCTGCTTCTCATGTACATACATACATCTAAATTCATCAAACGATCTCAGATCTAATGATAGTAATATAAAAAATAGTGGAGCCGATGAAAAAAAAATTACAGATTTCTATACAAATGAGCCCGGAAACTGCCTAATTTGATTGAATTTTTCAATATTCAAGGAAATCATGCAAAATAATTCACTTCCCACTCAATCTTGCAAACTTTCATGCAGCTTTTCCAAAAAGGCTTTATTCAAAATGTACATTTTATTTAAACAAATTCTACTTAATTACATAAAAATAATTGGATTTTGAGCAAAATTTAATATTCGGAAAATTAATTAACGATAACTCGGCTTATTGGCATTTAAAATCTTCAAATAATTAAAATTTGATTTTTGTTTTAATTTCAAAACAGAATAAAAATCAAATGAATATAACTTTCTTATTTGTCAGATAATTGTTAGTTTGCGTGTTTGTTTGAAGTCTGTAATCTAATGTTTAAATCGTTTAAATTGAGCCAAGTGCGCATCAAGTGATGATGCAAACTGGAGGGAGCGCCTGCCAACAGCCCTCATAGCTGCAGTCGATAAAGGTGTGCGCAACAAATCATAACTCCTTTGCTATTTTTTTCTTCCATGCTCTTTAAATTAAACTATTTTAAAAAGTGAAGATATATTTCCGTTAATTAATTTAATCCCGATGGAAATGTAGGCCACGTTCATCAAATTTCTCAATTTTTTGCTTTTTGTTTTTTTATAAATAAAAAAAAATTGAGCTCACGGCGATGATCTTGTCAAAGTGCGAGGCGCTGTCGTTGCCGCTGAGGACGCCGCCGATGTTGAAGAGCGACGGGTTCTTGGTGGGCTGGTAGAAGGACCTGGGCCGCTCGGGCCCCGCGGCCACGGCCCCGCACAGCAGCAGCACCAGCCACCACGGCCGCCGCATCTTCTGACTGAGATCGATCGATCGGCCGCCGCCCCAGCATCCGACAATTCCAACCCCCGCCCGCGCACGCGCCCCCGACCTCCAACCACCCCGAGACCAACACAAGATTTCTGCTCCTAGCGCCTGCGACTGTGGAGAGTAGGCAACCGGCCCAACGCCAACGTCGGGCAAATTGCATCGATTTTTCTTTTAATTAAAAGTATTCTTTTTCTTTGTGGTAGAATTTTTTATGAAAATTAATTTGTTGATAAATTTCTCGTGCAATTGTAAAATTTGGTTTTGAAAAATTGTTTTTGTGTTCTATGGTTTTCTCAAAAATTTGCCAAGTTTTTCAAAATAATTTAAAAAAATTAATCTTTATACTAGTCTAAATCATTACACAGCTGGAAGTTATACTATATTGTTAATTTAAACATTTCTCAAAAGACTAAGGAAAAGCTGACTTAAAATTCAAATCTCCAACTTTTTTATTTATTTAAATTTTCACTTTACATTTTTCAGATATATTCTAGTGAAATTAAACAACGTTTCCTTCAAATTTAACAATTCTTCCTTTTATTTATTTCTAATTTCAGACCAAATCATACAATGAATGCTTATGAGGTAAAAATCTTCTTCAAAATTAAAGAGAAGAAGTACTTCAAAAATTGCTATGAAGTTGCACTTATATGAAAGAAAGAGTGGTTTTACTTTTCACAAATTCTGAAACTCATTCTCAGCCCAGGATGGGCTGCAGGACATTGTTGGCGACAACACGAAATTGGTTGCGTTCTCGCACCACCCGGTAGAAGTTCTTCTTGGGGCGAATCCTCATGGTGTTGGTCGAGGTCACCATTGGGTCGCACAATCTAAATTTTTCCCGCGTGTTCAAGCAAAACGGGGCTGCAAAAAACATGATTTAATTCACAAAAATTTAGTTTCAAATTTGGTGTTACTAGAAGTGGCTGCCTTGGCAGGACATTTCTGCAAGTAAAAAATTAATCAGTCGTAATTAAAGCTTTAAATAAAATTAAATTTACAATCAAAATCGTCCTGAGGACGCATTGGTGGACCAAATATGGCTCCAGAGAGCACTCACGGACAAGTCGGCCAGCGGAATTATACTTTTTGGCCCTCTTTACGGGCAACCCTATTAAAAGAAAAATAAGTTTCTCCTCAATTCCATATTTTAATTCCAACCTTCAAAGCTTGCAGTGCAGTTATCAACGGCATCAGCAATTATCTGCACCCATTCCTCGGTCAAATTCTTGCTCAGGTAGTTGGCCAGGTCAAGGACGTTGACTGAGTTGTTTTTCTCCAACTGCGATATCAATTCGTCATGCTTCTTTAATTTCGGTTAATTTTTTAAAATTCTCACCACCGCAGCGTCGTTGTAGAGACATTCAAAGAAACACTTAGAAAAATATATTAAAACAAAATATAAGTTTTTAGTCAAAACAATATCTCACGGCGGGGTGTCCCAATGCTCTCGCTGTTATTATTTTTTTTTTTTAAAAATTAAAATAGAATTGATTGATGCGCAATTTTGACAAAACTAACAGTTGGATTCGGCCGCATAGTTGATGAAGTTGGAGCGGGCGTTGTGTTTTCTGTGCAGCACGTATTGGTGCGTCTGCGAAAACAACTGAGGGTTGTTCGCCTTTTGTCCGCCGTTGCAAGCCAATTTTTGTTTCGGCGTGAAAAACTCGAGTTTTGACGACTGCTCGCAACATCTTTCCAGCGGCTTTTCCAATCGAAATGAAAAGTTGGAAATCGGAAAATCAATTTTTCGTATAATTTATATATTGACCTTGGAATCTAACGCGCTGCAAAGGACTGCCGTCGGATTTTTCGCCAAAATGATGTTGGACGTCGTTGTGCTTCCGGTCGCTGTTGTTTGTGACGCTGGAAAATCCAATCGTTAAAAAAGGTCGCGCGTGATGCCATGGAAAATTAAGTACAGGAAGTGCTCGAGCCGCTTGCACCTGTAGTTGAGGTCGCACTTGCGCTTGCTGTTGACGAGGCTATGAATTTTCAATTTATTATTTTTAGATGCAAATTATTTCATAATTTAAAATATTGAATAATAAAAAAATAAAATTCTCAGTTTTTGATCCTTAAATTTAAAAAATCAGCAAAATTTTTGGACCTAATTTTAAAATTATTTTCCTCTAAACAATGAAAAAAAATCCAATGAAACGGTTTGACGAATATTTTTTTAAATTTGTGTCCCGAACCTGGCGAGGTGCTGACGGTGGCACCTGCGACTGTAGTGGACGTTGAGTCGGTCGAGGAAGAGCCGCTCGGACTTGCAGTGTTGGTCGTCGTTGAAGAAGCGTCTGTTGTGCTCACAGTCGTGGACGTCGACGAGGCGTCAGAAGCTGTGGTTGACGCCGAAGTAGACGAAGAAGCGTCGACCGTGGTTGAAGTGGAAGAATCGACGGTGGTGGTCGAGTCAGTGGCCTGGCGACGCACTCGCAGCCCACCTTTCATTTCCACAACGTTAAATCAATTTATAATATAAAAAAAACGAAATTTTAATGATCCGCACCTTGTTCAACGTCCTCAAAAGCCAACGAGTTTATTGCCTTTTGGAGAAATAAATTTACGCAAAAGATTAGTTAGAAAAATTTAAAGCTATATCAATTTTGAATTGAAATTTAAACTCAAAACATTTATAACTATTTTTCTTTTGACATTTGAAAAACCGAATTCATGTCATTGAACAGAACAAATTGCTTGTAAAAATAAAAAAAATAAAACAGGCGTACATTCGGAAAAGAGAGGAAAACGCAAAAAGCGCCGCAAATAAGAAGCCTGCGTGCATTCGTCATGATTGCGCTGTCCACACTGAACAATAAAGAAGTTTCCAATGTCGCGCTGCATCAACCACGGAGACAGGACACCGAAAGCACCGGACGTGCGCGTGATACATATTGATGGACATCATCAACAGCACGTCATTTTGCTAAGCAAAAAATTGTTGCCAACGCATTGCAAACACAATGACGCATTTGATTTTGGAGGTTTTATTATATTCTCAAAAAATCCATGTGAAAAAAGATCCAAAAAGTATAGAAAATGTGAATAATCTAGCTTCGTAATAATTCTGTATAAGAATCTTGTCTTAAAAGTACAATTTTAAGAAGACAAATTAGCTGCAGCACATAATTATGTTAAATCTCAAAACTATAAAGAAAATCTGTCTGCACATTATTTCTTAAAAAATCTGATTTTTAATATCATTGCCATTTTACGATTAATTATATTATGATGCTAAAATCCACAATGAAAAACATAATTGCCATTACATCACAATTAAAAAGGATCCACACAAGCAAATATTTAATTTACAAACGGAAGTAAAAGTATTTTCTGGCGTGCCACGTTTGAAAAACTCTCAGCTTTGGCTTGTTTATTAAGGACCGGAATGCATTAAAATTTGCAATATTGGTGCTCTTCAGGCTTTTATTGGCCTTAAAATATTCGTCATCAAGGATCGAGTTACAAGTTATAATAATTTTTTTTTTTTTCCATTTCGTTCAATTTAACAAGATTCTGAATTTCTTTTAAAGGCGCAATCAAAGCTATACAAGAGTGAAATATGAAACAATTAGCTTTGATGAACAGTGAAAACAACATGGAATAGTTTTGAAATAAAAGAAGCGCAATCAGCGGATATTTCATTTAAATGGAACGATGAATGTCGCGCACAATAAAAATTGCTCAAGTGGCTCGCGCGCAAGTGACGCTGCAGTCATTGAGCGCGCGATAATGAGGCAACCGCGCGCGCGACCAATAATATTATTAAGTGACAAGGTCTTTGCAGCGATCGAGAGATTCGCTCTTTCTGCGTCGCACCGAAAACCGCCGAGGGGTTTCCTTGTCAGTTTTTTTCTTCACATTTCGGCCTCGCAACTCTATTCTTTGCGTGCGTGTGAGAGAGCGAGTCACGTGTCCGCAGCTCAGCTGGGCCGAGAGATCGATCGCTGAAGAAAGGTGAAGAGCGAGAAGTCGCGGCGGCGGACGCAAGATGAACGGTTCGGACTTTGTGCTGCTGCTCGTCTTTGCGGTGTCGGCGGGTTCGAGTGCAAGGGTCGTCGACCCCGCGCCCATCAGACACCCCGTCATTTTGGGTGAGTTCCATTTAATTGATTAATTGCGCCGTTCGTGGAAAAATCCGTGCATTGACTCTGTAATCTAATCGCTCGCTCCGAGTCGATCAATACGCGGCCCCAGTGAATAATTTTTATATTCAAATTTCGCACAAATAATCATCCCAATAACTTATCATCAAAATTGATAAATATTATTATTTAATTAATCCAGATAAAATATTATTATGATTTAATCTTCATTCAGATATACAGAATAAAAAATTAAAAACCTTTTCTTCAATAAAAAATCATTTAAAAAATAATTGTGTGCTTGCAAAGAAGTAAATTTTTTTATTTATTTATTTATTATTGGATTTTTGGTGCAGTGCCTGGAGACGGAGGAAGCCAAATTGACGCCAGACTAAACAAGACTGAGGTGGTGCATTATCTTTGCGAAAAAACGACTGGCGACTTTTTCAACACATGGCTCAACCTGGAGCTGCTCGTCCCCGTCGTCATTGATTGTTTGGTAAGTTAATTATTTAAATTCACTTTTGATCGGAAAAGAACTCTATTTGCAACAATTTATTTATTATTTGATTTTAAATGGGAAATGACTAAAATAAAAAATACAATACCAAAGAAATGTGAGTTACATAACACAACTTTTTTTCTGTGTTATATTTTTGCATCTCTTCAGACGTCAGAATAAAGTCACGCACTACGTCAGACAAGACAGGACTCTTTAAGAAGCCATCTAAAGTCGTTAAAACAATAAAATCCATTTTTCTTTTTAGTCCAGCTATTATTATTATTTACAACAGATGATTTAGGTTAAATTAAAAAAAAAAAACTAAAATAAATGAATTGATTTTAGCTTGTGAAATTCTTCTCTTATTCAGCTCTTATTTAAAGAAAAATTGCTTTTCAAGCAATTTTCTGAAGCAACAATAAAGATCTTATTTTTTTAAAAACTAAAATTCAAATTTTCTAGGTGGACAACATGCGTCTGGTGTACGACAACACAACACGGACGACCAGCAACTCTCCGGGCGTGGAAACAAGAATTCCAGGCTTCGGAAACACGAGCAGCGTTGAATGGCTCGACCCGACGGAATTGTCGCCCACCAAGTATTTCAACCCCATTGCTGACATTTTAGTGAAAAAGCTCAACTACTCGAGAGGCGTCAACTTGCACGGGGTGCCTTACGACTTCAGGAAAGCGCCCAGTAATTTAATTCAATTTTGTGCTCAAAACTTAAATTTATACGAAAGTGATCTGTAATATTAAGATTTATTTCATTATTTATTTTTTATCTTCATTTTTTAATATATTTAATTATTTATTGTTCTTATTAATATGAAAATCAATTGTATAAAATTTATTTCATATAATTAACATTGAAAGCTATCAATCCAGGTGTATTTCATGAAAAATTGAAACCTGGTTCATCATTGCAAGAGAAAATTGATAAAATCAAATGAATGGGCAACTGACCCAAAAAGGCGTTCTGCTGGTAATTAAAAAAAAAACTTAGTGAGGGGAAAATTAAAAAAAAAAAAAAAAATGGAAATTCAATTTAATGAACACAAATTATAGTAGAAATTGAATGAGCACATTTGGGTCAGTTTTCCTTCAATTTTTCACTTGCAACGAGGAACGCGATTTCAATATTTCAAATTAAAACTTTCATTTAATTAAATTAATTCAATTTAGATGAGCTGGGGGAGGTTTTTGTCAAAATGAAAGCGCTAATTGAGGAGACGGTGGCGCGGAACGGGCAGAGTGCTGTGATTGTGACCCACAGCATGGGCGGCCTGTTGGCCCTGACCTTCCTCCAGCTGCAGAGCCAGACCTGGAAGGACAAGCACGTCAAGTCGCTGGTCACCCTGGCAGCGCCCTGGGGCGGATCCGTCAAAACCGTCAAAGTGTTCGCGATTGGTATATCAAATTTAAAACAAAAAATTAAATAAACAATGAAAATTAATAAAATTTAGGTGATAATTTGGGCGTGTTTGTGTTGAGCGGAGGCACGTTGAGGGACCAGCAAATCACGTCGCCCTCGCTCGCGTGGCTGCTGCCGTCGCCGCTCTTTTGGAAACCGGACGAGACGCTCGTCGTCACTCCGCAGAAAAATTACTCCCTCACCAATCTCAGAGACTTTTTCGAGTAAAAATAAATTGATTTTTGGGGAAAGTTTAAAAACTAATAAATTTTACCTACAGCGACATCGATTGGCTCACCGGATGGGAGATGAAAAAGGACACGGAAAAATATGTTCTGAATTTCACTGCGCCGGGGGTCGAGGTCCATTGTGCGCACGGAGTCGGCGTGAAAACCGTGGAAAAGCTCAAATACACAAAGGACAAGTTCCCAGACTCGACCCCAGAGTAAATTTATTTTATATATCGATTGAATGATTTGTTTAAATTTTAATTTGCAGCCTGATCATGGGTGATGGAGACGGAACGGTGAACCTGCGAAGCCTCGAGGGCTGCACCAAGTGGACGGAGGCGCAAAACGCCGGCAAGAAAATTTACCACCAAACCTTCCCCGGGCTGGACCACATGGACGCGCTAAGAGACAAAATCATTGCTCAGTTTGTTCACGACTTGTTGCAAATAAAATTAAACGTGCCATAATTAGATAAAAAAGAAAAAAACTCATGTAATTTCATATCTTTTCAATTTTGTTTATTTTTCGACCTCGGACATAAACGCTGACGGTTCTTCCCCGAAAACTGACAGATCTCAAAGTGCTTTTTGTGGCGCGATATTAGATTAATCAAGTCATGAAGCTTGAGGAGAGGTCGCTTGACCTGACCCGCCCCGCGCGAATAAAGCAATCTCGCGCGCGACGCCAATCGCCGAGTCAGTCCACGTCTGGGCAGCCACAAGTACAGTCCATCATTAAATTTGTTGCGAGCAGCGATTTGCTTTCGATCGTTGGCAATTAAAATCTCAAAGATGAGAATTTATGCCGCTTTGTTGCTGCTCGGCTGCGCATTCGCTGCTGCCAGGTGAGAATAATTTCATTTCAATCTGATTATAATTATTTTTTTTTTATTAAAAGTGGAGCGAACGCAAATGTGGAGAAAATCATGAACCAACTCTTCCCTGACGTGAAAACCAACTTGGCACTGAGACCAGCGGGTAGAATTTTCTTTCATTTCCTTTTTTATATGAGATAATTTGCATGACTTGAACATTCAATAAATTGCCCTTGAGTAACCGCGGCATCAATTTAAAGGTTATTCCAATTTTTTAATATTACAAATGAGCAAAATCAAAGTCGCAGTAATTTGTCATTTGACACCAAATGGACCAATTTGAGCGAATCTGCGCATTAACGCCCGTCAAAGGTCAAAGGGTCAAAACTGTCGCACACACGCAGACCGGGTCATTTGTGCGTGATGCGGCTAATGGCCGAGCAATTGAGCAGTTAAACTTTTGTAATTGGATCCCAGCGCTTTTGTGCCTCAAGAGCTTTTTACGCGCGCATCCTGTTCCGCCGCAACATTTTGCGATTGCAACTAATTCGGGTTTTTAATAAAAATGATCTTCATATTTTAAAGAAATTGATCAGCTAGAGTGCAATATTATCTTTAAAAGAAACTGAGCAAAAAGGCAATGCTCAGAAAATGCCAAATTTCAATTGTTTTGCTGGATTTATTTTTAAATAAATTAAGATGTGTGTTACAAATAAATAATTTTTCCATTTAAATCTAAAAATCACCCTGAAAATTTGCCAAATTCAATGGAAAAATTTACTTATTAATTACAATTACACCTTGACAAAATTTAAAATTTTCAGGCAATGCCACAGACGTTTCCATTAACATGCACATTTTGGACTTTCACAGCATTGATGACGAAGATCAAGTATTTTTATTTTTTTAATTTTTTTACCTTAGAAATTAATGAATATTATTTTAGGAATTTTCCGTCAGCATGTACATCCGCCAGAGATGGACGGACCCACGGCTAAAATTCGAATGTGAGCTTCTTATTTTTTTCACGTGCTCATGATTGATTGATAAATTTTTCTAGCCTCCTCTGAAGTCCGCCAAGTGGTTCTGAACGAGCGCGAGAAGATTTGGGTGCCGGACACATTCTTTGTCAACGAGCGAAAAACCAAATTCAGCGACGCGCTCACCGAGAACTCGTTCCTGCGAATCGACAGCGACGGCAAAGTTCTCTACAGCACCAGGCTGCACACGACCCTCTCCTGCCCCATGAACCACGCAAAGTTCCCCTTCGACAAACAGACCTGCTCTTTCGTCCTCGAGAGCTGTAAAAATAAATCTAATTTTTTTGTTGCAAATGTTTAAATGATTTGATTTAGACGGCTACACGAAGAAGGACGTGAATTTGGTTTGGTTCGAGGGCGACGGAGACTTTCCCGTCAGCATTTCCAAAGTCCTGACTTTGAAACCGTTCAGGCTTGAAGGCGTTGGAATCGATACTTGCTGCAAAGGCTCAAAATGCGGTAATGAATTCAATAAAAAAAAAAAGTGCTTCACGACTAAAAATGAATGTTTTTTTGCAGAATTCAAAGATTACAGCTGCCTGAAGGTGCAGTTTTTGGTGGCCCGAACAGGCTTCGGCCGCTACTTGATGCAAGTCTATCTTCCCCAAGCCCTTTCCATCACCCTGGCCTACCTTTGTCTGTGGCTGCGTCTCGAGTGGACCAAGAAGATTTTCCTCTCGGGCGTCTCCATCCTCGGCACTTCGATCCTCGCCGCCTTCGCCTCCTCCCTCGGACCAGAGACCAACGATTGCACCGCTCTGGACGCCTGGGGATTCTGGAATGTCATCCTCTCGGCCCTGCCACTCGCCGTCTTGATCGTTTCCCGTCTGATCAACCCTAAGGTTTAATAAATTTATTTGAAATTTGTTTCAGAAATTATTTACCCAATTTCAGGTTGATGACGACATTGACGACAAACTGGAGCTGAAGGAGAGAGTCGAGGGAACCAAGATCGAGCGCATTGCCATTTACATGATCCCTCTTATTTTCGTCCTGTACAATTTCGTCTACTGGGCAAATTATGCCAACAGGATCGACTTTGAAAATGGAATATCCACTGAGCGGAAAGTGCCGTATTAAAAATAAATAATCCTCATCAGATTATTAATTACTCCAGATTTATATAAATTGCTCATAAGTAATCACTTTTTAGAAAAAAGCTATTTTGTATTGTTTTCTTTTATAAGCAAATAAATGAAGATCAAAAATGTATCAAATGTTTGTGCATTTTTTCACCACTGTGACTCCATTGGGCTCTGATCTGGTCAGGCAAACTTTCTCCGGAAGGACCAAATAATTCACTCCCTGAAATTACAAACAATTTAAAATCAAATAAAATCAATTCCAATTCTTAATTGATCACACCTCCAAAGGTTTGACAGTGACTTTGTAGACATAGCGATTTCTGTCAGGGTTCAACTCTTGAGCGGGTTTGTCAAACACAAAGATGTGCTCGATTGCCAGGTTGAAGGGCAGCAGTCGAGGCTCAATGCTGTATGTGGCCACGTCAAGCACACCTTTTGAATTAAAGTATATAATTCATTGTTTTATTTGTGATCAACTCTTTAGTATACCTTGAGAGAAACTGTCTCGCTCGGAACGGTGAGCAAAAACGCCTTCGATCCTGGAACAGTTGCCCAGGCCGATCCAAATTTCTCCCCCGCCGGCATTCAACATGCCGCAGACGATTTTGGAAAATGCTGGCTGGCGAATGTCTCGGATGCCTCGCACTTTGAGCACCTCGCAATGCACACCTTGCACCACAGAACTGTACAGGCGGGTGCGCAGCAGGTACGGACACTTTGATTTCATAGAGACGACTGCGTCTTCTAAAAAGAAAATCCTATGGGATTGGAAAAAAAGTTAAAATCAAAATTTTACCTAATTTTGGCTCGGGAATGGCAAAGAGGGAGAGGGTCGATCGGCAAGGCAAGAGCCAAGTTTCGCCAGGCCATTGTTTGCGGACCATGTTGAAGTCGGCCAACGAAGATTTCTCCAAAGTAAGGGACACTTTGCAGTTTTCATTGCGCTCCCTTACGAGACACTCCATCTGCAGCTTACGCTGGGCATCACCCTTGTCATCTTGTGGTGCAGCATTTCTGAATCACTATAATTAATAAATGCCAATTTTATTTGGATGTAAAAACCTCCGGTGTTTGGAAATTCTTCCGCCAAAGTCCCAAGTCAAGGTGTGAATGCAAGCTTTCAACTGGTTCAGGATTTTCTCCGATGGGCAGCATTTCATCAAAGCATTAGCAGCTGAAAATTTAAATAAAATTCAGTAAAATTGATTGTTTTTAATAAAAATGATAAATACCTCCGTAGATGAGGCGACTCTTGGGCCACCTTTTCACTTCAATTCTTGGCAGGTACAAATTAAGACCATCCAACAGAATTTCCAACTCTTTGTCGGACGCCTTTTTCGAATGAATCAGCCACACAAACCAATCTTACAAATTTAGTTTTAAAAATTAATAGTAAAAATAAATTGCTTCAAACCTACCAGCTAAAAAATTGTGGGTGCAACAGGCAATCAGGCCTCTACTGCCCTTTTCACAGTTGGAGGCCAAGGCATTCAGAATCGCCAGAAACTCAATCCTCGTCTCTCCTTCGACACACTTTTTTTCAGGAAAAAAATTATTATATATTTTTGTTTTATAAATTTCTATTTTATTAACCTTGATCAACTGGTAAGCCCTCCAGGGACCTTTCCCATCCAAGATGACGAGCAGGTCGTCAATTTTTCCCGATCCAAGGGAAATGTAAATCAAGTTGATGACCACGGCAAGCAGGTCGTCCGGAGTGGGTTGAAAGGCGTTGCCGATGAAGAGGAGAGGTTTCCAGGTGTGAATGGGGTCGCTTCTGAAGAGAGGGATCAGCGCACTAGGTTTGCAAAGCGCTTTGGCAGCGTAGTCTGGCAACCACAGGCCTCGGAAACCGTGTCTCAAGGGCAGAGGGCACTCGGTCAGCACGATTGCTCGGACGAATTCAGGCAGAATCGGGGCTGTTGGAGACGTCGGCTCGTAACTGATCCAAGAGATTTCCTTCAAATGGAAAATTTAAATTTTATAATAAGTTTTTTTTTTAGTTTATTATACTTTTGAAGCAACAACAATCATGTCGCCAATTCCAATCCAGAAGTGTCCAGGCTGGGGAATCGGCCTTGAGTTGATGATTTGGCTGATTTTCTTGCTGCGAAACTCCAAAAGGTTCCAATAGGATTTGACGCAGCACAGAGCAGCTTTGTGGAACTGAAGACAGCGAAACGGCCAAATGACTTTTCCCTGCTTTTCTGATCCACTTTCCTGATACAATTATATAAAGTCATTATCTTGAATTTTTTTTTTATTAATTTCATACTTTGTAGGTGGGTTGGACGGGTTTGCGGAACTGAGGCGGGACAGATTCCTGGGCAAGGACGTCTTCACACTCGATGCACTCGAGACACTCGCATTCCTGCACGTGCTCCAAAACCACATTTCTGCACTCACAAAGACTGAGCACCGACTCTGGAACGTTTTCCATCTCGATGGCCTGTTGCATCATTTCCTTCGAAGGGACCAGTTGCGATCTGTAGACCAAAGTCTCCAACGCACACGCCTTCGAAAGGTCCTTCACCATGAAGTCGGTGATGTCTGCATAAAACGCAACAAACTGGGAAAACGTACAAAATTAATTGGCAATAAATAACAGATAAATATTAAATAATACTTTAGATAGAAGTTTCAACATGTTGGATTTGAGGAACAAGGCCTCGAAATCTTCACATTTTGCAGCGAGCAACACTTGGATGAAACGCAGCGCTGGCAAAAGCAGCTTTTCCTTTTCATCAAGCGGATCTATACAAAATTATGTATCAATGAGGGATTGAGAAATAAATTATTTATAAATTTGGTTTACCTAGATCTGGCCTCTGCATGAATTGCAAAAGAAGTTCTTTGCAGAGGGAAAAGTGCTGATCGGCGATTATGGAGATGACATCATCATCAACAGGGGTTTTAAAGAAACTTTCCAGCTCCAGAAAAGGGTTGGCTGAACAAGTGTCCTTTTGGCGGAGGGCGCCGTAAAAGGCCTCGACGTCCTTCGTGATCAGGATCATTGCATCAACAGTGTTGACTCCGGCCTATTGACTGCTGACTGCTGAAACGCGAAACGCTGGCTCGGCTGGCTGAACTTTGATTTATTTGCTTTGTGCATAAAATTTTGTTTTTTGTTTCTTGTTTGTAGTCGTTCTTGTGCATTCCGGCTACATTCTTGTTCAGACACGTTTCAACCAATCCAAACCGCTGCTGCTTCTTTTTCCGCAGGTCACGTGACGTTCTTCCCCTTCCTCCTTCTCCTCACTCGTTTCCTTGTTGCTCGTTTCTCTCCAAGTGATGAATGACGTCACAATGACGTCATCGGGAGCTTTCACTGCCTCCGCTTGTAGATGAAAACAGACGGACCACGCCCACTTTCTCTCAAATTTTGACCTGCTGCGGTTTTCGTTGCGGTTTGTCCGAAATTTGGCTCGTCTCAATTTCCTGCCGATTTGATGTCTCTTTAACACCACTTCTGCTAATCACAAAGCATGCCAGTCCTGCTCCTTTCGTTTGTCGGTCGCTGAATTTTGCTTGCAACATGCGCAACATGCCTAGAAGCTCGCCCAAACGATTGGTATTAATTCTTCTTTCATTCCCATGTGTTTTATTATTAAATTTATTGAAACCCTGCAAAGTGATCACAATATTTTGACGGTTTCAATACATTTTATGTATTCATGCGTTGAAATAATACAAATTTTGCATTTAAAGCTTTATTAATTTCATGTGTTTATATTTTCAAATCGCTTGTACTGTTTTATTGCAGCCTTGAAACCTTCCCCATCTCCTGATAACACATAATCACTCTAGCTCTTGTTTCGTTTTGTATCGACGGAGATTATACCTCGTCAAACTTTTTTGTAAATTTTATTTAAGTGATTAGCAAATGGACGTGTTTGACGAAATTATTTTGCTTCAGGCGCACTCGCTGGCGATGGACTCGAGTTTCTCTCCGATCGAAGAGGAAGAACCTGAAGCGTCTGCTGAGCCTCTCAAGAGACAGGGATCCGTCCGAAAGGTGCTGCCGTCCATGCCGGGCGTGCCAGATTCAGCGAAACTCGTCGAACGCTCAAATTCTATCCCTGGAATAAGAACCACCTCCCAGTACGGACCATTTTTCACCGAGTACTCGCTCATACCAGAATAGTACTTACAATTAATCCACTTGAAATGTAAATTAATTTCCTTTTTTTCCAGCAATATGCTTCAAAGCTGTGCTATCCCTGGAGTTTATTGCATTCCTGCAGCAAACACACCACTCCGTGAGTTTTTAAATTTTTATAAAAACAAGTTAATTCATAATTTTTTTACTCTGCAGTTTGGTTTGGAACTATGTTTGTTCGACAAGGTCCGTATGTCGGAGGAGTGTTTCGATTCCACATTGTGATACCGGAGAACTTCCCTGATGGAGGATTTCCAGTAAGAATGCAAATAATTACAGAATTTGTTACTAGGCTTGATTTTAATTTTTTGCAGAAAGTGGAATTTCAATCCAGGGTCTTCCACCCGCAAATCTCCCCCGAGGGAGACTTCAACGTGGGCAGAGGCTTCCCTGAGTGGAACAAAAACATGAATCACATTTGGCAGGTGGTCGAGTACGTCAGAAAGTCATTCTTGAAGATCGACCCAGGCCAACCAGCGAATGAAGAAGCGGCAAAATTGTAATATTTTTTTATAAAGAAGTATATTTAGAAATAATTTGTTTCAAAATCAGGTACAAACTTGATCACGGAAAGTTCATGGAGGCGGCCAAGAAGTGTGTCGGCCTGAGCATCCAAAAGGTTTACGATCCAACTCCGACTGACGATCCTCACTATTTTGCATTCGAACCATTCGACAGTAAAGCACACGAGTCGTTGAAAGAGAAAATTCTTCAGCAAAGGGTTAATTTATTTTCAATAAAATTTTTATATTTGTTTTAAACTTCAAGCTTTATTTTAAGATTTCCATTTGTTAATTTAAATTCAATCAATCATACTGTGATAAATTGTTTTTAAATAATTGAAGCACAAATATTTCTAATTTATAAAATTTTATTTTCATTTAATTATTACAGTCTTTGGACGAGGACAAGAAATCTCCTCAAGGACTATCGTGGGTCGCCTGCAACTCTTTGAAGCCCTTCTCGGTCCCTCTTGCTCCGAACTCAGTCGTCCGCGAGACCTCCTGATCTGAACTTGGCAGCCTCAGGAACCCAGTCCGCCCTCAGCCTGTGCTCCTTCCCCGCCCACTTGAAGCCCACCGGCCGTCCATCGTCAAAAACAAAGTACTGGCTGAACTCGATGGCCAGCTGGGAGCGCACCAGTCCGACGCCGCCGACCTTTTCCGGTGCAGGATGATAAACTCGGCCTGTGTCCGGATGGACGAAAATGCACTCGGGCTGAAAGGGCACCGTGAGCAGGTCTCCGGCGTATCCGTAACTGAGCACCTGGCCCTTTTCAGGGTCTTCCAGCACGTGGGTGAACACAAAGGGCTGGTCGTCGCACCGGACAAAGTTGCGTTCCCGTCCGCAGGGCGAAATGTAAGGGAAGGCTGGGAAGTAGCGGTCGGTTGTGTTTTGCCTCAGCCGAGTGAAGAAAAAGTGAAGAAACTTTTTTTCTGGAATTTTCAGATTTTGTTCATTAGGCTCAAATAATCAATACTTTTTTATTTTATTGAAATTGAAGTCATGTTTTTGTTGTTATGTAATTCTTACAATTTTTGGACGAACCTTTAAAACAAGATGTGAAGTTTTTCATGCGTGAATCATCCAAGTAAAGCTGGAAATATGTTGTGATTTTTATACATTAAAAAAGTAACCAAAAAATACGAATTGTAATTTTTTAAGGTTGATTTTAATTTAATTTTCCTACCATTCCCTGGTGGTCGATGTAATAAAAATATTCTCTAATCTTTGGCTCGGGCGTTTGACCCTGCACGTAGAGCGCGCTCGAGCTGAGAAATCTGCGATTGCAGCCGCTTTTGACGTGCCGTACCAGGCTGCACGACACCGACTTTAACATGTTGCCTAAAAAGCAGTTAATCAAGTGGAATATTATTAAGTTAATTGCTCTGCTCTAGCTGTTCTTGTCCAGGTTGACTGACCTTTCTCCCCCACAAAAGCACGAAAACAACGGCGGTGAAGGTAGTCAGTCGGCCGTACCATAGAGGGACAGGCCCTTCTTCTTTCACAGCTTCCATTTGCCGCCGAGAGATGGCCACACGGGCGCTGAGCCTCGTGCAAACCAAACGGCGAGAAATTCACTGATTAATTATCAATTTTCCTTCTTTTCCAGTAATTTTAAGCAAAACAATTAAATCTGAATATTAAAAAATTGAATTTAAACACTTTTTTGTCAAAACTTTTCTAACAATTTAAGACTTGGAGAAGGTTTATTCAGATTTGCAGAGTTTGTTATGTTGGTAGTGTTTTTTGCCTCACAGTCAGGTGTCCACAAATGGTCAATGATTCTGTGAACTGTGTCAAGGTAGAGAATCCTGTCAACTAAACGTGAATTTCTTATGAAAGTGGAACGATCAAGCCGCCTGATGGTTGGCAAATTCGGCGCGGATTAGTGCGATCTTCACCCCCGCGTGCGTTCGAGCCCCTGCGCGTCCAGTCCGTCGCGAAAGTGAACGCACACGAGCCTTTCACATCGCGCAGGTGACCAAAATGTAATAACACAGGCAACGAGACTCCTCCGCAAACATGCAAATCAGACCACTTTCAAATGTTTGATTCATCTCTATCCTTGGACCCTCGAATTCGAACCAAGAGCCTCTCGAGGGCCGCCGATTTCGGCATGGCGGCGACCAAGCGGGCCTGGCAATTGCGTAAGTTGAATTTTAATTATTATTTTGAAGAAAAAAAACACCAAACAAACGCACTCGCTGGAAAGATAAGGCCTGCACACACGGTACACTATCTCGTCACGATTTATCGTGATCCGAGTTTATTGCAAAAGGAAGAGCTTAACGCGTTTTTCTTTGGCGAAAATGAATCACGCGACGAAATCAATAAGAACTTTGCTGCGACAGAGTACGTGGGAGGCGGAAAAAAAAATTATTGCACACAATTTCCATTGTGTGACATTTGCAAGTCCTCTAAAGCTCAAGCTGTGGGTGTCTTTGAATTCTATGTCAAACCATTCTTTATCTTGACATTTTGATTGATGCATAGACTCTTTATTGAGGAAGAAAAACATCAACAAGTTTAAACAATCGGTCATTTTATCTCCATTTCAGTTAAAACAAAATAATAATGTCACGAGAAAATTAAACAAAAATTGAAAAGATATATGTTAAGAAAAAATTTAATACAAAAACCAAAAATTTTAAATTTTATTAGATTTATTCTTTTTTTTAATTCGAAACCAGTTTGAATTAATTTAATTATTTAATTTTTGTTTAGAATTATGAAGAAGAGTGGTTCATAAATAACTTGTCTTTGTAAATTTGAATTGCTTTTAGTTTGTTTAAGATAAGTTTTTGACGCCTTCTTGCGACAGCCATCAAAAGAAAAAAATTTCCTTAGCCGGAAGAATTTTTCTTTTATTTTTTTTCGCCATAAAATTTAACTCTTGAGCTCGGTTGCGCATAAATGGCATAATTTAATGTTCAAACTGTCCTTGCCGCAGAGATCTTTCCTCTTTTTTCTGTGCCGCCGACAACTCGTCCGTCCGACCTTGGACGAGAACGTGACAATTTTGTTAAAAAAGAAGCTGCACGCACTCGTCTCTCTCTTTGTCGTCTCTTTATTTGTATATTTATTCTGTTAATTTCCTTTTGCAGAAAACTTCACGGCGCACGACGCGTATGTGACCAGTTTGACGCTCGGGCGAAAGTCGACGGCGCTCCTCGCCACTGGCGGCGACGACAAAAAAATCAACGTTTGGGCCATCGGAAAACCGGAGTGCATTTTGGTATTAAATTTATTTTAATTCATTTGGATATTTGAATTTAAAATTATGTATTAATAATGATTTATTTTGAAATTTTTAGAGTTTGACTGGACTTTCGACTTCGCTGGAATGCATGCAATTCGGAATAACGGAGGAAACGATTTGCGCGGGGTCGAAAGGCGGCGCGATGAAGATTTGGGACTTGGAGGCGGCCAAAGTGACGAGGACGCTCACCGGCCACAAGGCTGGCATCAAATGTCTCGATCACCACCCGTACGGAGACTTCCTCGTCTCGGGCTCGTCTGACACGCACATCAAAGTAAAGTCAATTCACTTTTAGACTTTGGACCTAATTTCTGTCGGTTTTTATAGGTTTGGGATATTAGACGGAAAGGCTGTATTTACACTTACAAAGGACATGACAAAAATGTCTCCTACTTGAAGTTCAGTCCTGACGGCCAGTGGGTTGCGTCGGCAGGCGAGGATTCCGTCGTCAAGGTCAGAACTCATTTCTACAGCTTCGATTTGCTTAAAAGTTCAAAGTGGTTTAACAAAATTACAGTTTCAATTGTCTCAGCAAAAACTCCATTTTAATTTAAAAGAGACTTAAAAAAATGGCCTAATTAATTGTAGTGGCTTTTTTCTCAACCAAAGTCAGTTCCAAGGGGAAATTTAAATAATTGGGAGAATTGAATTTTTTAAATTTAACATTGTTTCTTATGGAAATTTTCTAGATTAGTTTTTTTTTTTAAAATTGACAAGACGAAAATTTGTGTTAAAAATTTTACCATATCACCCCAATTAAGATCAAAAATTAAATGGTCAGTTGAAAGTTTTCATTGATCTTGTGAGAAAAAGTTCAGAAGTTTCTGTTGAAGTATAAAATGTACAAATTTGTCCTCAACGTTTGCAGCTATGGGATATTAGGACTGGCAAGTGCCTTGCGGTTTTCACTGAACACACGGCACCGGTGCTGACCGTTCAGTACCACCCCCACGAGTTCCTGCTGGCTTCGGGAAGTGCGGACAGAACGTCCAACTTCTGGGACCTCGAGCATTTCTCGATAGTCTCCACGTCCGACAAGGATGCAGGCCCAATTAGGTACAAAAATAATTTAAAATAAACACCACATTTTTCAACGTTTTCCCTCTTTACAGGAGTATTTTGTTTTCCCCGAACGGCGAGTGCATGTACGCCGCGTCTCAAGACTGTCTCCGCGTGCTGGGCTGGGAGCCGTCGCGGACGCTGGACATTGTGCCGGTCGGCTGGGGCAAAGTGCAGGACATGGTGATCGCCCCCAACAACCACATTCTGGCAGCCTCGTACTTCCAGTGCAACGTCTCCGTGCACATGGTGGACCTGAACAGGCTCGCGCCGCTCATCTCCGAGTCGCCGGACGCCGACGAGAAGCCCATCGAGGCCGGCCCCTTCGTCAAGGGCTCGCCGACGCGGAAAAGTTTTAGCAAAGACAAAGTGCCGTTGAGGCTTAAAATGGGCCTGAACGCGCCCAAGTCTCTCATGGAGGAGTCGTCGTCCTCATCGGGCTGTGGAGGAACCACGGACCAGGACGACTTTTCCGAGTTTGACGAGAAAGATGCGTTCAAAGCAGCCAGATCTTGTGAGTTGATTCAGTATTGTAGTAATTTCAATTGTATTATATCGAAGCCTCACAACTTCATCCCTCGACTGTGCCGCTTCTGTTTGTTTTACTTTTGTCGCATGCCCGTTTGAATTAATTCAAATTGCCTGTTGCTTGTTTTATTTATTTCGTTTGCTTGCCCGCTTGTGTTTCAGTGATTCGCACTCCCCCGCCTGAACCTTTGCCAGAGCCTAAAGAAGACGGTAAGGCCCGTAGCTAGAAATTAATATCCTTCCGCCGCAGCATGCTTTAAAATTAGGAGGAATTATTTATTTTTTGCTAATTTTTTTGAAAATTCACAGATGCGTCACTCTCGCCACAAATATTGCGGAAATCGTTCTCGGCCGAGAGTGGAGGAGAATCGCCCCCTGTAGTCACAAAACTTCCTCAACCCAAGTTTCAAATCGGTTCGCCTGCGAGGAGAAAAATGTCTGAAAATGCAGTACTTAATAATAGATTCCTGGATACAAATTTCGAAGTGCAGTACGTATCAAATTTAAAACAATTATTAGTCTAATTCGTATCATTTTAGTGGATTTTTTTTACAAGTGTTTCTTGTTGATAAGAACCGCCGGATTTCCTTTTTTATGTTTCTATTATATAGAGAAAAAACTACCTATCAACATCCTGTGTTGATCAAAAGATTTGTGGATAATGAGCGCGTTTGTCCATTTCAGAGTCGGCGGCAGGCTTCGGCACAGCCCTTCAGAGCCCACCCTGCACCAGCCCCCTCCCAGCAGCAAAGTGCCACCGTCCATTCCGCCCTCGCAGCACAACAAGTCCAACAACCGGAGCCAACTTCCGCCCAAGGCGCGCGGCCACGACTTCTACAGCTCCACCAACGACTTGTCCCCGAGAAAGTCGCGCAACGAACCCACCCTGCGCAAGCCCCTGCTGCCCCTGGGCAAGATCAAAACGGAGCGGTCGCCGCCGCCGCCGCTCCTGCCGCGCGGCTCCCCCCGAGACAATGCCCGCAAAATCCCGCGCAAGGCCATGACTGTGCCCCAATCGCCCGTCTCGGACACTTCCGACGACTCCTTCAGCATGCTCAGTTTGTCCGAGAAGAAGCATTCGTCGCTCGACTATGTCCCGATGCTGGCAGACAAACCAGCTGGCCTAGACATGGGCGATTTTCTTCCTGTGAGTTTCAAAGCAAATTGATTTTTTTTTTTTTTAAATTAACATTTTCTTTTAAATATTCCCTAAAGTATACTTCTCTTCTCAAATTTAAACGTAGACCAACTAATGGGATTTATTGATTTGATAATTATTTGTTTATTGTTCACTTTGTTATTAAAGATTTAATTAATTTTTGCAGACGGGTAGTTTTAGTCCGAGGTTTGGAGGCGGTCTTCATCCGGAAATGTCGGAGGCGGAAGGAATTTCGAATCTGCTGAGGGAGCACGACCAAATGACCACCGTCTTGCGGTCCAGGTCGCAAAACCTGCAGATCGTCTTCCAAACCTTAGCCAACAAAGACCTCAAGGTAATGTTTCCACCAAAGAAGTTCCACAATATTGATTTTTCTTTTTCTCGTCACCTCAGGCAGCTGTAGATTGTGCAATAGCCATTCAAGATCTTTCCCTGATGGTCGATCTCTTAAGTGTCATCAGCTTAAGGCCGTGAGTTTTAACAAATTTCATCAAATCTGCAGAGATAAAGATTTGAATTTTACTTTTGCAGACAACTCTGGAGTCTGGATCTTTGTGCCCTAGTTTTGCCAACGATCGGCACTTTGCTGCAGAGCAAATACGAAACGTAAGTTTCATTTTTTTAAATTTCCATGAAAGATTTTATTTTATATGTCTTGAACATTCCAAGCAGAATTTATTTGAATTCTTCGCATCACAAGTGAGTGTTTGCAAAATGCGTTTAAGCTTGAGTTGGCCCAGTTTTTGCAGCTAGGGTGGCCTTGCCAGTTGCACGATTCGCTAATTCTTGTTGTGCGCGCGAAAACTGCAGCAGGCCTTCCTATCAATTTACCAACGCTTGGCGCCGCTTGTGTTAATTAGATAAGCACTGCGCGACGCGTAACTGATAATTTATTGCCGATTACCACCATTTGCATAATTTAAAAGGAGGACAAGAGAAACATAAACAAACTTTCAAAGTGTGATTTTAACTCAAAGAGTATTGATTAAGATCAAAGAGTACCAAATGATTTAAGAAAAAAGTTCTAAATTGCCTCAAAATTTGAATTTACCGAAAAATATGCATTTTAAGATTGAAATTTCCTCAAATTCTGCAAGGGATAGAGCAAAAAACTCAATGGCAATCTTGTAGGTCATTAGAAGGGCTATAAATTTGGTATGAAGTAAAAGGTCGTAGGTCAACGGTCACCGAAATTGACCTGACGTTTTAAATTTGCCGCCAATATAACTAATACATGAAATTTTCAAAATTAAAAATAGCTAAAACGTGCCAAATTTAATGGAGAGGAAAATTATTGAAAGTTTGCAACTATTTCACCTTTTTGCTTTTGAGATATTCAAAGTCAAAGGGTAAAAAACGTGGTTCATCAAGCCATTTTTATTGTTAAAGTTGACTTGATGGAAGCGCAATAATTTTGCTTATGTTCAATTTAAAACAAATTTCTGGTTACCAGAATGTTTCTATCGATAAATCTCTTTCCATATCTGTGCTACAGCCTTAGAAATAATTTTTAATATATGAATGTAAAAAACAACTTTGAACAATTTTATTTCTTTCCGAAAAACGAAATTTGTTCTGGCTTGAATACGAAGCTAGTTTATTGATTCCCACAGTGCGAAGCCGAATAATAACAAGAAAGAGTGATCAAAAGGGGTGATTTTGGCGAGGCGTGAAGACCTCATTTGTGCTCGTCGCGCGATTTATTGGCTGTGTCGAATGGACAAATCGCAGGACATTTATTGAAATTGCAGTGCAGCATATTAACCCATTCACACTTATTCATGGAGCGCGCGTGCGTTGAGCTGCAATTAGACGCGCGCGCGATCGCCGCGATCACAGCTGCAGAAAGGGTTATTGTTCGGCGCCACATCTCGCCCGACCCGTGAAATTGGCACTGAACGCGCCGCTTCTTCGGCCGCCGCAAATTTGCCACCAATGTAGGTGAAAACACGCAGCGCTCGTAACTTTCCAAACGACGCCGCTCGCTTATTTTTATTGCCCTCACAAAATCCGATTCACGGTCCAAATGAGAGTCTGGGTCGCCCAGCCGTGACATTCAGATTCCGTTCCCTAACCTGCCCCACTCGGCCCACTCGTAAAATTTTATTTTACTCTGGATACTAAAATGAAGAGTTGAAAGTGAAAGAAATTCCTTCATAAATAATAATGTTATCAAAGAATTAAATTAATATTTTTATCAATAAATAATCAAATTTTTTATTGTAAAATTAAAATGATTCATATCATTTTGTTTAAAATGCAACCGAAATTTAATTTAGTTTTTTCTATTTCAAAGCGGCAGAAAAATTGTAAATAAATTATATTTTAATTAAATTACTTAATTTAAAATATCTAATACACTTTTAACTAAATATTTAATTAACAAATAATCAGGTTTTTTAAATTTTTATCGAAAATAATTTATATCATCTTTACATTTAAAATACGACGGAAAATTAATTTAGTTTTTTTTTTAACAAAGAGGTTCCGCGTGTCAGTTCAAGTTGATTGTCAAGCTCTCCAGTTACAATGACACAGTATGCTTGCGCGCGAGTGTATTTCGCTCAACCCTTTTTTTTCAAATTGCATTGGAAATGCAAATGAGGGCGCTGCTGGCAATCCGAGCTCGCTTCAATACAAATTAGCCCAAACAAAAGACCCCAACTCTCGAACCTGTCACGAGTAGTTTTTTTCTTTTCAATCGCGCTACGCATCATCTGTCACCCAATTTCTCGGCCGTCTGCGGTTCCTAACCGAAAAAGGGACACACGTCTCAGAAATGCGGTTGAAATTTGCGGTCAAAAATTATGCAGCATTAAAATTATTTCTTTATCATATGATTTTCATGCAGATCCAAACTTCGATATTTTTTTTTTTTTCAGTAAAAACCAGTTCAGGAGGTAAAAAAAATCTCATTAATTTTTCGAAATATTACATTTTTTTGCGAAAAATTAAAGTTTTTTTTTTTTAAATTTATTACAAATTTAAATTACTCATTACATTATAATGAAGCTGATTTAGTTCAATTTGGCCGGTGTGTTAATTAAAAAGGGATGGTTGAAATGCTGCGGGCAGGAGGCCAGTTTGAAAGCGATACTCGCCGCGAGTCGCAGCTGCCGAGCGTCTCTTTTTCTTCGGCCCTGCCGGGCTCGCAATTAGCGCAACCCGAGATGAGCCCCAATAAAACTTCATCTCACGCGAGAGAGAGAAGGAAATGAAGAAGGTGCACTTTGAATCGGACATGTTAAGTGACGAGACCATCCACCCTCTGCCGCTGCTTTTCCTGCTCAAACAAATTCAGCACCTTGCGCCGTTCCAATACGGCTTCCCAAGTAAATACATTTGCTGCTTTAAGAGTTAAGTCGATTTGAAAAGCGTCTAGGCTTTTAACGGCTTAACAAGTTGTCCAAATTTTTGCTGTAAAATGCGATACTTTTGGTTTCAATCATGATAATCGACGTAACGGTGATTTTTTTAAATCGAAATATGATATCAAAGTTTACAATTTGATATTTTAATCTCACTGATTTTTATACCCAAACTCTTCCATTTCCAACGAAAAACAAAACAAAATCTATTTGACTCAATTATGGTGATAAAAAGAGTCAATTTAAACTCATCTGAACAGATTATTTTCAGTCTTTTGAACGCTATTTAAAATTCTACAATATTTTCAAAACTGCTGGTCAAAAGTTTTGGAAAATTTGTATTCTGATTCAAAATGAACTATGGCGTTTTGTCAGGTTACTTTTTTTAATGGGCATGAAACTTTATAATTTGGCCCTTTTGCCAAGAAAATTAAAAAGAAAATACATATTTAAAACTAAATTAACTTGAGAAAAGTTGTAGCTCGTATTGGAATTTTAAAAATATCAAAAATTTTCATTAAGTTGGGTTTTATAGGAATGAAAATATGAACCAATGAACCATTTTTGCAGATGTAAAGTAATTCCAAGTGATTAAAAATTAGCTTGATTCTGAGCAAGAAAAACTACATTTTTTCCATATTGATTTATATATTTTTCTCAAAAATTTTCGCGATGAATACCAATTTTCAGGTGAACATGCTGTTGGGTCACAAACTCTTACCAAAGTTTGCTCATTGACTTAAAATACAATCAAATGATTTTTGCAAAAATTTACCTTAAGCAAGCCATTTTAATTTTGAATAATAATTTTAAATTATTCTCAATTTAAAAGAAAAAATCCACATGATCAACTTTAACCATAATATAGAATCACAATAATTGATGCTTTATTAATTTCAATCGCTATTTATACACAATTTAATTATTTTGCACTAATTGTTTTCAATTGAATTTGCAGGTACATGAACGCGGCGTGTTCGGCGCTGCGTCTGATTCTGCGGAACTTTGGCTCGGTGATCAAGAACAACTCGAGCGGCGGTTCGGCGATCGGCGTGGACATTTCGCGGGAGGAGCGGCGCGCCAAGAGCAAGAAGTGTCTGGACCACCTGGTGGCGATCCACGCGCTGCTCCTCAAGAGGCAGACGCTGCAGGGCCCCCTCGGCAACACCTTCCGCGAGCTGCAGGCGCAAATGGCCACCGCCCTCGACTTTTAAAATTTAATTTTCTACCGGCAAGACTTATTAGCTTAATTTTTGAGGCAACGACTTTTCCGATCAACTTGCTTCGAGCATTCCTAAAAAAACCACCATTCCGAGAGGGATGTGTTTTTTTTTTTAAATTAAACTTTTTTCGTTTTAAATTTTCGTCCTCCTTTAATTTATTTTTAATTCTAATACGATTCCGAAAGATTAACCAAAGCTGTATTTTAATCAAAGCTCTCTCACGTTTTTCATTCCAATCAAACTGAAAATAAGCAAATTCCTTAAACAAGGCAATGGATATTAATTTGGTGGTGTTTCCGAAAAAAAAATTGAATTATTAGTTGGTATTTTGTTTCCATTACTTCCTAGCTAAAACAAAGAACTAATAATTCCAACTTGCCACTAAATGAAGACTTGAGTTTTTGTGCGAATTCGAGGAGAAAACTCCCGAGGAGTTGCAGCGCTTGGATTCTTCTTGCTTTTGCAAAGATTTGTAATTCCACTTTGTAGTCTCTTGTTTTTTTAATGTTAAGCGTTTAATTTATTTAAAAATGGAACCAAATAATAATTTTTATTGTTAATTCAGGTGATAGTAGCTGAGTACATAAATAATTGTTTTTAGTCTCCGAGGGCGTACTAAAAATTTGAACTAATTGTAAAACAATTTATAACTCAACAAATTTAACCAATGTTCCCTTAATCAACATGTCTCACAAATAATTTGTAAGAAAAAACCTGTGATCTAACAAAAAATCATTTTTGCATTGAGAACGTTTGTAAGAAAATAATTCATCGAAAACTAAAAATAAATTTAAAAAAAGAGGCTTGGGAAAAGGTTCACAAAAGAAATTATGTCAGTTGAGCTGAATTTTCCTTTTTAAATTGGAACGCTTCCTGAGTCTCTGTCACTTTTCGTGTGAAACTGAAAAAAAACTCACAAATTTCTCTCATGTGTGCCGCAACTCAAGATTTGAACTTCAAACAGCCCCAGTTGTTTTTCTGATCCACTAAAAACAGATCTCCGTCCAGTAAGTGGCTGCATTGACTGTAGCTTAGCTTGTGGCCTTAAAACTCAGTAAAGTTTGAAAATCACGTGAGGAATTTATTAATAGTTTAAGTGATTTGTTTTGCAAGAGTGTCTGACGAATTGAAAATTTATTGGATTTGGAATACTAAAGCTATGTTAAAGGATGCAATTGAAACAAATCAAACTTCTTGAGAATAAGCACACGTCGTCAAGTAATAAAATGTGGAAAATAATTCACTGAATTTTATTTTATATATTCAATCCTTATTTAGCTTTTAAATTAATTGATGCACTTGTTAATTCTCTATTTTATTTGCAAATGAAATCATAATTTCTAATTTTTTTACATTATAAATTTAAATATTGAATATTAGTTCGGTCAAAATAGATCAAAAAGGGATCCGGCTTAGAAAAAATCAATGATAGCTGATTTTGACCACTTAAAATAAATTCAGTGAGAAAAATTCTCCAGTTTCAGCAGCCAGAATCTCAACCTGAATTTTTTTGGCAATTTTAATTCCAAGATTAACTTTAAACGACCATACCTTTGGTTCTATTTGACTTAGACACATTTCTTTGTGGTTCTGGAAAGAAAAGAAAATGGTTTACAAGAAAGAAATCGTTCAGAACACGTTTGGTGCAAAGTATTTTAGAATAATAAGAAAAAAATTAATTTTAAGCTTTACTAAAATGGATTTCCCACCAAGGTTAATTATTTTACAAGAAAATGTTTCAAACAAAAGTAGAAGAAAATTTAATTTTGCACATTCTATGTATTTTCTACTTTCCTCTCAATCCAACAGGAAATGCACTAGAAAAGCAGAAACATTATAAAATGTGGTTTTCTTCAAATTTTTGTTCAATGCGAAAATGACATTCGAGGACAAAATGCTCAAAATCACCTAAAAGTGTAGCCCTTACACAATAGAATGCATCATGCCAATGTGAAGAACTCTCACTTAAGCCTTCCAAGTTTAGGGGCAAAAATTAAATCTCTGTGCTTTTCAAATGACGCTAAATTTGAGGAAACCTACATTTTTTAACATTCTTACTTTTCTAGTGCATTTCCTGTTGGATTTAGAAGAAAGAAGTGATATATTAAATGTGCAAAATTAAATTTTTACAACTTTTGTATCAGGCATTTTTTTATAAAACAATTACCCTGCGCCGTAAATTCATTTTAGTAAAATTTTCTAATAATTTTTTTTCCGAATTATCTATAATTTTAAATCAAAACGAGGTTTGAACGATTTCTTAATATTTCTAACTTGTAGGCCATATTTTTGTCTTTCCTAAACCATGAAAAAAACTTGTCAAAGTCAATTAGAACCAAAATCATAGCCGTTTAAAGTTAATTCGGATGCTAAAATAACCTAAATATTCAAATAGAGATTCTAGCAGAAGCAATGATTACATTGAGGGGTAACAAAATACATCTTTATAGAAATTTTTTCTGGGTCAGACCCCTTGTAGATCTATTTTGACAGGACTCTCATGATTATTTTTTTAAATTATAGTTATAATTTGCAATTTAAAATTAATTAATTTAAATTTCATTCTTAAAGTTTTATTAATTTGAAATATTGTCTTTTAAATTTTCTATTCGATAATTATGATAAATTTATGAAAGGTATTTATAAATTGAAAAGCCCGAAGCAGCAGCAGCAGCAGGTTGTGTGAATCGCGCATATAATTTGAAATATGGCTAGAAACGCCGAGCGAGAGCTGCTCTTGTGGTCTTCAGGCCGCCTCCGAAGGCCTTCTGACCACAACTTCCGCCAGCCGCTCTCGGTTGCCACGGAAACTCTTCACGTAGAAGTAAAAATACAAAATATTCAAAGGAGGAGGCCAGCGTCGGAAATTTTATCAAAATCAGCGTTGCAAGAAAAAGCGGCTGATTAATTTTATGCACTTGTTACAAATAATGATGAATGGTTGGACGAAATTAAAACACATTTATTCAAATGAGACATGTGTGCATAATAAATTTGTCTCTTGTCGAAACAATTAAAGTCGCAGCTGCATAAAAAAGGGCATGCACTGCCCGGCTCCATAAATTTCGAGGCACAGCTTGGACGAAACAATTTAATAATTGCCGCAGCTAAGCGAATCAATTCAGTGTCAACACCCGGCGCGAGCGAGCGACTCACCCTTCGGAACAAGGGTTGCGCACCCGGGTGGCATTCTATGCAGTTTATTAGCGCACCCCGCGCTCTCTCTCTCTCGGCCACCCCTTTCGGACCAACTGCGCCCTTTCAACATTATTCACTTCCGCACATCACGGCGCGTCTACTGAATTCAATAAATTATTTATTTTTTAGACAAAATTACATTTTTTATACATTTTTCTTTTTTTTTCTTCAAAAGTATTTGTGATTTTTAGTATTTTTTTCAATATTTTATTTATTTAAAATTCTTTTAATAGCAAAAAGTTTCTTCTCGTTTTATCTCCATCATACTTTCTCTACACTTATTTTACCGTGTTAATTTTACAAATCATAAACCGCTACTATTATTTTTAGCGGAAACGGAAACGCTCCTTTTTCCTTTAAAAAAAACAGGATGAATAACTCATTGCGACACAAACATCAGTCAATTCGTGATGTATTCCTTTGGAAGTTTTCTAGCTTTTCACTTTTGACATCTTCATAAAGGTGACGTTTTTGCTTTCAAATTTATTGTTAAATTTATTTGTTTGCAGAAAGATGGGGGCAGAAATCTTAATCGACTATGTCATCTCAACGGCGGCAATGTCCATTCCAGCCTTTTTCCTCGTCGTAATTTTGTCGAAAATACTGAGCTCGCCGGAGAAACGCAACTCGATGATGGGCCGACTGGTCGCGTGTCAATCGGCCATGGTCGTCATCGGCTTCTTGTGCGTCCTCCTCATGATCCCGATTTTCCTTTTGAGCTCGGCTTCGCAAAGAACGCAGCGAATGGTACTCGTCGCCGCCATTGGTATATCAAAAAACCAGTTTTGCAAAAAAAATTTATCAAGTATTTTTTTAGAATTTTTCTACTTCAGCTCGCTCGCCTGGCTCAACGTTCTATGCTTGGAAACTTTCTATAATTTCAGGCAAATTATAAAAATAAATTCGAATAAGAATTGATATTGAATAATTTCAGAGGTTTTAAATACATGGTGATTAATTTGGCCGAGTCCAAAGGCAAACGATTGCTCATTTACGTGATCCACACCACCCTTGTGTCAGTCATTTGCACTTTTCTGGCCGAGCTCATCCAAAAAGCCGAAGGTTGTGTAAATAATTTTAAAAAATTAAAATTATAATTCAAGCTGGTTTCAGATCCTCCAACGAGAGGAATGGTGATCGTCGGCAACGGCGTCCCGGCGTTGATTATTTCATTTTGCAACGGTTTTCTTTTTGTTTCCACGCTGAAGAATTTGTTGACGACCCGGTCTGAATACGAAGAGCTTCAAAATGGGAAATCATTGAATGGCGTTTTGCAGTAACATTTTTTTTAATAACTTTGATTTGAGATGATTAATTTAATCCAACAGGTTGACGCCGATCAACATGATCAAGTGGATGATTTGCGTTTCCGAAGTCAGCGTGATCATTTTAATCCTGGCCATCATGCTCGACACGTCGCTCGCTCTGATTTTATTCTTGATTTTGATGCGCCAGTTTTTCTGGGGCGTAATTTATCTTTGTCTGACCAATAAAAACTGATATGTACATGTTCAATTCTGTTGATTTATCAAAATTTTTCTATTGGAAATATTTTTTTTTTTTAATATTTCCAAGAGGTAAATTTTGATGATAAATTATACCTATTGATTTTAATCTGCAAACTCTATTGGCGTGTTACGAACTTGATTTTGTTTTTATTCATTTTAATTCGGCCGACTTTGAGTAAAAAACTATATCTTTGAAAATCCCCATAAAAAATTAAGTTCTTAAAAAATTGAATTTTTCTAAAGATGTCTCGTTGGAATTTACATCTAAAAATCAATGCTAATGTAGAGAAAAATTATCATAAAAAATTAATTTCTAACCGTATCTCAGCAGAAGTCAGTCCTAAAGTATTTCTTTCTAAAAACACTTTAAATTGGAAAAATTTGTCATACTTTGTGCCGTTTTTTATAATAACACTCTATTTTTTCTATTTTTGATGAAGGCCAATTTTTCTCCACTCAAAAAAGCCCACGGTGCAGAAAACAAATTTGGTCATGCAAAAATACGTCCTTTGTAAAACGGGAAATTTTCAAACCTCAAAACCACACTTTTGCTGGAGAGAAGCATTAATTTATTTTTTAGTAAATTGGCAGAAGTTGTTCAACAAGTTTGGTCGAATTAACATGGAGAACGCGAGCATTCAAACCGATGATGAGGACCCGATGGTCGCGGAAATCCAAAGATCCGCGGCCACCATCCTCTACATTCCGATGGCGTTTATGATCTTCTCGGCGATCATGCTGCTGATTGTGATCGTAAATATTCTGAAATCTGCCGAGAAACGCAGCACCATGGTCGGGAAAATCGTCGCCTGCCAGTCCATCGCTCTGTTCGTCGGCTACCTTTTGATCGCAGTTATTTTGGCATGTTTGGTCGTGCTAATTTACAAACCGTCCGAGGCAATACTTGCTCTCGGCCTGATTGCTTATTTTCTGATTCCTCTTATGGGTGAGTTTACGATGCAAACTTTACAATTATCTTCATAGCTTTTATAAAACCGTTTTTATATCATTTATTATTAAAATTTGAGATAACCGAGTGAAAAAACTTTAAATATTTTTATCAAGTAAGTAAATATCTAATTAATATAATTTTTTTGATTCTTCAACTGATCAACTTTTCCAATCAGAAATTATTTAAATTTCATTTGTGCTCTTAAATGTACATTGGATATAAACAATTCTTTTTGTGCAGGCGCTGTTTATCTGAGTTCCCATTTTTGGTTGAACGTGCAGTGCTTTGATGTTTTCTACAACTTTCGGTATTGATTTATTCTTAATTATAATAAACCCTTTTTATTAATCATTGAATTTTTAGGAATATCGAGAACATGTTGAGTGTTGTGAATAAGGACAAAGAATCGCACAAATGCAGATTTGCATTGTACTGTTTGTACGCGATCTTGTTGCCCATCATCATAGCAGTGGCGGCGTTCATTGTTACAATGTTAGAGCAAACTGGCACCAACAAAAAATGCAAGTTGCTTTTAATTATTAAAATATATTATGAGTTCCAATTTATCTAATTAAAGCTGCAAATTCATTTGATCGTTTTAATTTACTTCTTACATTAGTAACATGGGCACCAATTATATTCGGAGCTCCTGTGTTGATCTTCACTGTGGCCAACTTGATATTCGTCGGCATCACCAGGAGAAACGTTTCCAAAATGAGACGAGAAATGAGAAGTTTTGACAGCAATACCAGCCGAGCAGGAGCGATTTCATCAACTTGGTATACGATCTATATAAAAAATTAAGCTGATATATGACCAATTTTTTTTAACATAGGCTGACTATCAAAATGCTTCTGACCACTCTCGGCATCACGTGGATATTTGAAGCGATTTTGATACTCGGCGTTTTCCTTGAATTTCCACCCAACTTCATGTTCCTCATCGTCATAATTTGTCTCCTCCGTGGCGTTACCACGTCAGTGATTTACTTGTGCTTTAATTTCCAAAGGAAATAAAGTCCTTTTGTGTACATTAAAAATAATAATAAGCTCATTGTTCAAAAATTACCGATATTTTCAGATATTTTTTTTTTTTAATTTTCCAGATTTTTTTCTGTGGTGATGTTTTCTTATGTTGCGAAGTAACAATTTCTGGATTTTTTTTATTTATATTTAAATTTTGCTCATAATTTAAGTTTAAATATATATTTTTACTACAAGCTGCATTTCTTTTCCACAAAAAGAGAGAGAAAAGAGCATTGGAAACAGATTTAAAAATACTTCCTGTCAAAACGCGACCTCAAAACCACTTTTTTCTGGCTGTGGAAAAGCACAATTATATTTTAACGTGAGGCACAAGTTCTTCTACGCTAGTATATTGGGTCGAACCAAACAAGAATGGATGAATCTGATTACCCAATAATCGCGGAAATCCAAAGATCCGCGGCCACCATGCTCTACATTCCGATGGCGTTTATGATCTTCTCGGCGATCATGCTGCTGATTGTGATCGTAAATATTCTGAAATCCGCGGAGAAACGCAGCACCATGGTCGGGAAAATCGTCGCCTGCCAATCCATCGCCCTCTTCATCGGCTACCTTTTGATCGCAATTCTATTGGGATTCTTGGTCATGTTCATTTACATATCGCTCAAAGGAATAATTGTACTCGTCATAATTGCTTATTTTCTGATTCCTCTCATAGGCGAGTTTCGTGACAGTGAAATTTCTAATAACTTTTGTAAAAACCCTATCAAATTTCTGAATATTAAAAAAAAATCATAAAATTATGTTATCAATTGTTTATTTTAATTATTTATTGGAAAATTTATGTCATAAAAATTTCTGTAAATTTAATTTAACCTATAGACTTTTCAAATGCAATCAGAAAATGTAAAATTTTAACAATAAAGGTAGTTTCATATAATTTTCTTTATAGGTGCTGTTTATCTGAGTTCTCATTTTTGGTTGAACTTGCAATGCTTCGAGGTTTTCTGCAATTTTCGGTATTTATTTATTTTTAATTATCCATTTTAATAATTGCTTTTCTAGGAATCTGGAAAACATGTTGAGTGCTTTGAAGAAGGAAAAGGACTCGCACAAATGCAGATTTGCAATGTACTGTCTGTACGTGTTTGTATTGCCCATCATCATAGCAGTGACGGCTTACATTGTTGCTTGGAAAGAGACTTTCGGCGATTTGCGCGATTCAAAAAGCAAGTTATTTATAATATTCTGTGTTGCAAAATTTCCTCTCAAGAAAAGGTATTTCCAGGGACGTAACTTAAAAGTTGGGGGCGTTGTGGGTTGCGTAGGGGGTTGGAAGCTAAAATCACAGAAAATAGTCCATAAAAACTGAAACAAACCATCAGTTCAAACAGGCGATACGCAAGTGCACAAATCAATAAAACCTATTTTTCAAAAATTTAGACGAGAGCTTAGAATAGGTCAAATTCAAGAAGGACTACAATCACTGTAAATGGTGGACCGCCTTTCATCCGAAAGGAATTTGTCCGAAAATGCCTTTTCGGACTTCATCCGAGTAATCCGTCACTGGGGAATTGAATGAATTTGTGATATTTTCATATATTATGTTCTTTTATTAATGTGATTAGAAAAGTATAAATTCTGTTCCATCTGATAAATTTCATAAATTTGTGGCATAAAAATGGAAAAATAAGATTCTTTTTAAATTATTGCATTGAGCTTGATGTTGGCAAAGTTTTAGTTGGATAATTAACAATTAATTTATTTTATAAAAATGCCTTAAAAATTTGCCAATTTCCATTAGGAATGACTTATTGAAAATTTCCGTGTGTAACTTGTGTCCCAATATATGCTGAGAAAAATGTGTTACGTGACGTGCATCACGTGATTTGTATAGTTCCGGCTTGTAGATTCTGTCGCTTTGTCCGGTAAGTTGTGTCTGCTGTAACTTGTTGCCGCATCACAAAACCACACAGTTTTTCCAAACTTTTTGTCATGTATAAGAATCCGTTTATCTCAGCACTAAACTTGTTTATGTTCAAACTACTTTAATACAGCTGATTGAAAAAAAAGCGGTACTATTGTTATAGCCGGTTTTCGGATTAATTCCGAATTTTTTCGGCCTATTTCCTTTCGGATGAATTCCGATTTTTTTCGGACTATTTCCAAATTTTCGGATAAAGTCTAAAAAGGCACTTTCGGACCAAGTCCGGCGACCCCTGTAAATACCAGAATTTCGAAAAAGTTACACCTTCATAACGCGTTTGAAGCTAAAATCACAGAAAATAGTCCACACAAACCATCAGTTCAAACGGTCCATATTAGAGGTAGTTCCCATTTCTCAAAATTAATTAAGCTGCTGTCCATTTTTAACTTAGTAACATGGGCACCAATTATATTCGGAACTCCTGTGCTGATCTTCACTGTGGCCAACTTGATATTCGTCGGCATCACCAGGAGAAACGTTTCCAAAATGAGACGAGAAATGAGAAGTTTTGACAGCAATACCAGCCGAGCAGGAGCGATTTCATCAACTTGGTATACGATCTATATAAAAAATTAAGCTGATATATAACCAATTTTTTTTAACATAGGCTGACTATCAAAATGCTTCTGACCACTCTCGGCATCACGTGGATATTTGAAGCGATTTTGATACTCGGCGTTTTCCTTGAATTTCCACCCAACTTCATGTTCCTCATCGTCATAATTTGTCTCCTCCGTGGCGTTACGACGTCAGTGATTTACTTGTGCTTTAATTTCCAAAGGAAATAAAGTCCTATCGTATCTAAATGATCAGGAAATAATAATTTTCCTAATTTTTTTTCTCTTCAAATTTGTTTTTCATAATTTACTGCATTTTGTTTTTAACGGTATCGTGACTTAATAAATTCGAAATTTTTGTGTAATGAGGCAAGTAATGGATATTAATTAAATAAAATTGGATATACTTTGCATAATATTATATCTGATATAAATTTAAATTCTTTAAAAAAAAGTGTTATGTTTTGTAAAACGATTGACGTGTTAATATTTGCCTTAATCAAGGTGAGATAAAGTGCAGGAAACTGTGGTTGGTCAAACAAAACATTACTTCCTTTTTCTGAAACGGAAAATGTTCGAAACCCGGAACCTCAAAATCACATTTATTTTATTCCTTATCTTGAGGAGAAACACATTTTTGCAGCATTTGCTTTTTGTCACGGTAAAGCAAAACAAGAATCAAGAATGGTTGCAGAAAATCAAACCGATGCAGACTATGACTATGACAATGACTATGACAATGACTATGACTATGACAATGACTATGACTATTACAAAGAATTTCGGCACTTCCTCGACACTACCACCTTCTTCTACATTGCGATGGCTTTTATGATCATCTCAATGATCCTGCTTCTGATTGTGATCGTCATTATTCTGAAATCAGCAGAGAAACGCAGCACCATGGCTGGCAAAATCGTCGCCAGCCAGTCCATCGTTCTCTTCATCGGCTATTTTCTGATCGCAATCATTCTGGGGTACAAGATCGAGTACGCAAACGCAAATCTTGCGGAGGATTATGAAGGTACCGATTTGGAGCATATATTGATTGGTTCTGCGGTTATTTTTGCAGGTGAGTAAGTTGTTATTTTATCATATATAAGAACCCAAAATCATTCTCAAATTTTAATCCAAGGCTTTATAATTTGGAAATATATTAAAATTTGTATCATTTATTCAAATATAATTCAAACTTTTCATTTAAGCTCAAATTCATACAAAAAACTAGCTTGAACTTTGATTAAATTTCTTTTTAAAGGCGCTGTTTTTCTGAGCTCTCATTTTTGGTTGAACGTGCAGTGCTTTGATGTTTTCTGCAACTTTCGGTATTTATTGAATCTTAATTATAATTATCCCTTTTAATCATTGAATTCTTAGGAATATCGAAAACATGTTGAGAGTTTTGAACAGGGACAACGACTCGCAAAAATGCAGATTTGCAATGTACTGTTTGTACGCGATTCTCTTGCCCATTATTATAACAATGGCTGCAACCATTCTTGACGTAGTGGCCGGAGAGCCAGATGGCAATCAGCAAGTTTCCGGACACGAAAGCAAGTTATATTTTTAGTTGGAATTAAATGCTTCCACTATTTGACGTCTTAAATAAAATGCTGTATATTTTATTGTTAATTAATTTACTTGTTAGATTGGGCGCTAATAATATTCGGAGCTCCTGTGCTGATCTTCACTGTGGCCAACTTGATATTCGTCGGCATCACCAGGAGAAACGTTTCAAAAATGAGACGAGAAATGAGAAGTTTTGATAGCAATACCAGCCGAGCAGGAGCGATTTCGTCGATTTGGTATTAAAATAATTTAATATCTCCATGTTATTTATTTGTGTTGTTAAAAAGGCTGACGATCAGAATGCTTCTGGCCACTCTCGGCATCACGTGGATATTTGAAGCGATTTTTATGTTGTGCCTTTTTTTTGAATTCATGCCATTGAGCCTGGCAATCACGTGTGGCTTTATTTGCTTCTTTCGTGGCGTCACTTCCTCAATTATTTACTTGTGCTTTAATAGAAGAAATTAAATCATTGATCATAGAATCAAAAGAAAAGCAGGAATATGATATATAGATGCAAAATGTAAGTAATTTACTTCTAGTCTCCTCGTATTATATTAAAGTTTGAGAACAAATTTGTTTTTGAGAAAATATACATAATCATTTATTAAAAATTTATAAACTTGCATCTTACTTTTGTTATCATACAAATATATAATTTAACGTTTCCATCGGATTTTAAATTCCAAAAAACTGTGCAATTTTGTTTATAATTGTTAATTAAAAAAAATTGTCCATAAAAATTGAGTTGTGAATTCTTGAAGGATTTTCTCCTGATTTATTTATCTATTTCTAAATAACAGCTAAAAAATATTTTGATTTTGGGATGCTTTTCTATTAGCATAGTGTATTCAGTGCGAGTATAGGCGAGACTAGCGTCAAGTTTTTACATTGGCCGACAATTCAAAAAAATCAAACAGTGACTTATTTTGCTAATTCAAATTTGCAATAATTAAATATACAGCGTGTGCCAAAAGTCAACGACCAAAAGTATTTTACTGCCATTTTCGAACGGGTTGAGATAATTGAGTTTTCTCGACGGCAGGTTGAAGAAAAACTGTCCAAGTTTTTGTGGTTTCATTGTAGAATCATTGTTGCAATTAGAAGCTTGCTATTTTGCAAAAATTGCATAAATTGAAAATGAAATTTGGCTCTTATGGGAAATCCATGTTAAATTTTGACTTTTTTCAATTTTTGAATTTTGAAATGAAACAAAGGTGATCCTAGCCTAAAATTTTGCGAGGACCACGGTTTTGAGGTTGGTTTTGAAGTAGGGTGTCCGTTTAAGGGTGATTTTCACGATTTTATGCCTTTTTTCCGTGAAAACGCAGATGAACCTGAATTCTGACTTCACCAATCGATTTAGAGTGCAAAGTTTGCCTTAGGAAAAAATTTTCATTTATCTCTCTCATTTGGTTCTATAAAAAGTAAAAAGTCCCTCAATTAATTATTCAGAAAAATTCGTTAAATTATTAGATCCATCCAGAAAAAATAAAAGTCCAGTTTTTAAATTGAAAAACTAAATTTTTTTATGTTTTACATGATGAGTGGAAAAAGGAGTTTTTAATTAAACATCTGTCACCCATCTAGTTCACGAGAAAAATTTAAATCACAAATTTTGGGTTGGTTATCTACTGTGAAAAATAAGTAATTTGAATAAATAAATTATAAGTCCAGTTTTTAAATTGAAAAACTTAAATTTGTTTTGTTTTACATGATGAGAGGAACAAGCAATTTTAAACTAAACATCTGTCACCCATTCAGTTTACGAGAAAATTTTTTAATTACAATTTTTGGGTTGATTATCTTCATTGAATAATAAGTAATTTCATTAAAGAAAAATAAAAGTCCTGTTTTTAAGTTGAAAAAATTAAATTTGTTTTGTTCTACATAATGAAAGGAACAAGCAATTTTAAACTAAACATCTGTCACCCATCTAGTTCACGAGAAAAATTTAAATCACAACCTTTGGGTTGGTTATCTACTGCGAAAAATAAGTAATTTGAATAAATAAATTATAAGTCCAGTTTTTAAATTGAACAACTTAAATTTGTTTTGTTCTACATAATGAGAGGAACAAGTAATTTTTAACTAAACATCTGTCACCCATCCAGTTTACGAGAAAAAATAAACTGTTTCATTTTGGATGATTATTAACTGTGAATAATGATAAATTAAAAAAAAATATAAGTCCAGTTTTTATATTAAAAAACTCGAAAGTTTTTCGTTAAATATGATGGGAGGAACAAGAAATTCTTAACCAAACATCTGGCACCCATTTAGTTTGTGAAAAAAAATTTAAATCACAATTAGTCCATTACTCATGTTATTAACAGTAAATAATCAACCAAAATTTTGTAATTTAATTTTTTTGGCAAACTAAATGGGTGACAGATGTTAAGTTAAAAATTTCTTGTTCCTCCAATCATATTTAACAAATTAACTTAAAGTTTTTTAATTTAAAAACTGGACTTTTAGTTTTTTTTAATGAAATTACTTATTATTCAATGAAGATAATCAACCCAAAAATTGTGATTAAAAACTTTTCTCGTAAACTGGATGGAAAACAGATGTTTAATTAAAAACTGCTTTTTCCACTCATCATGTAAAACAAAACAAATTAGAGTTTATTAATTTAAAAACTGGACTTATAATTTATTTATTCAAATTACTTATTTTTCACAGTAGATAACCAACCCAAAATTTGTGATTTAAATTTTTCTCGTGAACTAGATGGGTGACAGATGTTTAATTAAAAACTGCTTTTTTCACTCATCATGTAAAACATAAAAAAATTTAGTTTTTCAATTTAAAAACTGGACTTTTATTTTTTCTGGATGGATCTTATAATTTAACGAATTTTTCTGAATAATTAATTGAGGGACTTTTTACTTTTTATAGAACCAAATGAGAGAGATAAATGAAAATTTTTTCCTAAGGCAAACTTTGCCCTCTAAATCGATTGGTGAAGTCAGAATTCAGGTTCATCTGCGTTTTCACAGAAAAAAGGCATAAAATCGTGAAAATCACCCTTAAACGGACACCCTACTTCAAAACCAACCTCAAAACCGTGGTCCTCGCAAAATTTTAGGCTAGGATCACCTTTGTTCCATTTCAAAATTCAAAAATTGAAAAAAGTCAAAATTTAACATGGATTTCCCATAAGAGCCAAATTTCATTTTCAATTTATGCAATTTTTCGCAAGCTTCTAATTGCAACAATGATTCTACAATGAAACCACAAAAACTTGGACAGTTTTTCTTCAACCTGCCGTCGAGAAAACTCAATTATCTCAACCCGTTCAAAATTGGCAGTAAAATACTTTTGGTCGTTGACTTTTGGCACACGCTGTATAATATTAATTATATTTTTCTTTAAAAATTAATAATTTTCACATGAGCTAAACTGGAATTTCATGAACCGAAGTTTGTCCGAGACCCATGATTCAGGGTAGGACGTAAAGAAAACCCGCGCCCTTGTGTTCCGTGGTCGCTAAGTGAGAGGGAGGGTGGGTCGTGAAAGCGAATTTATTTTTTAAGGGATGCTCCCAGCTGGCTACAAGTTTCAGAAAATATATATCCAAACAAAAGAGCTTCTCACTTGATTCTGGACTTTTAGAAGTTTACAAATACAGACAGCGTTTGAAGTTTGAACTTGCTGAGCGAGTATTTGCTGGCAAATAACACTCTTTGGAGCAAACTAAATTACCATTTATGATAAAGATTATCTGAAGAGCTAATTGGTTTTGCTTCCCCAGCTGGAGAAAAACAAATTTTGAATGTCTTCTTTGGCTGGTTGTCCAGAATACGCTGATCGAAATGGAGCAAAAAAGCGCCGCCGAAATCGACAAAGTCGTGAAGCAGTTGCAGGACACGTGTTTTGCCACGATCTTCTACGTGCCAATGGCAGTTCTGACCGTCGCCATGCTCTTCTTGATCACGGCGATCGTCATCATATTCAAGTCGGCCAAGAACCAGCGCGGCACCATGACTGGAAAAATCGTCGTGTGCCAGTCGGCGACCATGTTCGTCGGCTTCCTCGTCATCAACATCATTTTGGGATGCTTGCGTCAACTCATTTACGACCCGACGGAGGCCTCGCTGATTTTTTTCATGATCATCTTTGGCCTTCCTCTATTGGGTGAATTTGTAGTTTTAAATTTACGTCAAATGTTTTGTCCTCTCCACAATGTTTAAATGCCAAGTGGTTTTTATTGCTCTCTTTATTCCCTTTATTCAATCAAAATCACCAATGTGTAATTCTATAGAAAGCAAATGCAAATATCTCAGCAGTTTTGATATTTAATGTTGTTTAATTTCAACGTATTATGACGACGAATAGCAAAAAAATTATTCACCCTTTTCCGCTTTTAAAAATAATTTATCCATTTGAAACGTGAAAAACCAGAATTATTGATTTTCAAACAGGTGCTCTTTATCTGAGTTCGCACTTTTGGTTGAACATCCAATGCTTTGACGTTTTCTACAATTTCCGGTACGAATTTATTTCTGCATCATTCGTTTAATTTTCCATTTAATGCAACTGTTTCAGAAGCGTTGAAAATAGCCCGAGCAACGCGCCCAGAGGATCGCACAGATGCAGATTCGCAATTTACTGCCTTTACGCAATTCTGCTGCCTATTGTTCTCGTCTACACAACAGCTAATTACTTGTTGCAAAAGGATTCATCTGAAGAGGATGGCATTGTTGAATATCGCCTCGCTATTCCAAAAATATACAAAATTGAATATTTTTCTGCCATTTTCTCTTCGACGGGATTTTTAGCATTCGCAGTTCCAGTTCTGATCCTGAATGCGTTGAACTTATTTTTCATTTTCATTACGAGAAGAAATGCTTCGAAAATGAGACGGGAAATGGAAAACTTTGATGGTGACTTGGGCAAAGAAGAGCCTCAACTGTCAGGCGACGTTCATTCAATGATGATTCAACAAGTCTCCAGAAGGATCAACATGGAGAGTCGCCAGATTGCGGCTGAGGAGGCGATTTCAAAAACTTGGTATATTAAAACAAAAAAAGCAAGAAAATAGTATTTTAAAATGCTAATTATTTTTTAATTAAAACAGGCTGACGACCAAAATGCTGTTGATGACTCTTTGCATCTCGTTGATTTTCGAGGCAATCATCATCATCGGACTGTGGTGCTTTGATTTGCCACCAAATGTGGTGTTCCTCATTGGCATCATTTGCGTCATGCGCGGCCTGACTGCGACAGTCGTTTATGTCTACTTCTTTGGAAAGAAGGAAAGAGCCCTAATTATATAACAACGGTTTTGATTTGTCCAAAATTCGCAGCATGCCAAGAAAAACAGAATGAAATGCAGCAATTTAACGGGTATTCATAAAAGTAAAAATTTTATTTTTTCTATACTGACTGATTTAGTGCCATAATGTCATTTTACTGCCATATTTTATTAACTCTTATGGAGCAAATGCTTCCTAAAAAAATCAGTTAATTTAAATTAAAATTAAAGGCTATTATATTTTAATTACAAGCCATTTCATACGTTTTATACTAATAAAAATACAAAAATTATAATCAATTTATCTTTTCAGACTTTTATCAATGAACAAAAAATCCTCTGAAAGGAAATGTCATTTAAAAAATTATTATTATTTTAAAATTTTCTGAATTACAATTTTTGTAATTTTTATTCTTTTTTGTATTATAACAAGTACAAAATAGGACAGGAGAGGCTATACTTGTAGTAATTTCTTGGCTGCCCAGACTAAAAGGGTGTTGCATCAACCCCGTCGCAAGAGAGAACTCGTCGTCGTTTGAGTGCCGCCGGTAATTTATGTTATCTATTTTACGAAGCCGAAAAATATTTTGACGTTGGATTGTTTTTCGGTGTGGTCGGTGCAAGTATTTGAAAAGCTTCAAGTTTTTACATCGGCGGACAATTTCTAAAAAATCAAACAGCGACTTATTTTGCTAATTCTCATTAGCAATAATTTAAAGAGGATGAAAACACCTTAGGGCAGTACAATCATCCACAAAAACTAATATTTTGGACCATAGGGATCATTTATGTAACAAGAAAATTGAAAGTCACCCCATAAATTTTTGAGAAAAACGCATTTGAAATTAACATGGCTGGCTTATGTAAAATTTTCACTAAAATCGTTTGATTGCATTTTAAGTCAACAAAACTGCCTTTGGCAAGGGTTTGTGACCCACCAGCATGTTCCTTGACAACCCTGCTACAAATGTGGCACCAGAAAATTGGGGGTCACCGCGTAAATTTTTGAAAAAAGTTAAATTGAAGGTTGAAAAACGTCGTTTTTTGCATTTTTCACGTTTCCGAGACAATTAAGCAAAATTTTTAACCCTTTGATTTAATTGATTTCTACAGTCAAATATCATGATAGTTAATATTTTGGTTTCTACAGTACCCTAACAATGAAACAAATTCATATTTTTGAAAATCCAATTGGCCGTCTGAGATACACAAGGGTTTACTAAAACTGATGCCAAATTAATTAGGATACAGATTTTTTAATTTTCTCGGTTGCAGCTAATGAACCAGTGTATCTTTTCTCAATGGTTACCAAGTTTCTAGGTCAAAGGTCATTGACCCTGGCAAAAGGTAAAAATCTTAAGTTTTTTGCCCCTTTGACATAGGCAACCTTACAAAAATCCGAGATAGCCAAAAGATGCGGCATGTCATTTTGCGTCAGTGTGTAAATTTTCAGAATTTTTGGATAAGCAGTTTTGAATATATTAATGATTTTTAAATAGCGTCCGAACGACTGAAAATGATCTCTTCGGACGAGTTAAAAATTAGAAAATTAGTTGTTTTTTTATCATATTTAACACAAATTAAGTAGGTTTTTTTTGTATTAAATGTAGATTTGAAGGATTTGAAAAATATTTGCTAGGTGTTTTCATCTACTTTAATATAAGAATTATATTTTTCTATGATAAAATTTTATTAATTTTCACATGACCCGCTATTGAAATTTCATGAGCCGCGTTCGTCGTCACGTGGCGGCCGAGGCCCATGATACGGGGTAGGACGTAGAGAAACCGCGCCCTTGTGTTCGCGCCACTTAAAGTAGTTTCCGAGGACGCCGAGTGAGAGGGAGGGAGGGTTCGTAGATAGCGTCTATTTTTATTGTTAAAGGGACGCACCCATAAAGTTTCAAAAAATATATCCAAACAAGCGCTTCGAACTTAATTTCGGACTCTTTAAATCATTCCAGCGTTTCAAGTTTGAACTGCACAAAACCGTGAGTATGTATTTGCTGGCAGTAAATAGAACTCAATTACCATTTAACGATAAAGATATTATCTCAAAAACAAGTTGGTTTTGCTTCTAGCTGGGGAGAATAACAAATTTTGAAAGTCTCATACTTTGGCCGACAAGAGAATGGAGCAAAACGGCGCCGCCGGAATGGATCCGAAGAACAGCACCTTGGTGGACGCGATCGTGAAGGACTTGCAGGACGCTTTGGTCTCGATCTTCTACGTGCCAATGGGAATTGTGACCGTCGCCATGGTCATGTCGATCACGGCGATCGTCATCATCTTGAAGTCGGCCAAGAACCGCGCCACCATGACTGCGAAAATCGTCATCGGCCAGTCGGTGACCATGTTCGTCGGCTTCCTTGTCATCAACCTCATTTTGGCGATTCTGCGCGAACTCATCTACAACTCCGTGGGGCTGATAGCGGGATTTATAATTTTCATCTCAACCGTCTGCATTGGCATTCCTCTGTTAGGTAATTATGGATGATTTTAAATATTTCGTCCTTTACAACTTGTTTAAAGACCGACGTACTCCAGCAATCCAGTGGTTTTTATTGCTCTCTTAAATAAATTTATTCTAAAAGAGCGTGAAATTGTGAGTATAATATGACTTATGCAAACACAACTTGAAAATTCCAAATCACAACCTCACAATTGCTCAGTCGAGAAATTCGTGTGAAAATATATATATTTTTTGCAAGTTTAGTTAAAAAAACTTTAGCTTTAGGTCACTGGAGGCGCTGCGATCGCTGATTTTGCCAAGTTTACTGCACACCGCCGTGGGGCGTGTCTGGAAAAACCAGCGATCGTAGCGCCACCAACGACTAACCGCTGAAGGTTTTTAACAAAAAAAATGTTCTTTTATCAAAATTCAGCCGGTTAGTTTTCTTGAAATTGGGAAGCATCGATTCGGAATTTTCACAAGACTATCTCAAATTGTAGCGCTCTTTCGGAGTAAAGAGAGTCAATGAAAATTACACGGTCTTTTAAAAGTGCAATTCTATTGCCATTTTTATTTAAATAATTTTTCTTTTTTTCATTTTATTATATCAATAATTAAACAGAAGTTATTATTTTCTAACAGGTGCTCTTTATCTGAGCTCCCACTTTTGGTTGAACATCCTATGCTTTGACGTTTTCTACAATTTCCGGTATGAATTTATTCCTTACATTTGCACCATTTTTAAATTTCATGTATTTTTCTGCAGAAACGTTGAAAATAACCCGAGCAACGTGCCCAGAGGCTCGACCAAGTGCAGATTCGCAATGTACTGCCTTTACGCAATTCTGCTGCCTTTGGTTCTGGTCTACACATCAACTGCTTTCATGTTTCAACAAGAAAAAGATCCATCAGAAAAGACTAGTCCCAATACCAGTAGGCATTGAATTTTTAACCTCTTTTTAAAAATATTTGAATTTTTCGCGATTTTAGCTTTGGCGGGTTTTTTAACATTCGTAGTTCCGGTTCTGATCCTGAATGCGACGAACTTTTATTTCATTTTCACCACGAGAAGAAATATCTCTAAAATGAGAGAGGAAATGAAAAGCTTCGATGGCGACTCCGGCAAGGAAGAGGCGATTTCAAAGACTTGGTATATTAAAAATATAAATTATTTTTTAAAATGCTAATTATTTTTAAATTAAAACAGGCTGACGACCAAAATGCTGTTGATGACTCTTTGCATCTCGTTGGTTTTCGAGGCAATCATCATCATCGGACTGTGCTTTGATTTGCCACCAAATGTGGTGTTCCTCATTGGCATCATTTGCGTCATGCGCGGCCTGACTGCGACAGTCGTTTATGTCTGCTTCTTTGGAAAGAAGGAAAGAGACCTAATGATATAACAACAGTTTTGAATTTGCAAAATTCAATGCATGCCAAGAAAAACAGAATGAAATGCAGCAATTTAACGGGTATTCCTAAAAGTAATAATTTTATTTATTCTATATTCTATACTGACTGATTTAGTGCCATATAATGTCATTTTGACTGCCATATTTTATTAACTCTTATGGAGCAAATGCTTCCTAAAAAAATCAGTTAATTTAAATTAAAATTTTGTACACGGCATTTTTATACTAATAAAAATACAAATTATAATCAATTTATCTTGTCAGACTTTTTTATCAATTAACGAAAAATCCTCTGCAAACAAATATCATTTAAAAAATTATTATTATTTTTTTTTTGTAAATTTTCTGAATTACAATTTTTGTAATTTTTATTCTTTTTTGCATTATAACAAGTACAAAATAGGACAGGAGAGGCTATACTTGTAGTAATTTCTTGGCTGCCGAGACTAAAAGGGTGTTGCATCAACCCCGTCGCAAGAGAGAACTCGTCGTCGTTTGAGTGCCGCCGGTAATTTATGTTATCTATTTTACGAAGCCGAAAAATATTTTGACGTTGGATTGTTTTTCGGTGTGGTCGGTGCAAGTATTTGAAAAGCTTCAAGTTTTTACATCGGCGGACAATTTCTAAAAAATCAAACAGCGACTTATTTTGCTAATTCTCATTAGCAATAACTTAATAATAGAATTAAATTTTTTCTAAAGAATATTATTAATTTTCACATATTGAAATTTCATGAGCCGCGTTCGTCGTCACGTGGCGGCCGAGGCCCATGATACGGGGTAGGACGTAGAGAAAACCGCGCCCTTGCGTTCGCGCCACTTAAAGTAGTTTCCGTGGTCGCCGAGGGAGAGGGAGGGAGGGTTCGTAGATAGCGTCTATTTTTTTTGTTAAAGGGACGCACCCATAGGCCATAAAGTTTCAAAAAATATATCCAAACAAGCGCTTCCAACTTAATTTCGGACTCTTTAAATCATTCCAGCGTTTCAAGTTTGAACTTGCGAGAGACCGCACAAAACCGTGAGTATGTATTTGCTGGCAGTAAATAGAACTCAATTACCATTTAACGATAAAGATATTATCTCAAAAACAAGTTGGTTTTGCTTCTAGCTGGGGAGAATAACAAATTTTGAAAGTCTCATACTTTGACTGGACGAGAATGGAGCAAAACGGCACCGCCGGAATGGATCAGAAGAACAGCACCTTAGAGGGCGCGATCGTGAAGGACTTGCAGGACCCTTTGTTCTTGATCTTCTACGTGCCAATGGGAATTGTGACCGTCGCCATGGTCATGTCGATCACGGCGATCGTCATCATCTTGAAGTCGGCCAAGAACCGCGCCACCATGACTGCGAAAATCGTCATCGGCCAGTCGGTGACCATGTTCGTCGGCTTCCTCTTCATCAACCTCATTTTGGCGTTTCTGCGCCATCTCCTCGACAACTCCATGGGGATGTTGGGCTTTACACTCTTCATCTCAACCATCTACGTTAGCATTGCTCTGTTAGGTAATTATGGATGATTTTAAATATTTCGTCCTTTACAACTTGTTTAAAGACCGACTCCAGTGGTTTTTATTGTTCTCTTAATTCTAAAAGATCTTGAAATTGCAATTTATATGACTTATGCAAAAAGGATTTGAAAATCCCAAATCACAACCGTTATTGTTAATTAATTTGAGAGTGAAAAATAAATATTTTTATATTATATTTTTTGTCAGTTTGGTTAAAAAGTTTCAGTTGTTGGTCACTGGTGGCGCTGCGATTGCTGATTTTGCCAAGTTTTCTACACAACTCATGTATGGATCAACCAGCGATCGCAGCGCCATCAACGACTGAAAGCTGAAGTTTTTTAACCAAACTGTTTTATCGGTTTTATCATAATTTAGCCGGTTTGTTTTCTTGAAATTGGGAATTTTCACAAGAGCAACTCAAATTGTATTTGCTCGCTCTTGCAGTGCAGAGTAAAGAGGGTCAATGAAAATCGCATGGAGTCGGTCTTTTGAAATTGCCATTTTTATAAATCATTTTTTTTCCATTTTATTATATCAATAAATAAACAGTAGTTATTTTCAAACAGGTTCCTTTTATCTGAGCTCCCACTTTTGGTTGAACATCCTATGCTTTGACGTTTTCTACAATTTCCGGTATGAATAATTTATTTCTGTAACATTGTGTCATTTTTCAATTTTACGTTTTTTTTTCAGAAACGTTGAAAATAACCCGAGCAACGTGCCCAGAGGCTCGACCAAGTGCAGATTCGCAATGTACTGCCTTTACGCAATTCTGCTGCCTTTGGTTCTGGTCTACACATCAACTGCTTTCATGTTTCAACAAGAAAAAGATCCATCAGAAAAGACTAGTCCCAATACCAGTAGGCATTGAATTTTTAACCTCTTTTTAAAAATATTTGAATTTTTCGCGATTTTAGCTTTGGCGGGTTTTTTAACATTCGTAGTTCCGGTTCTGATCCTGAATGCGACGAACTTTTATTTCATTTTCACCACGAGAAGAAATATCTCTAAAATGAGAGAGGAAATGAAAAGCTTCGATGGCGACTCCGGCAAGGAAGAGGCGATTTCAAAAACTTGGTATATTAAAAATATAAATTATTTTTTAAAATGCTAATTATTTTTAAATTAAAACAGGCTGACGACCAAAATGCTGTTGATGACTCTTTGCATCTCGTTGGTTTTCGAGGCAATCATAATCATCGGACTGTGCTTTGATTTGCCACCAAATGTGGTGTTCCTCATTGGCATATTCATATTCATCATTTGTGTTCTGCGCGGCCTGACTGCGACAATCGTTTATGTCTGCTTCTTTGGAAAGAAGGAAAGAGACCTAATGATATAAAGGAGGAAAAGCAACGATCCATATTCGTCTGAAGCCTTGGTATTGTAAAAAGGCTTTCAGATTTTTTGCATGCGAAGCGAAAAAGAATGAATTAACTATAGCAATTTAATTAATGCTATTCCTAATAGTAATCATTTCATACTCTATATACAGACTGATGTAGTGCCAAAATGTATTTTGACTGCCATAGTTTTTTTCATTAATTCTGACAGAAGTTGCCTCATAAAACTCAGTTTAACTTTTCCAATTGTGTCTTTGTAACCTAAATTTAGGCTAGTAGATTTTATACACCGCATTTTATACTAATAAAACAAACAACTTTTCCAATTTTCACTGATCAGACTTTAAATTAATTTCAACGAAAAATCCTTTGAAGGCCATTTTCATTATAAAAATTATTATTCGTTTACTTTTCTGGAAATATTCATATTCTTTTTTTATATCAAGATCGCACAAAAATTAGGATAGACGCGAGGCTCATCTTGTGAACTGTATATTTTCTTGGCCACTTCCGGGACAAAAGGGTGTTGCATCAACCCCTGTCTCGATGATCGTCACCCCGTCACTAGCTCGTCGTCGTTGGAAACTATTTTCACCCCTGTTCGACCCCTTTGTGCTACCCCTGCGCTGCAACTCGCGCGCTCATTCATTCCGAGGGGTAATTTATAAAAAATGACTACACAACAAAGGGGGCGGCTCGGGGGTTGCCAGGCTTTTGCTGAACACACTGCGCCGGCAGTAATTGTTGTTGTGATGGGGCTTTGCACTCTTTACAGCTTCTTTAAATTTTATAATGTGTCGCGTATATAATAAAAGGAAGGATTTCGTTTTTTTTCCATTCCGCGCGCACCTTGAATTTTGTGCCAACCCTCGGGAAGGCTAAAAATTATTCTTCACTCGTCGTTGCATTAAATAGCGTTCAAAATTTTATGCTATTTAAAAAAAATCTTTTATCTCATTAAATGGAAAATATATGTATATTTGATGATAAAATTTATTCTTAATACCTTATTTATTTTCCATTTTTTTTTTTTTTTTTTTTTTTATAAAAAACGATAAATTTGATAAAATTTTCATATTATTTCTCTAGACTTTTGAATTTTTCAGAGGTTATCAGAAAATTTTTTATGAATATAATTTAATTTTAAAAACAAAATAATTGTTCATTTGTTTATATATTTTTCATTTTTCTACTTGAATATAACATTAAACTTTTTTAATTTTTCAATTATTTCAGAGTTAAGGGAAATTTAATTTTAATTTCATCAGAAGGAAAACATGCTAAATTTGCCATTTAAAATCTTTCAATTTAATTCAGCATGTCTTTCTTCTTTCTTCAATTGATTCCCTTTTTTATATTTCAAAATCTGATTGGGTAAACAAACAATTTCACACAAGCAACCCTCGCTAAACGAGCAACCTGTCACCCCATGTTGCATTAATTCACACATCTGAAAGTATAATCCGTCGATTAGAAAAACGATCTCTCTATGCTGTGGTGTTTGATCGCGGGTGTGAATTTCGCTGCGATTAACATCAAATAATCTGCCTGAGAAAGACGGATGTCGAGTCACCCTTTTTCTCTTTTTACACGACGAACAAAAAACGCCGCGTTATTTTTTAGCTGAATTTTCGCTTCGTAATTGAATCATCTAAATGCACCCTCTTTACTTGATTCTTTTTCAGATGAGAACTGCACGTCGCGGACAAAAAAGGGTGCATTATGCATTTGCACCAAATAATATTATTCTTTTCACACGCACCGGGAATGATTTTTTGTTGTCACTTGACTCGCACTGCAGTTTTGACTCGCGCGCGCCCATATGGCCCGCCGAGGACCCTCCAAAGGGACCTCCTGCTGCGCCCTAATAATCACCCTGTTGCACTCGCGCCAATACAAAAATATGCTCGTCAGCTTTTTAATATCCAAAAATAAAGCATAAATTCGTGCGGGATAAATCAACAGCCACACAACCGGATACTTTATTTTTTGTTATTTTTAAAAAATTGTATGCATAAAATATTTTTAACGCAATTCCTGGCTCACTTTCTGTTTCAATTAATGATTATAAATAAAATGTACAAAGACCAGTCGAAAGAAAAAATTACACCAAACCAAAAGAATAGGAAAGTTATATTATCAAAATTTATTTATCCAGCAGTTATCGAGTGCTCGGCTCTCTGACCTCCAAACTATTTCCTGATCTTTAATTTTCTTCTATGTTTGTAAAAAAAAAGATAAAACTTTAAAGTATTAATGTTTATGGGTAAATTATTAATCAATTAATAACTGGAGGAGAAGAAAATATTCATAAGATAAACGTCCTCCATAATGAAATTGTAAATTTTGAGCTCGGAAATCAATGTTCCATTTTATTGCAATTATGATTCTTTTAATTATACATGTAATTTTTGGAACTAATAGCAAGTGGTTGATATTTGAAAATTTTTAATATTTAAATTAAAATGAGGCTTTTGTAATTATTCCTCTTTTTAATTAAATTCTTCTACCGCACATCAGTTTATGTAAAATATTAAATGAATGAAATGAGACGACTTACCACCAATTAACAACGTGATGAAGAAGAATTAAAACGCTCGATTTGTTGCTTGAAGTTTGCACATGTAAAGACCGCAGATGGAAGAAAATATTTGTACGAATCGATGGGAACACTTTTATCGACAGTCGGAACCACACATTTGACTGACTGATCACCAGAGTAAACAAACAACAGTGCAAAGGACAAAGGAACATGCGAGAATTTGCGACGGTGGCGCCACTGATCATCACAACAACTCACAAGTTTGCAACCTCGGAACATATGATTTTCCTTAACTTCGGCTGGATGTTCTTGTGTGGTCGAGCAGAATCAAGAAACTTTGCTTCTAAATCTGATCTGCTCACTTCAAATCAGTGTCTGCATATTCAAGAGTTCATATTGGAGCTGCCATTTGTTCACCTGGACGAAAAATATTTTTAACTATCGACGAAATGAGACCAAAAACTTTGCAATCTGTTGCGAGGACTTCAACTTGGAGCTACAAAATCAAGGTAGGAGACAATTTAATTTTCTTTTCATGCTGTTTTGAATGATAGCCGTTAATTTTTGGCTAGTTTTTATTAGATCAGATATGATTCAATTGAAACCCACTAAACTTTGCACTACTTTATGAGAAATTGATGCATTGATAATTTCTGGGTCTTATAAATTTGAGATTGAATTAAAACCATATTGAACCATGTTGAATTGAAACCATATTATAACTATTAAAAAAATTAATAAAATATTGAAAATATTTCTATTTTTTTAAGTGTGACTGTTGCAAAAATTAAAAAATAAATCAATTTAAGATGACATTAACTAAAATCAATATTGCACAATTATTATTGGTTTTTGAAAAGCAGATATTTTAAAGAAAAAAAATCTATTTGCCTTAAATATGTCAAAATTATTTGGTATTTGAAGAAGATCTCTTTAGTTACAATAATAATATTTAATGTGTATCTCAACAAAAGCATTCTCTTCTCAAATACCACTATCCATATAATACAAATTTGATCAATTAAAAGAGAGAAAGAGATAAAAACCGAACAACTTGTTCCATGCAATCTTATAAAAGCACCATATCAGTTTATTTAAATTTGACTTTCTGAAATTAAGGTTATTTTTAACTTTTTAACGATGGATTTTGCCATTCGTTGCGGGGAGAGGAGCCTAGAGGATAATTATTCGAACAGGGAAGTCTGTAATTAGCGATTATTTCCGCGCATTATTTCTCGGACGCCGTCGACCCCTGAGCGCTCGTCCAGCGGCACAACGGCTCATGCCCTCTGCTCTCAATATTAATTGCACTCTCATGCATTGTTCTCACGTCACAGAATTAAACTCGAGGCGGGCACGCGATCTATTAATTCGTACAAACAGATGCACTGCCTGCCCAAACTCCTGCACCTTTGTAATGCGAGAGCTTTTTATGTTCCACTTCCGGCCGCTTATATTTTCCTTGCTTTGACGGTCAATCAATCGGCGGCCCTTGGCACCCCCGCGTATAAGTAACGCACACCCCCCCCCACCCCCCACTCGTCAATCTCCGACAGCCCGTCTAATCATTGCAATCCAGCCAGCAATTATATGCCTTCAATATTAACCCTGTTTAAATTATTTGTTTGCTTGTGTTGACGCGATCAATAATAAATTGACGTCAAATTAAAAATTTAATTTTTAAATAATTACTGTTATCGTTAAATTTAATTTTACAGATTCAGTAAAAAATTTAATAGATAGATAAATTTTAAATTGAAATATAATTGATTAAAATTAATCTTTTTTAAATATTGCTCATTTTTTTAATTTTATATAGGACAAAGAAGAAGAAAATTACGATTTTTTTGAATAAATTAATTATATTTCTTCAATTCAATGGACTTAAAGCAATTTAATTAAGGAAAATGGAAAATGTTTTAATTGAAATTTCGCTCAAAATAAAAATTGATACAATTTATAAACTTTATTTTGTATAAAAAAAATCCTGTTATTCTTTAATTGAAAATTTGTTGTTTCGTTATGGCCAGAGGCTTGAACTGTTTCCTATTGAATGTGATTTTTATTTTATAGCAAAAAAAGCCGGAGACCGAATTGGAAGCTCAAACTAGGGACGCTTTTATGTGACAAGAGAGCTGTGCAGTCGCAACACATTATTGAAAAATGAGTTGACAATGCGCGCGCGGACGAAAGTAATAATTTGAATGGGGCGCGAAGGACCTCCCGCCGCGAGTGCGCAGTTCACGCCCTGTCGCCAAAGGTCGCTTTTGTGTTATTAATATTTTTGTATTATTATTATTTGCGCCGACTGCAGTCGATGTATTTTTGTTAATATGGTAATTAGTGAGCGCGGCGACCAACGGCAAATCGGAAACGGTCTGCGCAATAATTCACCAGAGCGGCCAATTTGCACGCTCGATGCAAATTTTTTCATGCACGCAGAACGCCAATTGTGCTCATTCAAAAATGACATTTGAATATATTCAGCTTCCAATTAGCAATTCAATGATAAATGGCGAGTCGACCAAGGGAGGTTTAATTTGCATAATAATTAATTTTGAATAAATTAATTCTTCTTTTCCACTTTCCTCATGTAAAATGAACATTGGAATTGGAATGTTTTTCCAGATTTTTTACTAATTATTATTAATTTAAATTTATCACACAATTTATCGTCACATAGATTTATTTGAATTTTTTTAAATTTTCATTCAAACGGCTTCAAGATTTCTTTTTAACTTTTTATTATACCTTCTTGTTTCGATTGTAATATCCTTGATCGAACTCGCATTTTTGTCAACTGCACGTTTTCTTTTTCACCGTCGCGCGAGAATAGATTTCAAAAAAAGATTTCACCTTTTGATAAGCAAGACGTTTTCCATGTTCTCGCAAGTGTATCACTTACATTATATCAAGGCACCTTTTGCTCCTTCCAGCAAGAGCATCTCTTTAACAAAATCAGTTAAAAAGATAGGGCGGCGCACTTTTTTCTCCGCCTTTTGTTATTTGCAGATAAAAAATTGGCCTCTTTGATCTGCCGACATCTGCATCTCCATTAAAAAAAAAATTAAAAAAAAAATCGAATTTCAATATTAATTGGAGAATTAAATTTCTAAAAACTTGAATACAGTGATTATTTTCATAAAATAAAAATTATTACGAATTTTATTTAGAGATCTTAGATAATAGTTTAAAAATTGCTCAATTTTTGGTTTTCTTGTGACAATTATAGGAGAATCCATTTGAGCTATGCAATCTGATGATTGCTCTCTTATTTTTTTTTCTATTTGAAGCATTTATACATTTTACTATTTATTCGTGTGTTTGCGTCACGCGCTTAATCCCGTCGTTGGTTGTTGCATAACAAACGCGCGCGCAGGGACAAAATAGATTTTACTGCACAAAAAAAGCGGCGTCTCGTCACAGGAGCCGCCCTTTGTGCGCCGACAAATAAATCAGGGTCCAGGTAATCTGATGATGACACCCTGTGTAATGCAATGATAGCGATCTCTCGTCATCACAATGGGATTAAGGCTGCACAAGAAGCGCGACAAACTTTCCTCACAGACGAGTGTGGGAAAAAATATATGCTTCGATTTGAATTTTCCGAAAGCGCCCCCAAAGCAAGCTTCGGATTAAGTCTGGCGCCAGACAGATTTACGCGTGAATAGCAAAAAGGAATCGTGGCCTTTTAAAATTTAATCCAAACAACATTTTTTATTTTAGATACATAAAAAGTTATTTTTTTTTTCAAATTTTGTTCCAATTTGTACTGGAATTATTAAATTAATTTTAAAAAAAGACTCAAACGACTTTTTAATTCATATTATAAATTAAATTATTTTTATATTATTTTTTGGTTAACAAGGACTTTATGATAATATTGTGCATTGAAATTAAAAACTTGTGAACCCTTTTTCCATAAAAGTTATCAAAATCGATTGGCCTATTGCCTTTATTTTTCCATTTTAATTAATTGGGTTGACTTGAACGTGATTTGGTGAAACTTTTATTAATTTTGGTAAGACCAACTTTGAGAATGAAAATTATTTTAGAAACAATAAAAATTTAGAAATCCAATTAATTAAATTTTTCTTTGTACTTCTTGCCGTGGTACTGAAATCTACAAAATTTAATGTAGAGAAAAATTGCATGAATCAAAGTTAATCGGGCCAATTTGTTGCAAAAGCCTCTCCCTTCACATTAACTAAAATTACCATTTTTAATTTCTAAAGTAAATTAAAAATTTCTAGTCTGACCAAAACTTTGTTTATTGGTCATGTTATTTTCCAATTTTATTCGGGAATTTCAACGGCATGCACAGGACGTGTCTGCATAAATTGTCGTCAGAGTCTGGCATTGTTTTTCCTGTTGTGCCAAACAGTCGGACCGTGATAGTAAAAATGACCAAACCTGCAGCGAGCAGTTTATAATTGACATGCCTCTCTGGTTTGACGTTTTTCTGCGTTTAATTTTACTCATAGTCTTGCTTCAATCGTCGAGCCAGGCCAATTCTAAAGTGAGAAAATTAACTTTTATAAATTCATAAAATCACCAAAAAAATTAAATTTTCTAGGGAGTTGATGCTCGTAACAAAGGACACAAAGGTTATAAGAAAAACTTTAGTTGCAAATGATGTTGATATGTCAACAGAGGCAATCACTGCCCATAGCGAGATAAACGCATCGATGGAAAATTCAAAATTGATTGCATTTTAATCTGATTTAAGAAAAGAAAAATTACAGATCTTTATTCCATTGCAATAAACATTTGTAAAATTGCAAATTTTAAACATTTATATTATTAAAAAAAGACTTGCATTTGATACTTCCAATGCCGATTTTTAATTTTTTGCTCGTCTTTTATTCCTTCAGCTTTTATTATTATTTTTAGCATCAGGGTCATCAGAATTTACTTGTTCCTCTTTTAATTTAGCCTAATGACACTTTCAATTCTTTAAATCATTCCAATTGCATTCAATTTTTATAATATTAATTAGACTTTCAACTTTTATCTTCAAATTTTAGAAGCATCAAGAGGTGCGAACAAACGCGGGACGATAATCAAGTGTTGCGGCGGACAAAAGTGTCTCAATAATGGCCATTCTACTAATCGTCGCTCACAATCCGTGCTGGTATTCTTTGCCTTAAAAATAAATTTATTGCTTTTTTTTAGAAACGAAATTGTTTAAAATCCCATCTAGAAAACCGATGTAAACTTTACTACTAAACTGAGAAGCGCAAGACCTTCAGAATTTTCATTATCTGAACAACTTTTGAGCACCACTCAGTTTACAATTGTAGACAACAGTGATGGCGAATCGAGTGATTTGCCTCCGTCAACTTTTGCCAGCCCTAATTTGAGCGATCAGTCCACAGTGCAAGTAATTCGAAATCATTTGGAAAATTTACAAATTCTCATGAATTATATTAAATATGCAGTTTGTCCAAGAAAAAACCTCCGAATCAATTTCAACCGCCTCGGATGTGCAAAGTTCGTCTTCTTCTTTGGAAACAACCACTCCATCCACAACAATTACACTCGTAGATGCAGAAACCAGTATTTCTAGCACTTCAGCCTCAGATTCCTCAAGCAGTGAAAAAGCAAAAACCAGCTCTGATCTCACGACTATTCTTTCCAATTCGGCAACTTGGACCTCACCAGAGACAACGCAATCACAAATTTCGCTCTCAACTTCAACAACTACAACAATTTTAACCACTACAAATGTTCCGACCAACACAAAAATTTCAACCACGTCAACTGTTTCAACCACTGCATCAGTTTCAGCAACTACAACAACTCCACGTAACACGGTTACAACTTCAATAACCTCTACAACTATTGCAACTACCACAAAAGTTTCAACCACCACAACAACTCCGCCTACTACAACAACTTCAACGACCATCAACGTACGCCACACGCGCTCTAATTTTACTTCCTGAATTCATTTTTCCAATATTCGTTTTGTACTTTTGTTGACGTAGCCAGCCCTGGTCGGAAAATGCTCGACGAAGGAAAACGCCGCTGTGAACGTATGAAAAAAAAACATGACCTCAACTCTTTATTTACCTATTTTGAAAACAGCGGTCCCTTTTTGCGACCAATGGCGAGCTTGCTGGTTTACGAATTTTCACATTGAATTTAAATATTTTTTGATTGTGTAATTTGCTTTCGATATACATAGATCCGGATTTGCACGGATTCTGGCTGGACACGTGTGGCCAAACATTTTTATTAGGAAAATCACTGGTTTCACCATAAATTCCTTACACAAATAATTCCTTATTGCATATATTAATTTCAGGGCACTTGGCATGAAAACTCAAACAAGTGTTTCGGCCTGAAAATGCAGCCGTTTGCCATCGAGAGCAAAGAGAAGCTCGAGTGCTTGAAAAATCAAGGTTTTGCCAAAACCTCTGATTGTAGAAATCAAAATTAAATTATATAAAAGCCAAGGGCTGGAAGTTCAACATGAATTACTGGACGGGCGGCGCAAAGGACTTGGCGAGCGGCGTCTTTGGGTGGTGCTCAGGGAACGGTTCCTCGCCCTGGAAGGACGTCCTGCCCCTGGTCAACCTCAGCAAGGACAAAAACTGCGTCCAGATGCAAATCAACAAAACGAGCGGCTCCGTTTCAATCAGCGAAAGGCGGTGCTCGGACAGAACCATTTTTGCTTGCCAGGTTGAAAATATTGATTGATTTTTTTTTAAATTTGAAATTATTTAAATCAGAGTCCGCCGACGAAAGGTCCCAAGTGCGCAAGTCCTGTTTGCCCAAACATCACTTGCCAGAAGGATGTAAAAATGCAATACTTTAAATCCCACTAATTTAAGCTTTTCTATGTAATTTCCTTAAAAATGCAGCAACTTCTTTTTACTCCTTCGCCTATAGGAAAATCAATGGTTCTAAAAAGTAAGTCAGAAAACTTTAATTTTAGCCCTCAAATTTTTGCATATTTTTTTTTTTTTTTAATAAAAATTGGCTTTTAATAATATATTTTTTTACGTAGCCAAAATCCCCCCATTCTATAACTTGATTTTGTGCACAACAATTGGGGGGATTCAAAAGGCTTTAACTTGGGCCAGGCCATCTTGACCCGTCAAGTTATTTGAAAAGCTTGTTAAGTTGGGTTTTTTGAGCAACCTTAATAAAATTTACAATGAAAATATCAGTAAAGACTATAAAACGTATGAACTCGTTAAAACTTGGCTTATCATTAAATAATTTTGGTAAATGACAATCATCTTGAAAGCTGAATTTCAAACATACATAAATTTTGGGGTTGCGTGTTAAAAATTTTAATTTCAGACGCTCGCTTGTATGGCAAATTGTTCACCTACAGACTGCGCAACTACCTCTTCAGCTACAGTAACGACTCCAGGACTGTAAATAAATATCTGGACTTAATTGACTGAAATTACAAATGCGCTCTTTGTAAAGTATTTAGAAGCGACGAAGGCGTGTTGTGCCCTGGGCATGTCCCTGCTTAGCTTGGACGCGCAACGCAAGTACGACGCCTTGGCCAGCATCGGCAAACTTTCCGAAATGGGCAACGGCAAGAGAGAGAATAAAGCGATTTAACGAACTTTAATTTTTACATAATTAATCAGAGGCTCAAAATTTGACCTTCTGGACCTCGGGATCGGACGAGGGCTGCGAGTCGGTTTTCGGATTTTGTTCGGCCAAACGGTTGTTCCGGGGCGAGGAAAAGTGGCTGCCGGGACAGCCGGACAACGCCGGAGGAAAAGAGAATCACGTGGCCGTCCACATTTGGCGAGAAAAGCGACAAGTTCAGCTCGCCGATTACGACGGACAGAAGAAATTCAGATACATTTGCGAGGTTCAAAAGATGAGAGACGAATGAAATTCAACTGAATTTTTAATTTTTGCGATAGAAATTAAACAACCCTCAGTCGAAGAGTGCAAAGCAAGCGTTGGTTGACGAATGTGCAATCATTTACGACGTCACCACTGGTATCAACTTCTTTAATTAAATTATGGAGAATTCGAATAAAATAAATTAATTTAGCCGAAATTGACTTGCTGCGAAATATGACAAATTTTGATGCACGGATAAAGGTCGTCATCTTTATCGAAACAAAATAAATTTAAATAATTTGTTTTAGTGTTTTTTGCATTGTGTTGGAGACGCTGTCGGCCTGGTAAATCTTTTAAACAAAATTCTTGTGCTTAATTTAAAGTGGGAAAAAGCTGGTCGGCGGGAATTTTGTGGCGAGCGAAGTTTTTGCGATGCTCGAGAGTATGAATCTGAACGTGGACGCGCTGATGAAAAACATGGCCATCGTGGACGAGTGCAACAATAAGACTTGTGAATTTTAAATTTAATTGCAAAACAAATTTAATTTAAAATTTTGAAAGATGGAATGGACGACTGCGACAAGGCGTACCAACTGACCAAGTGCGCCAGAGACAAGTCGCCGGAGGTTTTTGACCAAATTATCAAGGACCTGGACAAACAGGCGGCAGACGTGACCAATTATTTATTTGAAATTTGTTATTATTTTCCTTTTTTTTTTTTAATTTTCTAGAGTGATGAACTGGTTTCTAAGTCGCTCGGATGTGCAAATTCTTCTTATTCTAACTGCACCATTGACGTATAAGTCACTTTTTATTTTACTTTTTGAGACCCACTCTTGGCCAGGGTTCAACCGATTTTGATAATAATTGGCAGGACGGCTGCTTCTAGTTTGGAAGGATTTTGAAAAAATTTCAAAATTGCCTATTTTACAGGAGCTCAAAGTTTATAAATCAAAAACATCTCAGCTCCTGTTAAAGATAGCGCAAAAGTCGTGATCACCAAAGTTGTCAGGAATTAGATGCCCTACAACTTTCCTTCAGTGACCGAAGTCGTAGGTCAAGGTTCAAGGTCACCTTTTGTTACCTGAATATTTAATTAATCTGCCAAAGTACCTGGAAAGCAATTTTTTGAAATTTGAAAATAGCCAAAAGTTGCCTAATTTAGTTCTACACAACATTATAAAATATTATTTTGATAACATATTTGTTTTCATTTTTAAAGTCACAAAAGGTCATTGACCAATGTGACCTGTGACATTTTAGATTTTTTTCAAAACGTGTGGCACAGAAATTTAAAGAGAACATCAGTAAACCGGGAATTGGTTGTAAATCTAACAAAAGTAAAAGTTTTTTGCGGTTCCAAGTTAATTTCCAGTTAAAAGGGGCTTGGAAAACCACGTTTTTTCCCTTTGACATTGAGAATCTTTAATAAAAAAAACAATTAACTCTCACAATTTTTTAACATTTAGTGTAATTTAGTAAATGAAAAAAATGAAATGTACAACTAAATCAGACAACCTTTGGCTATTTTCAAATTAAAAAACAAATAATTCGCAGGTACTTTGGAAGATTAATTTAATATTCAGGTTCCAAAAGGCGACCTTGAACCTTGACCTACGACTTTGGTCACTGTTGCAAATTTGTAGGGCGTCTAATTCCTGACAACTTTGGTAGAGGAACACATGAGTTATATCTTCAACAGGAGCCGAGATATTTTCGATTTTCAAAATAACCTTAATTACAAAATTTTAGCCCCTGTAAAATAGGCAAATTTGAGAATATTTAAAACTATTTGTCATTTGCATACACACTAAAATCAATTAACGTACCAATTATTATAAAAATAGGATCCTAGAGTGGATCTAAATAATTTAAAAAGCCCGCATGCAATTCGGTCATGAAATCGACCGATTTGAATGTTTTTTTATTGTAGGTAGCTGCAAAGAAAAGTCTAGACTCGTTGAATCTGAGTACGTAATTCAAAACGTAGCGAATCAATTTATATTATAATAATTTTGATCGTTTAGACGCTTCGACGTGCGCCAACTACATCAACGGCGCGTGGGCTTGCAAGTGCAGCAATTCGAAAGTGTACATCATGAAATTCAACGGCGGATACGTAAACCTGACCAAAATAAAATAAAAAATAATTCACCTTTGCGACGCAGACCCACAATTACCTCGAAGCATCCAAGTATTGTTGCGAGCGAGGAATGCGATTGATAAAGTCGGCCAACTTTTACGCAGCCGCAAAATGCATTCAGGCGTCGGGCCGTACGTTTTTCCCAATATCAAATTTTCTTATGTTCTAATTTCTCTTTGAAGTTTCAAAAATTACTGCAAACTCGTACGTAAATCGGTTCTGGACGATGACAGACTCGATCGTCGTTGACGTGACCAGCGGATTCACCTACGATTGCAAAACGCAGACGGATTATCTGCCGCAAAAACGCGGTTTCGCGATGAATTTTGATCCGAAAGCCGCGTACGACGGTGACACGCAGGTCATGTGTGTCAATCTTAATTGGTCGGCGCCGCCACCATTCTATTTATGTCCAGCCACCTCAAAACAACCCTTCATATGCGAAGAGATTTATTAATTACGTTGAAAATCAAGAAACAAAAACTTCTCTGAAAGTAAATGTTTTATCCACAATCAACTGTTTTTTAAATATCACTAAATAATTATAAACCAAAATTTATTCAATTCAACAAAAAAGCTTAAATAAATTTATTTACTTCAGTTATATTTTCTATTTTTATTATTGAATCTAATTTTATGAAACGTCTTCATTGAGAAGCAACTTTTGCAGATTTAAACTAATCAACAATTCAGCCTATTAATTCTAAAATTAAACCCAAGATAAGAGAGTTAAAAGCCACAACTTTCTTCATTTTTATCGTCAAAGAAAAGCTGGAATGAGCGCCGGAAACTGCAGTTGCAGATAATTGTTTAATCTCTCAACTCATTATAGCCGTTTCACCGATTTCCGCAAAGTCCAACTGAAAAACTCGTGCTGGATTTGAGCAGTTTTCAATCATTATTATTATTCGAGGCTTGGGTCTCACGCGATAAGTTATAATCGGAGGGGAAAAACAGCAGCGTCGCACACACAATCTTCATTCAACACGTTCAACAAACTTTTTCCTTGAAAATATATTTTATCCTTTTGAATTGCTGTTTATTCAAAGAGGACTTAAAAGATAAGCATAAATTTGGGGTACTATTTAAAATGGGACAAAATTTAGATTTATAAATGAATTTTTTAGACAACGTTATTTTACTGAAAATATTTACCAATATTTTTTTTTAATTAATTTACGTTTATTTGTACAATTTTTAATTAATTTACGTTTATTAATGGCAAACAATATAACAGAATTAAGCCAAACATTTCTTTTTTAAATATCGTTTTGAATTTCATTCCTGTTAAAATAATTTAAATTTTCCCGTACTTTTCTCAAAAATTTCGAACTGAGTACATTATAATGAATTGCTCTTTACCCATTGTGCGGAGTTTTGGCAAATACATTTGGCATTTTGGTGCAAATCCGTTTTTAATGCAAGTTTTGCTTGTCAAAGGTTGACACGCGCGCACGTGTGTAATGGCAATAATAATGAATAATAAAGCGAGCTGCTCATTAAGCGCGCGTGCATCGCGGCGAATAATAAAAATGCGCCCCTCTCCGAGAAAGAGAGAGAGCAATAAATATTCTGCGCTGGAGAGATTCGTGTTTTGGCGAGGCAAGCGAGCGTGCCGCGTGTGTTTGCAGCGAAAAGCACGCGGGGGTCGCGGCGGCGCCGATCCAAATTGAAGCTGCATCTTTTAATGAGAGTTCGCGTCGCCCACCGAGAGCTGCAAAACACGGACCGGCTGCAGCCAGACCACCCCTGAGTTGATATTTTCATTAGAGTTGAGCGACGTGCACTTAAGGGATTGAAATTTCATGTTGAAATTTGTGTTGGAAATGTCAAAATTACTTCAAAAATCGTTTCATTAAAAAATTAAAACAAAATGTTGCTTTTTAATAAACAGAATACATATTGCACTTGGGTCATAAATGAGTCATAAATTTGGCAGTTTTTTTAATTACGTCTGTTGTTTGTTAAGTTTAATTACAAAAATACAATTAAATTTTTTTTTTAATTATTTATCATTATTTCCTCCTTTTTCGCTTTTAAATTCAGTCTTCACCGAGAACAATGAATAATAATTTTTTTCATCTCTTGATATGATTAAATTAAATTTATTTTTGCGATCATGGTTTGCTTTAATAATTAATTTAAAAAATAACACTTTCGCCAATTATATAACAATTTACTTTATCTTCTACAATTTCATGAATATTTTGATCTTTTCAATGATTTCCGTTTTGGCTTGTCTGCAATTAATTAGCTCTTGCGAAGCGCACGGTGACAGGATTACTTTGATTAGCGTGTTGTCTGCTCGGTTCAAAGGTCTCATTTGTCACGGGGCACTCACGCTTATCAATCTGCGCTGCAGCAACAATGGAGCTGGGTGGTCTTTAATGAGACGCAGAGCAGAGCGAGCTGCACCCTCTCCCCTGCATTGTTATATCATTTTATTGCGATCACATGTCGCTGCACTAAAAAGCCGCCGATCCGCTTCTTTTGATCGCAATAATTATTTCCCGGTGCCAAATTCCCAACCGACGCGCACTGAAATACATAAAAAAAGCGTCAAATTCAAAAATAAATACCAAGAGAAAATTTTGAAAAGGGTTATTTGTCGCCGGAGATCGAGAATTAAAGAAAACGGATGTGCTGTCAATCAGTTTTGTTATATTTATTGACACACATGGTCCCTTTTCCAACCCAGTGTTGATTATATGGTTGAGCCGCAGATTATCCCTCAAAAGTTTAATCCTTATCCATATCATGCCATCATATGGGTGAGCAAAAAATGACCTTCAGAGTAAATTTAAAGGAAAAGAATATTTGAGTGCGAATGAAGGGCCAAGTTTTGGAGTAAACGAATTTGAAAGCAACAAATTATTATGAAATGAATTTCAAGGGTCGTTTTAATTACAGCATATCTGTTAAAACAATTTATTTAATTACAATCCTGTTATAAACGGGCCGATTAAAATTTTGATATATTAATTTAGATTTATTTCAAATTACTTCTAAAGTTCAAGGTGGAAATTTAAACTTGTATTTAACTTCTCTCATATTAAGGTCAATAAAATCATATTGAGAATTTGAGAGACAATTTGAGAATTGATAAAATTCATTCTTATTTGAAAGCAGAAGTGTTTCTAAATTTAAGTATTTAATGATTTTTGTTGTAGATTTTCACGATCGACGGTTCATTTTAAATTCAAATCACCATTTAATGAATTGTTTTAAATTTTTAAATGAATTTCATATGTCAACTTTTCAATCGAGAAACTCTCTGCGTTGAAAAACAGAAAGCGTCTCTCTTGACATTGTGACTTGACATGCGATTGAGACCCTCTTGAAAAACCTTGTTAAACTGTAGACCTGCGCGCCGAGTTCACAAAAGCGAGTTGTTGGCGATGCAGACGGAGCGAAATTGATAGAAAAAACGGTGATGCTGCTCTGTGGCCCTAGCTCGATGAATGAATGAGTTCACTCGATCATGAAGCGCGTGCAGCGAATCAATTTCCGAGACGAAAAAGCGAGACATTTCTCAGTATAATTGTGAGACGGATCGGCCCCGCGTCTAGAGTGGAAAAAAAATCGTGTGTTTTGAATGCAAAGAGTCGAGAGCGTCGCTTTTCACTGGCAATTGGCGTAGAAAATAACGTCTTTATCCTGCACGCCGAGAGACGTTTTGCTGCGCTCAGAGCCAACCTCGTTTGGCCTTTCAATTTCGAGAGAAGCAAAAAGAAGCTGGATTGAGAATAAATTTACTAAGAAAGTTAGAAAACGATAGCAAAGCTTTAGGTTAAAATTTTCCAACGTTTAAAAATAAATTTCTTTCTAATTTGCAATTTTTGTAAATTTAATAATAAAATTGCTCAAATTTAAAATTGGAGCTGATAATTTACCTTTTATTTAATTATTTTAATCTAATGTTTACATTAAAATATTGCGAAATAACCAAGGAAATTTGTTGTTGTAAATTAATAGTTAATTTTTTAATAAAATGAATTAAAAAAGGTCTGTTTTTTTATTGATTTAAATTTGGAATGGCTCTCGTTGTGCCCCGCTTAATTAAGAGACAAAGCAGAACGTTAAAAAAGCTGCTGCTTATTTGCCGGAATAATAGGCTCATTATTCAATTTGCGACGCATTGTTTTTGGGGGGACAAAGCGAAATTCGCTTGCTTTTGGAATTGCGCGCGAAAAGAGGTTTGATGCGTGAAAAGCCAAGCCAAGCTGCAAAAATAGCTCTTATTTTGATTAGGCCTTTGTCCTCTGCTCCGGGATAAAAAGCAAACTAGCCTTTGAATTATTTAGATGCGCACGAGTGCGAAATGTCACACCTCTCAATTATAAACGTGTGAAATTTGCACGTCACAAACGATATGAATTATGAATTTATTATCAAGAACAAAAAGCTTCTCCAAATGAAAAACGTCAAAATTGTGACGTGCCTGCAGTGAAAAGGGTCCGCGTCTCCGTCTACCCACGCCTAACGTTTTTTCCCTCAAATTTAAATTTAAAAAAAATAAGGAATCATAAATTTACATGCTTGTTTCAATTAAAAATGAGAACATTTATTTGTTTATTACATTTACAGCACAGTTTGACACAAATTACTATGTTTGGGAAAAAGATTAATTTTCAGAAACGCACCTTTTATACTCGATCTGCGACACCAATCAAGTTTATAAGTTCTGCTTGTCTTCAAAAAATTGAAAATTTAAGCAGCTTACATTTTTGCCCTTAAAATTTACTGTTGTGACTGTGAATTAAGTTTTAAATCAATTTTAAAATTTCATCTTATTGGCAATTTTTTGTCTTTTTCATCATATTTAGCAAAAGTGTCAGTTTTTCATCATCAAATTTTGTTAATCATTTCTTATAATTAGTAATTATTTTTGGTATAATGAGAAGTGCTAGAAAGCTGAGTGTCGTTTCCTTCATCACGCGGCGCACCAGGAGATTACATAATAATTATTTACAATGAAAACAGACGGACTTGTGCAGAACGACAGAGAATGATGAGACAAGTTTTTTTTATTTAAAAAAAAAAAAAACGGGGAATCTCAACGCGGGGCGTGCCACTGTTGGTGTCTGTTGCGCCGAACTCGCATGTAGTTCTCTTGCTGCGCCTGCAACAAAATCGAATCAAATTATTCAATTTGATTAGCCAGAAACAAGAAATAAATTGCTTAAAAAAAGAGATTCCTAAAATTAATATATTAAAAAATTGTTATTTGGTTTTGAAACAAAAGTTTTATTCAAATAAGACATTTTTCTTGAACAAAAAAGAGCAATCAAGAAAAAAGCTGGGCTTATTTATTATTGGATCAAAATCAAATAGTAAAATAAGGGAGAAGAAATTTGCATAATAGCGTGCGCTGGACACAATAGCGTGGGTTAATCCTTTGCCGCGGGTGCATATTTATTGAGCGCCATGAATAAATAATTTTATGTGTATCAATTCAGTTTTTGATATCGCGCGCAGATAGGCAAATGTATTCAAATCGGAGTGGAGCGGAAAAGATTTACATTGAAACTGGATGTTTGTTTAAGAGGGTGCCGCGTGCAACCCTTTTTCTAATGGTCATGATGTTTGTGATTGGGATTGAGATGTCGCTCTATGCTCGGTTCACGCGTCGTCGAACGCGACACCTGCGAGCCCGGCTCACTTTCATGCCGAGCGATTAATTTGATTAAATGCGCCAAGCTTATCTCCGATACAAATTAAATTATTCAAATTAGATTTGCCTTCAACATTTTAAATCTGTTTGCTTAAATATTTAAATATAGGAAATAATAAGGGAATTTAAATTTTAATAAATATAAAAATAAATTTAATAAATGTAAATTTTAACTTTCATTATCAAATTTAATTAATAAATTTGTTGAGAATCTTTGCAACTCGGTGATTTTTATTTTTGATAATATTTTGTGTCATGTGATGGGAATTTCTGATCGCACCTCAATATGCTTTTTCTCTTTACACAGTTTTAAGGGATTTGCTTTTTATGCCGGCGCTGCTGTTGGAAATCCCGCGCGGATCAACCCGAAATCACGCACACGGAGCATTAAGTGGATATTCAAATCCCATTATTTTCCAAACAGCACCGATCGCACCCTCTGGCTCGTCTCTCAGCGCAGCAGAAACAAATGCGTGCGATGCTCATTTTCCGCGCCGACAATTATACGGAGCGACGCGCACATTGAAATATTTAGTGCCGCGGCCGGAGCAAGTACGGAGATTTATTTGGCCAGCTGCTGACGTAAATCCTGGGGGTCGGCGCGGGGGCACGTTCTTCGTGTCAAACACTTTGGAAATATAAAAGAGCCGAGAAAGCTCTCTTTCATCTTTCTGCGTTTCAAGACAAAATCATACAAAATTCTATTTTTATTTAATTCTGAAATTTATTTTTATTGTTTTTAAATTGTTACATCACATTGTTGAAAACAATTCATTTGGAAAAAAGGAATACATATGAACAAATTTGTAATAATTATTTATAAATTTTAAGAACTATAAATAAAAATTTAATTTTTTCCAAGTTTATTACAGACTGCAAATAAAAAGTAATTTTTTAACGAGAAATTATATAGCGTATTAAAATTATTAAATTTTTTCCAAAATAATCTAAACTTGAATTTTCTATCTAATTATGACTTTTTTTTTTTTTACCAATTATTGAAGCTGCAATTTATTCTTGTTTATAATTAATCATAAATTATTACTTATTATTTTATTTCATATTTTTAGAATTTGGAATTGAACAAATTTATTATGATATTTTGTCTTTAGACACAAAAATTCGTATTCTAATTGGAAAAATCGAAGTTGCTAATTTTGTCCAAAATCATTCGTTTTCTTTTCAAGCCCTGCGATCTGCAATTTTAAATTTACAAACAGAAAGTTCCTTTTATTTGCAGGAGAAGAGACGCATTCAAATCGGCCTCTTTTGTGTTTGTCACTTTGCTTGAGCAAAAGCGCGTCGGAATCGTGACGCGCTTTTTATTTGATGTCACTCGACACGTCATTTGAGTTCGTTTTTGAACTGGGCCGGCTGATGTATCAGTTGTTGATGCTGCAGGCATCTGCCGGGCCCATTGTTGCGGCAACAATGACAGATCCATGTCGCTCTCGCTCTACCTGGGAGGCGATCGAGCCTAGTTTGTGACGCAACAACTCTGGAAATCTGATATATTGCGAGAGAAAGAGCGTGTTTGTGTTGCAGACGCGGAGGCGCGCAAGTGAAGCCCTCAAATAATATCCTCGCTAATCCTATTTCATGCCCTCAACTTCCTTTCATCACAGCTCATCATAGAAAAGAGGGGTTTTTTATCCAAAGTGGCCTTTTCTTGATGCTCTTGACAAAGCACCATGAGATGCCATCTGATGATTATTTTATTTTGATACACCCAAATAAAATAAATAATAATGCGCCTTAGTAAGTAAAATATCGAGTGTTGCATTTCAACTGGAATTTTTTTATGCTTCACCATTATGCAGTGTAAATTACGTGGAAAAATATAAACATTATAAAACGTTGATAAAAATCAAAAAGAAATTAATCCTGGGAATAAATTCATGTTTTCAATTTCTATAAAATATTCCTACAATAGATTGTTGGAAGTCAAAAGTAATTTTCACTGCAACATTGAAGAAGAATATACTAAATTAAACTTTAGAAAAATCTGATATTTAGAAGATTTGTTAATAATGAGTTCTTAAAACAAAATTTAAAAAATTGTATAGAACTGTTTGATTGAAAATTAAAATATTATTTATTTCCGAGATTAATTTTGTAATCATTTTTATTTTTGTAAAATGTTGTTTCTTTATCCAGCAACTTTTGCAAAACTCTTGCTAGAGTTTTTGTCACTCGTTTTTAATGTGAAATTATTGGTTTCTCTTTGTGTGCTTTTCTTGTTGTACTGAAAATCGTGATAGGCGCGCATTTCTGAGAAAAGACACAAAAATGTTTTCATCTCTCGCTGCGATCGTCAGATTAACCCTCGGGGTGTCAACCTCAAATCATCCTCGGCCACGCTTTGTCTTGGAAAAAGCAGCAATTTTGTGTCAATTTCGGGATATCTGATTGCGCGGCGGCCACAAAACGCATCTCCCGGGCTAAATTTATTGTGGAATCCAAGGAAATGTGCTTAATTGGGGCAATTTGTATACGAAATGCCATATTTAAATCTTTTACTTATTTCAATCGAAATTGATTTTGTAACAAAATTAGCACTTTAACCAAAAGCGCCTCATTGAAATAAACAAAATTTATAGGAATTCCTCTATTCTGGCTTCAGTTTATGGTGAATTAATTATCATGAAAAATGAACATATTTTCTCTTCAACACTTTAATTTACTTTTGAAAATATTTATTACATAAATTTTGGCGATTGTTTGTAACCAGGTGTGAAACTTAATCTTCCGAGGATATTCCTCTTGAAGGAATTTAATTTAAATTAAGAAATAAGTTTTTCTGTTGACGCCGTCGTCTGTGGAATAACAAAAAGCGACACGAGACGGCGCAGGTGATTTTTGAGTCTGGCGCTGCAAAGGTGTCTAATTACCGCCGTACGATGCGGACGAAATGATACGTCGCGTGAATTAAAAAAAAAATTTGTCCGCAGCCCGGAGAGGCCGTTCGGTCGGTCGGTTTTCTGGTTGGTGCTGCAGTGGCTCGCAGCGCATGAAAATATAATATCGTTGTCTCGCTTCACTAATCAACCACCGATCGGGAGGGACGTGACGTCATTGCAGTTTTCTGTGGTTTTATATCGGTTTTCCGACCGCATCATCATCAGGCTACCTTCGTTATTTCATGCGCGCAGACCGCACTTTTCTCGAGCCGCGCGACCAAAAAAATTGTGTGTAAAATTATATTTTATTCACATGTGAGCGCAGACAGAGAAAATATAATATTAAATATCCAAAACTCGGAGTTGTTTTTTGCTGTGAGCGCGGTGAGCGCCTCGGAATAAAAGTTGGAATCAAATTATGCTCCTCTCTCATTGTCAGTCAGATGAGAGATCCAAATTGTTACTTGAGAGTGCAGGAGAGAAAACAATTTTGACCAAGATTAAGGATAGATTACCGCGCAGCAATCTTCAACGGGTCAATTTCATCTTTTTTCCTCCTCTTGATCGTATTTTCCTCCTCTTGATCGTTTTTTAGTTTCAAATTGAATTTTTTCATGAATATTTAAATTATAGCTTCATCATTAAAAGCCCAAATTTTCAATTTTTATTCAAATTTAAATGGATATTTTTTATATGGATACATTTTTACTCCTTTACTTTGCAAATTTAACGTTTTTATCTTTGAAATATAGATCAAAATCGAATTATTTCCTCTCCCAGTTGAAAGTACCAAGTAATTTTGATGTTATTGAAACGAATTGACTTCTTGATGCGAAATCAAATTTATTGCAAATTCGATTCGCTCTCTGGGCAAATTGCTTTTTTGATTTGAGAGTAAAAATGCGAATGCAATAGAGCGTGTCGACCCCCAGGCCGGCGGGGGTGAAAGGCCAAAAAATGAGATTGCGTTGCCGCGGCCGGGGCAAGTCAGGGGTGCGCGCGGCATGAGACGCGAATCTCTTTCCGAACGATCAATAATGCGCTGATGGCGACGAGACGCCAACTTTGTTCAACACCAGAGCGCGCGGCTTTTTCGTTTTGAGCAAAAAAGGCAGAAATAAAAACAGATCTTTGTTGAGATCCAACTGCCCTCGAAAATTATACCAATCAATCAGCGGAAAAGCAGGCCATGAAATTCAATGACAGCTCAAAATGAAGGAAATCAATCAGTCAATTTCTGTAGTAAAACTTTATAATTAATACCAATACCAGAAATATTGTGATTTTTCTATTCAAACTGAACAATTCCATTCTGAAAACATTTAATTTTTTTTTTTTATTAATCTGTTGTTGATTGACAATTCAAACATGTGATTTCTTTCAAACAATTATTTCAATTTAAATAAATATTTGCCAAAAATAAAGTATTTTATTTCTATTTCAATTATATTAAGGAGATGAAAATTGATTAAATAATTTAAGAACGAACGAAATTATTTATATAAATTCTTCAACTGAATCAAGTGGAAAGGAATGAAGTTTTTAAAAATAGCAGGAACCGTTACATCTTCTTTTTGTTTAGAGACCAAACGGCCATAACTTTTTTTTCCAAGCTCGTCTTTTGAGTCTTCCTGTACTCGACTCGCACCGCGAATTTCTAATATATCAAATGAGTGAATGCATATCATGGTCCCCTGTCCGCGCTTATTGCAACTCTTAATAAAAAGGGCGTGCCCCTCTTGACAATTGCAGCCCTTATTGGCCAAAAGTAACCCCTGCATAAAGGGGCAACCAGTTTTCCGCACCCCTCGCGCGCTGCAGTATCAAATGTTATCCGCGTCATTGTCCGCGTCAATTAGATTTCTATGCGAGCCTGCAGACGATGCCGCTCGAAATGAAACTACAACTGCCCCTTTGCGTTGCCGCGCGGCAACCATCTTTGATCGCGCCAACTCAAAATGCAAACTGACTCATTTTGAATTTGTTACAATAATAAGTCTCCACTTCCGCATCCGAAATTGTTGCACGTATTTGAATTAATTGTAAAAGAAAATTAAAAATAGTTTAAATCTTTCAAGGAATTAATTGCGAAGGATTTTTTACTTTTCAATTTGGAAATTTATGGAAATGATTTCAGTTCTTAACGAGGAGCTTAATATCTTCACTGAGATTTAAACTTCTCAATAAGATCTCAGAAAATTTGTGATGTCGACTGGTCTATTGGTTTTATTTTTCCATCTCAATTGGGGTAATATGAACATGCAAGTGTTAAAATAAATCACTTATTAACGATTAATTTATTGGGGGAATTTTTAAGAATTTTTAGAAAGAAAATTATTTTAGGAAATTTCCAAAGAAAGAATGTTAAGTTTCAAAAATTCAGTTCTACCAGAATGACATTCGATTTTCTTCCTATTTCTCCTTGGGTCAAATTTTTGTTCATTTTCATTTTTGTAAAAATAATCTTCATAAAGTGTGTAAACATCAAAAGACAAGAGAATGTTTGTCCTTCTCTCAGATTTACATGCGCAAATGAAAGCAAAGAACTGGCGTTTTTGCTCCCACGTTTTTCTTTTTCTTTTCATTGTCCGCGGCCGCTTTTTCATAATATTTCTTCTCCATTTTCGTCCGTGTTTGTTTGCAAAAGGGTTTGTTTCGCTGCATTTTCCCATGCATATTTCTCGTTAACCCTTTTCTGTGTACACAAAGCGTATTAGACGCACGCCCGGCGGCCTCGCTCCTGCGCTGCGCCTCCCCCGCCCTGCTTTCTGCGAGTTATGCGCTCGTAATCGGATTTGCCGCCCTTTCAAATGTCCCCTTTGGCACGAGATTTCAAAATCCATTATAATGAGAGAGCGAGAGAGAAGCATATTGTGCTGCGTCGCTATCTCGCCCCGAATCCTCTCGAAAGCTAAACTATGCAAACACAAAAGTCTTTGTAAATACCTGTTGTAAAAAAAAGGGAAAAAATAAAAAATCCCTTGAATATAAAAGGACTTTAAGGTCCCATGAATATAATATCACGGCTATGTAAACATTCCATGTACGAAGAAGGCAAAATAATATTTTTAGAAAACCTAGAGCAAAGTTATTGAGCGATCTGCAGTTTCTCTCTTAATTTGGGGCTAATTGGCGCGAGGAAATAATTGGCACTCACCAAAGTGACCTCGATGTCGGTGTCTCCGGGCCGGTCCAGTTGCTGGTGCGAACGGTAAGCGCGTTGTTTGTCTTCAAAGTCGCGCAACCGCTGGTTGTACCGCTCGATCTGGTCTCTCAACATCGAGTCCTCGATCTGCAAAAGTACGCATAAATTTCACCCACAAACTCTCAAATTAAGGACAGGATTAATCAGCATTGGTTTGCAAGGAGAAATTTCAGTCATTGGGAGAGATGGATTTTTAAAATTTTACTTTGATTCTTATGTTGAAATTTCCAAAATAATTTTTATCACAAAATTGATGGAAATTTCACCAAATCACGTTCAAATCACCCCAATTTAGATGGGGAAATAAAATTATATCCTTAAATGAAACCTTTTTTTAATTATTTATTTGGAATATTGAAATTTTTGTTAGTTTTATTTTAATAAATTGTATAGTTTATTAAAAATTTCTCCTCGGAAAGCAATTTTCGAATTTTTCTTTACAAATAAAACGATTTAAAAAATTTAAATTTTGAACTCTTTGTAATTTTTCTTTTGAATTTAAATGAATTTGCTTATATAGTTGGGCCGGAAGTTTATCTTTAAAGGGAAGCTTCATCATTATATATTTTTAAGGCTTCTTTCTCTTATATTTTATGAATTTCGAAAAAATTTGGGATCGAATTGCTGATGCGGGGGGAAACTCGATGCTGCGAGTTGTGAATCGAATTGCTGCATGCGAGCTAGGGGGTTGCTTACCTGGGCCTTGTCCTCGTCGTACTCGAGACAGCCGACCCCGTCGAGGCGCTCAAGGTCCACCCAGCCTTTCCACCGCACGCACACTCCATTCATTATGAAGTGAGATCTCAGGTGAACCTGCAGCCAAAAACAAAAATTAAATCAGTAAAATTGCAGAAAACCGAAGAGCAGGAAAATTTCATTTAAAGTTGTGCGCATGAAGTGAAAAAAAAGAAACTTTGATAAGCGTAAAATATCGTTTTTGCTCTTTTAATATCTCCAAACCGCACTAAAAACAGGAAATTTTGGTTTTCCGGTGTGACCAAAGAGATGCGATTAGTTCTTATGCCAACGCGGATTACAAATATATTTCATTTCAATTACAAACTTTTATCACAGAAAGAGTTAAAATGTAAAAATAATTTCTCTAAAATATTCTTAGATTTATTTTGTTATTTGAATTTAAATTCTAATAATCTTTTGAACGTCAATTTTGTTTTGCAGGTTTTTTTAAATCATTTTTTAATTTTTGTAACAATTTCGCTGCAGGAATTTAAAATTTTGTGCTGGGTGAGAAAAGAAGCAGGAATGCACCTGAATAAAAACGTCAGAGTGTCGCGAGTGACAGCGCCGAACAAAAAGGCAAAAGTCACGGCGCTTTTCTTGGTTCTCATTGTGCTTGATCAGGCCGTTTATTGATATGCCAGGCCTTTCATCCCTCATCCCTTTGTGCGTCTCCCTGCGCGTCTCATTGAAAATATCAAATGTGTTTGTGTAAATTGGAGAGCTGCGCTGAAGAGCATCTGTGTGTTGAAATAAGTCGCCCTCGGGTATAATAAAATAATACACACAGTGAGCAGTTTTGTGTGCATTGTGTGTTTGCCAACATTCTTCTCTCAAAAGCTCGCCAGCTCAATCCAAAAAATACTGAGACTGACCCTCATTTATCATGCATTTTTTGTGCTCGTTTCCACCAGAATTCCTCAGAAATACTGCAGCTTTTTGGAATTTTTTGTCATGTGAAAAGGCGGAAATGTTTTGTATGTGTTTGACTCGAGCCTTTCAAAATATTTTCTTGAAACGGTTCACGAAGAAAAGAGAAAAGAACGTAAAAACCTATTAAACGTGTATTTTGGAAAGAAATATCTTAAGAACTTTCCCAATTGAGTTGTAAAAGTAATTCAATTTTAAACTGAGTTTTAATTTCATGAAATTTGTGTTAATTTTAAGACTTTAAAATTTTAAGTGGCTATTCAAGTTTGCAAATTTTTTTAAATTTTTTTTCTCTTGGCTGAAATTGGTAGATCTGTTGTTTATTTTTCTCAATAACAAGACAAAGCCCGTTTTCCTCACTTCCATTAAATTAAAAAGTGTAAATAAAAATTCGTTTGGAAATGAAAGTTTATTTTAAACGTTTGAATGCAACAAAAAAAATGTGTTAAAACAAATTAATAAATCAAACGTCAAATTAGAGTTTTTTCCTTTTCAAAAATGTAATAAAAAAGTGGGCGAGAGCAGTTGGCGCAAACAGGTCTTGCTTGACGCGTCTTGCATTTTTTTTCACTCGTACTAACATGCGTGTAATGGGTCTCGTTTCTCGCGTCTTTGCAATATGCAAATGAGCCTCTTTTTATTATGATCCGAACCAGCAGCAGCAGCAGCAGTTCTATTTATTTATTCAACAAAGTGAGCAGGACACGTCTTTGTTTTTTTAAAAGAAAGAGTGAATGAAGAGTCAAAAGCTGAAGGGGAGCAAAACTCGTCATTTGATAAATTTATCTGATTTTTTTCTGTTGACGGGCGTGTTAATACATTATTTACTCACGCAAGTCAAATGTGCTTTTTTGTCCAAATTGAATATAAAAAAGGCGTGAGAACGAGAACCGCAGAGAGGGCGAATTGAGACATTTAAACATATTATGCACTTTTTTTATTATGACTTGTTATAAATGTATTTTTTTTCTTGGAAGAGAGAACATAAAAGTATGATCGTAAAGTCCGCGAACACTTTAAATTTTACGACGCAGTTTGTTTTAAATTTAAAAACCGTTCAATCAGAGGAAATTGAGCTGATCTGTCTGGTCATAATTTGAGCGAGGAATTGGAAAGGAGGAGAAGCTCGGCTATAATTTCGGGTCCCGCATCTGCGCCCGCTCCCCAGAGCGTAGTTCCGCATCAAATATATTTTGTATTTCTCGCGATTCAGCACGCCAAAATCACGGTCGCTTTACCCTTTTTCGTCTGCTCGTTTTTTTATTGCGTCAGTTCCATTATTTCGTAAATCGTTACGCTCTCCTTTTTTGCGCAGATCGTACATAAAAAATAAATTATATACAACAAAAGTAAGTTGTATTTCTCTGTTATTTCTAATAGTTGATATGTGCCAAAACACTCTTGATTATGTTATTATTTCTTTACCCCGAAACAATGAACTGTTATAAAAATTATTTAAATTGAATAAGTGTTTTCAAATTCGAGCTTATTACAGGTTAAAAAATTATTTTTTTCGTGGATTAAGAACTAAATTATTATTTCAGCTCTTTTTTCAAAGTGCGATCCAGTTTGACCAAAGTTTTTGTTGCATTCAAAAAGCCTCCCCGCCGTGCCCAAATGCATATTAGATCATTTTTCCCAGCACATTACATTTCCAGTCCAAACTTTTTTATGCATTTCTCTCGGTCGGCTCTCCTCAAAGCTTCTTGAATATATATATATAATTTTTTTTCGGAATCATAAACGTGATGTGAGCTTCTTTTTTTATACATAATGCACGCTGTGTGTACAGATTATTGTCTCATTTGTAGCACAGCTGGAAACTTTTGTCAGCTCAGGACAAAAAAGAGCTCTCGGAATATTCATCTGGCGCGGCTGCGATTTGTCTGCGCGCAGAGACAGACTCATGATGTGCTAACGAACGTTGCTGCGAACAATGACTTTGGCTTTTTGTTCGGCATCCTAATTAATTAAACGTTTGAATGATGAGGTCTTGCCACCCATTAAGAGAGAATAAGCAGGCAGCAGAGACGCTTCAACACCTGCTGCACGTTTTGTTACATTCAAAATAATAGAGAATAAAAAGGGAACGCCTTAAAATGTAATCGCTTGGAACGTTTTAAATCAAAATTAAGAATAGTATTTTCATAAATATTAAATTAAAGACGAGACCAATGATAATGAATTGATTTCAGCAAAATTTCAGGCATTTTCAATAATTTTTTGAAGCAGAAAATGTTATAATTTTAATTCATAATAATTTTTTTTTCAATAAACATTTCTATAATTTTAATTTACTTATTCTTATTTTTTTTCAACAAAATACACGTGCGTATAAAATTATTTTGGTGCTCTTTTAAATTATGACAAAAGATCTGCATAAGTTATTTAAAAGTTTAATTATTTTCAGTTCTGTTCAATGAAAGGAAATTCGGCTTCACCCTGCACATCTTATTTCTGACAAGCTTGATAATTTCAAGCGTGTTTTATTTTCCCTTGACTGCTTATTTGAAAGAAGCAGATTTATTTTGAAGTCTGCCTGCTCGCGCGCGTGTAATTTTATGGCACGTTTTTAATTCTAAACTGGCGCAGCTCTCAACACAAATAAACAGATAATAAAACGCGCGCGTCTCTGTAGATAAATTGTAAACATAAAAAAAGAGAAGCGCTGCAGATCTATCTTTATTGAAAAATCAACAGCTTAATTGGCTGCAGGCGGAGGCGCGTTTTGCAGCTTTTAAGGCGCTGTAAATGTGTTTTGTGCTCGGTGAAGAATGGAAGAGAAAATTCCAGCAGGCAACGGCAGAGTCATAAATCCTGGACGCTTTTCCTCCGACAACACAGCACATGTGAGCAATAAAACCTGTTCAAAGCTCCTTGCAAGGTTTCCCCAACGTAAAAAGAAGAGAGAAAAAACAACATTTTTATGCTCAGGCGAAGAGAAAGCAAAAAAGAACCCTCGTTCATCCCCCTGCTTCCAAGGACTTTTACAACAAAAAGGTTTTCTGCTGGAAATTATTTTCCACGCGCGTTCGAATCACTGCCGATTTGCTTTTTCCAGCCGAATGGATTTTAACAAATTTCGAAAGGGTGCCGGTGAGAATTAATTGAATTTCGTCGGCTGCATCCGAGTATAAAAAATCGAATTAGCGAAAGGCGTTGTGATTTGCGTCGCCGCCGCCGCCGAGAGGCCCCCCGGCGTCACCAATTAAAGCACCTTTTAACCCCTTTCTAAGCGTCCAACTAAGCGTACCCGTGCGAGGGCACAACAGACCTCCCTGTAGAAAAAAAAACACGCACAATAAATGAAGTCATGCAGCGACATCAGTTGCCATCACGCCTTGTCGCGCTCAAACAACGCACAAATGCGAGGCCGCCGCGGGACTTTCGCGTTCACAATTATTTTTATTTCATACCAGACTTTTTGTGTTGTGCACAAAATCTGGATGCGGCCCGCGGCGAGTGCAGCGCGCAATTGTTTGTTTAAGCGAGGGTGAAAAGCAAAAAATTCCAAGTTGGCCTCGCGCATTTGATTGATATGAGAGAAAAATTTCCGTCTCGAGAAGGAAAATTCAGGCGTAGAAACTATTCAAATCTACGATAGGACGGAAAAAGGAAATGACAAACGATAAAACATTCCAAACCTTGAAAATATTATAATTTTCCTTATAAGGCGTCAAAAGATAACAAAAACGATTAAAAAACTAAATATTTTCCTGAAACTTCTCTCTTGAGAATTATTTATCTTCAAATAGTTCAACTATAACATTAGTTGGAAAAATACCAAATTTAACGATCCTTGCTCAATTTAAAAATAAAATTTAAGTTGGAAAAAACGTTTTTTGAAAATTCGTTTAGATATTAATTATAAAAGAATAAATAAACTAGTTTTTATTATAAATAGTTAATTTTACGCCATTTCCATGAGTAACCTTTTTGTGGTTTTTTTGCTTCAGAAATCCAATAATTTGGGATTTCACATAATGTTTTGAGGGCTTTCAAAATTAATTATTTTGGACCACAAAAATAAAATTTCCAAACAATTTCAAATTTGAGAACGGTACGGTGATAAGAATTTCACTATTAACCTCAGTTTTTCATGCCAAACAACTTTTCTGTTGACACCAAAGCCGTCGAGGTCACTTTTCAGCAATTTAATAATTTGTTTAGTAAAAAAGTCAAATTTTGAGGACGATGATCCCTTTTGATTTTGTTGCAGGATTAATAGGAGGAAATGTGGTTCGTGTAATTTTTGTTTATTCAAAGCAATAACTTGTTTACTTTCACGTCCGAAGTTTGAATTAATCGATGTTTTGTTTTAATTAACAAAAAATTTAAAATACTTAAAATTTTCCTGTTCGTCTTTCAAATTGCAAAACTTGTCATACTTCTTGTGTGCCAAGAAGCACTTTGAGCAGGAAAATGAGCCGTGTGTGTGATGAAATATTAATTACCAGCTAATTGAGCGTCACTGCTGAAAGAACATTTCTTTCTTTCTCTGGAGGGGCCTGACGCGTGTTTTTATAAGCGCACTTCCTCTTCACGGAAACACGATACGCTCTCTCTCTCTCTGTAATATACCCTTAGCTGAATTTATGTATGTGTTTTGCTTGAACAGTGACACTAACAATCGAGGAGCAGAAGAAGAAGAAGAAGAAGCACTTCCTCTCCTTTGAGCGCGTGCTTGCCTGCAGCAAGGGGCGATCGTGACCCCAACTGCTCTCTCAGGGCAAATTGGCTCCTTGCCTCGCATCCTAATTGCGCATCTGCGCTCAGGTCTAAAAAATATGTAGGAAATCGTAAAAGAGGAAAAGTAAAAATTAGTTTGTTGTAAATCAATTTCAAATTCTTTGGTTTAAAAATTCCATTTAATCCAGCGATTTAAATTTTATTTTTTGGATCAAAAACTGTTTTTCAGTTACGTTTTTTACTCTAAATAATGATTGAAATTTTCTTCCATAACTTTTTCAAAATCTGTTCATTTCGAGTTTGATCTTTTTTATGATTTTATTTTTCACTGTACCTGAATGCAAAGGCCTTAAGCAATCGGGCCTCAAGATCAATATAATAATCGCGCGGACTCTGTTGCGTTCCCTTTTAAATTGGCCTCTCCTCTTTGCACACGCACAAACTAAGTGGTCGAGATCTCGTCTAGGTTGTCCGAGTTACTCCTCTAAAAACGACCCCAAAAATAAGCTCTTCTGAAGCAGCAGAGTAACATCCCAACTAGGCTAAACGGGCTAGCTCGGACACGGTGTCTGAGCTACTCAGCTACAGAAGCCGACCTGTCGCGGTTATATTTGCTGGGCGCCTCCAGTCGCTAGCCGTCGCTGCTCGGACACATTGAATGAGCTAGCTCGTTTATATTAGTAAATCTCTCTCGTTTATAATTGCTACGCTCTTTTGGCTAGTATAAATTTCCTTATTTGGAAGTAAAAGTTCGTTGGAATCGATTGGAATAAAAGAAGGAAAATGCTGCTGAAAGAAATGTCTTTATTTCATAAAAACAGCAAAATAAAGAAATTATATGTTTGAATAAAATATGAGATAGCTTGGCAACATAGTATACCTTTACATTGCGTTTAAGTAAGTCGAAGGATGAAGCTCCTTAATTCCGAAAGATTTTGGTCTTGGTAAAAATCCGAACTTGTGCATACGTCCCTCCAATTTTCCTTATCACTATATAGCTCCTTTTGCAACAAAACACTAAAATCACTTAATTCGGCCGGTCCATTTCTTCTTTTTTGAAAACACATCACAATCAGCGCTGAGCTTCGGAACGCTATTGCACAAAACTCTTCCGCTGCAAGTCTATTTGCTCCAAATCAATTCGAGGTTCCTAAAATCAGCACAAATGATATTTTTTAACTACAGGAACATAGGAATTTCATTAAAATTGCAAAATGAAAGACATTTCCAAAAAATAATTTTAAAAAGTACCTTTTCATTTAATTGTAAGTTGATATTAGTTTTCCATAGGCGCTCAAGATGCTCCAGATATAAACAGCACAAGCCTCTTTTCCATTAAATTACCTAAAAAATAAAAATTAAAAATGATTGGTATAAATTTAAATTTTGCTGCAAAAATTTCATTACCTTGTAGAATTTCAATGCTACCAGAATATCCTGCACTATCTTCACTCTGCAGCTCTCCGACAAACACTGACCGTTTCCAAGCTTGAGGAATTTGGACTAAACCATTTCAAAACAGGGGAAACTGATAGATTTTTCCATTTCTGAGCCCCAAACTCGGACACTTTGATCAAGTTAAATCATTTATTTTTACAAACTTGCAGATCTGTTGCTGTGTATGAGCAATCTTGTTTACTATAACCGAGCTGCCTCAGACAAACAGGCTTCTAAACAAGCTAGCTCGGACAAATTAACCGAGCAGCTTTAAACGATCTTAGCTCGGACAATTTAGTCAAGTTTCACGTCTATCCTAGACTAGTCTCGACTAAGATTGGGGTTTAACGAGTTTGCTCGGACACTTAGTATGTGCGTGCAGAAGGAAACACGCGCTTAAAGATTGTAAACGCCGCCTCCGCACACACAAAAAAAAAGATTGTATAATTTCGAGTGTTGCTCGCCGGCGCAGTGATTTCCTCCCATTAAAGAAGATCTTGCGCGCCCAAACGGCGATAATCTTTCTTTTTAAAAGTGCCGCGGAGGAAAAAAAGTAGCTTCTCGGAACATAAGTGCGGACGAGAAGCCTCTTCGGCCAAATGAGTCATATAATCGCTGCTTAACACAGAGAGCCACTTTACTTTTTTCTATCTTATGTTTTGAAGCTGCTTTGGCGGTGCGTGCAAAAGACAAACACACACTAAATTATAAAAGAGAAAAAATTCAAGCTGTGCGGTCTTTGATGTGGAAATCATATGAGAATCATTCAGCGCGAATTTAATTAATATAGGATTTTATAAATGGCTTCAAGCTAATAAGTCCATTTGTAGTAATGAAAATTTTACCTTAATTTTTTTTTATTGCGTACATTTGATTAAATATAAAATAAATGAGGCAAATTATAGGATCTTTTATCTTTAGTTTTAACAATATTCTTAGAGTTTCTTTTGTCCTGCATAAAGAATTTATCCAAACAAAATTTTTTCCAAGTAAATTATCATTTATATTTAATTTAATTTATAAAATGGACTAATAATAGCAATAATTATAAAATGAAACTGTAATTTAAAACAGACTTTGAGCGCCTAAAATCCCATTTCTATAAGCAATTGTTTCTCATACGCACAAAAGCAGTTTCTATTATGCAAATGAATTAATAATTCTCTCTGGCTATTCCATTCGACTTTTATATTCAAATGGACCCTGCATTACTTTTTGCATAAGTTATAACGCAGCAGTGCCCATATGTCCGGGGTATTTTTTTAAAACCAAATTAATCACGCATCTCTTTTGTTCCAACGAACATTTCCCGTGCGACACGACCAATTAAAAAATTTAACGGCGATAATTAATGAAGGTGAATCGATATAAAAACTTGTCGTGCAAACGTGTTGACACAAAATATTTGCTGCGCAGGGGTCACGTTCGGAGCAGCGCGCGTGTAATTAACACATGATCCCTCTGCGCATGCAGGGGTCAGCCTAGCTTCTTTTTTCCCTTTGATAAAGTGGAAGTGCAGCCTTTTCATGTATTTAGCAGATGTTGCTCCATCTCGCTCCCTACCATAAATTTCGTGCGCAGCCCCTCTTGTACGTGTATAAAAAGGCGATTATATTAAAAAGGCGCATCATTATTCAAACTCTCGCGCGCGCATCTAATTTTACATCGTGTATATTAAACTCTCAACTCGTTAATTCCTGAATATATCGTGGGCGTTTTTTAAATTAAATTTTAAACATGCGATATTGAGCTCACGGGTCGGCGCGCAGCGTGTTTTAATTTCGAACGCATTTGATACGCGCGCAGCCTCCGAATCATTTCCTTTTATTCCGAGAGAGAATAAAGAAGAATGACTCAATTTGTTGCCGCCGAATCCACGTTGAGATTTTTCTTTTTTCTAAAAAAGCGCCCTTTGCGCACGAATTCGCATTATTTGAATGACTGCAGAGATTTGCAAACTTTTGTTGCGTCTTTTTATGCAGAGGCACGCTTCCATTCTTTTCTATACAAAAACGTAAAATTTGACATGGTTAGCCAGAGTTAATGATCATTTATTATGTTTTTCCCTCAAATATTTTCATCCATTACTGATTAAACTTAATTTGTTTAGTGTTCTGAAAGTAAGAATTATAACAAAATTTATTATATATATATTTTAATACATAATCCTTTCTTTTTTAAATAATACTGAAGCATTAATTACCATAACTGTTCTACAAAATTAATAAATAAAATAAACTAATTTAGTTTATTGGTTTTATTTAAAAAAAAAGTATTAATCTCTCTGAGCTGTTAAAAAATTTCATTAAAACTGGAATAATTAAACAAACAACCCAAAATTATAATATTTTCAACGTGAAACTGAACTTTATGAAATAAAAGTTTTTTTAAATTTCCAGTTAAAAAAATGATAAAAAAGACACCAAAACATCTGTATTTTATAAATCAACTCTTACTTTTTTAATTTACAAAACTTATTTGTCCAGATTTGTGCGTTTTTTTCCTCTCTTTTCGTCGGGCAGAGAGCGAGCATCGGAAGCAGCAGATTTTTTGAGAGGGCTCGCTCGACTGGCCCTTTTATTATAAATCTTCCTGCCGCTGGACCGGCCTGCAACTTTTGTGTGTGTTTCCGATCCATACTTTGGCGTACAAAGAAGCATGACACAGGCACTTGAATCCATCGAGCTATTTTCGGTAAATATTTTCACCTTGTTTGCCGCCGCGCGCGGAAATGAAGCATCGTCAGCTTTTTGTGTGCCAGGAAAAAGTGCTGAGTCGGCTTTTTGTGCAGTCACGCCTGTTCCAAAGAGCAGGAAAGGAATTCCAAATTGATAATGTACGTCGGCAGCATATCCTTCCGAATCGGATCTGAGCGTGAAATTCAATGTCTAGTGTGACTTTCAAAGGGTTTTAAACATTCAAAAACGCTTCTGCAAATAAATCAAATAAACATCAGGCATGAAACAATATAAAAAAATTTTTTATAAAAAAATTAAAGGTTCGAAGATCAATTTAATTATCGAACAGTCACAATTACAAACTTATACTTGAATTAACTATAAATTTAAAATTGGATTTTTGTTCAATATTTCTCTTTTTATGCCTTAATTTATTGATCGGCTTAGGAGGAGTTTTATTTTGGCGCTGCCACATCTGCCGCCGGAAAACTGACCGGCTTCTGAGGTAATAAAAAGTGGCCATAATTCACGTCTGATTTGCCCATCACCTGAGTTGCGCCTCATTGGCCGCGACAGCCGTGATCCAGGTGGTCATCAATTTCCCCAAGCAAACTGGCCCGCGGCGGCCTCTTTTCATCTTGCACGTGAATTTTTCATGGCCAGTCGATCGGCGTAGCACGCGCCCCGCGACAAACAACACGTGTAATCAAGTGTGATATTGAGAGGAGACTTTCCAAAACTCTGCACCAAAAAAGCACGAACACCCAGCGCGAGTCTCTCAAAATTTTGACCAACAATTGCTCTGATTAAATTAAATAATTCTGTTGTGCCACAATATTTTGGCCTGGCCGGATCAAGTTGCAAACAAGAAATGTTGAAAAATACAACATGAGCTCGTTTAATCCGAAACGGATGCCAGGCCAAAATATGTATTTTTCCATCCATCGGGGGTGAATTGAATGAATGAAACGTGCACCTTTTCAAAGCCTTGTTTGGCCGCGCATACAAAACCTCTCATTACTGCAACTGCCGCGCGTTCAGACCCATCAATTATTTGCAACACGAGGTGCCAAAATTATATACACGGTCTAAAAATCCCTCTAATTTTTAATTCAAATTTTTATACTAATTCCGCAAATAATGAGCAGCACAACAAAAGGATCTCCACGGAGGACTCTCGAGAGCCGGAATAATAAAAAGGGGTGCGCGCGCGCGCGTTGAAATGCAAAAAGGGTTTGTCAAATATTTTGCTTTCAAGAGCATCTTTCTCCTTCTCTGCTTTTGTATTTTCAACTCTTGAGTTTTGCATTAATAACATTCATCGCTGCCTCATTTGATTTGCATAGTGATTAATGCGTCGCCCGCGCCGCGACAATCAAACGCGAAAATAATCGAATTGCACGTGCGAGTCGCTCCCTCACGCGCCGCGGTCCTTCTTTCGAGTGTGTGTGTTTTCCCTTTTTCATATAACAAGAGCTCTTATTGTCCGTAATCGTCATTAAAACTCACTTAATTGGCTCGTCGGAATGGAAGAAAAACAATGCCAAGTACAAAAGCAAATAATCATTAGAAATTTTCAATTTAATGCAAAATCACGTTTTTTCTGGCAATTGAAATTCTAATTATGAAGATTTTTAATAAATTCTTTAGTCATTTTTTATTGTGCAGGGCTCAATGTCTGCAGATCAAGAGGAGAGTTTTGAGTTTCAACAGCTGCTCCGCATGAAAACTGCTCACTCAATTACAGCAATCAAGCGATTTTATCAGTGTGAAATAGATTTTTTGAGCCGCCGCCGTTCATGTTGCCTGCCATGAAACTGATCTTATCTCAAGGGTAATTTATTTAGCGGCGCTACTTGTACTGCCAATTCACCAGCACAAGGGAGAGGATTTAATGATTTTTATCCAAAAATCTTTATATACAATTTTTTTGATGTTTTACTTTTCCTTTTGAATATTTGTTTCTTTTGAATTTCTGCATATTCGTCTTGGACTAAATTTAAAGTTAATTGGAAATTCTTCATTTGCGTTTCGCGGAATATAAAGTTTCATGAAAAATTGTGGCTTACCTTGCCCATTTCCTTGTCAAAGTCACATTCTCTGCCAAGGTCCGAAACTGTGTAGCCGTTCATGACTGGGTTGAAAACAAGTTGCAGGTTTGTGCCGGTGGCCACGAACGACTGTAAAAGGATTACAAATAATCGGTATTAAATAAATATTCACAAAATCCTACTCTTTTTGTGCCCAAACTTTTTAAAATTTAAAAGACCGTTCAATTGTCAAATTCAAACAAAAGATTGCTTATTATGAAGGGACCTCTCTTCAATATATTGAATTGTGCATGATATAGAAGTTTTATGCGTGCCATGGATTGGAATTCCGCCGAGAACGATGCAATAAAGGGAGCCCTCGGAGTCAAAAATCGATGCGCGCAGAGCTCTTCATGCTCATGCGCTTTTTACCCTAAAGCGACTAAACATGGCCCCAGGGATGCTGCGATACACCCTCTCATTGCACCCTCTCGTCTCGTACTTACAATTTCCGTGTGACCCTCTCGGCAGCCATTTTGAAACCTCACTTGGCGTTCCTCCAAGGGTCGATCTCTGTACCCCGTGTAGCGCACCTTCAACAAAAAAGAGAGGACAATTTATAACCTTTTTAGTTCACTCAAAAGGGAAAGTTACAAAAGAACTATATTCAAAAACTGTAAAGTAAGCTCAAAAGATTACAAGCCGATGGAGCTTTTTTCTTTTTCATTATCGCGCGTCTTAATTTTTAAACTTCAAAGAGTTTTGTATCAATTAAAATATGCATTAATGAAAGCTGCATTTTTGTTTCAATTTTTAATTCTTTCGCTTCAAAGTATAATTAACATTTTTACAACTAATCAAATAACTAATTAATGAAATAAGAATTAAAATAGGAAATAAGATACAAATATTAAAACAATTCTCTTGTTCATAAACAGGTGGGTCAAATTTTAAAATTGAAATTCGAACAAAGACTTTATAAGGAAAAGTTTTTGCATGCATAATCCTGGAGATGCTGCTTTCAATTATTATTTAAATTAAAAATTTGAAAATCGTTTCGGAGAGTGTCTATTTCAAAACACCGCATCTAAGTCTGCTCTCCGCATGACGCATCTCCATTCACTCTTGCCTGGCAGTTGAAAAGTTTCCTCCTCTAATTAATTAAACCAGCCCGGATGTTGCTCCATGTCGGGCACAAAAAAAAATCATTTTGAATCATTGTTGGTGCGCCGTAGGAGGAAAAGGATATTGTAAAACAAATCATGTGTTGCTCCGAAGCCATTCTTGCGTTTCAAATTAAAAAGAAACTTTCCTTGCTCTTAAGCGTCACTTCCGCGAAAATCATTTTTGATTGGCAATTTTATAGAGGAAAATTGTTTACCTCGCTCTCTCTGCTGAGCCGGCGGAAGAGTTCGTCGGACTCGAATTTGGACTTTTGGTCGGGCACGACGCGCGGCATTTTAAAGATGAAGCGCGGTTTGGGCTGCTCGTAGAGTCCGATCGAGTCAAAGGGCAACATGCCCGCAAGTGCGGCCGCAGCCGCTGGGTCGCCAGGCCCCATCCGTGCTGGTCCCCACATCCCGCCGGCCGTGCACTGGCCGCCGCCGCCGCCGCCTTCTCCCTGCAAAACCAAAAACGCGGCCGACTCAAATAAAGCCTCCGCAAAACCAGAAAAACACACACCAAACCCAGCAAGAGTCTCAATTGATTCGGCCAACACCGCAAATTCCGCTAATCAAAGCCACTACGTTTTAATTCACTAATAATATCTTAGAAAAATTAAACAAATGTTCCTATAATTTTTTTATTTAAATAAGATTCATGAATATTAAGAAAATTAAGATTAATAAACTGAAGAAAATGGAATTTTCAAGTAAATCTTTCTTTGTCATTTGAATTTGGTCCTTTGGAAAAACAAATATTTGGAATTATGAAAAAACTTTTTCTTTTCAAAAACATATTTACAACAAAAAGTTTTTCCAGAAAAACCCCACATAAAATTGTAACAAAAATCTACTCTAGCACTTGATTGTATTCAAGTTGATTATGCAAATTTAAAATACGGTTGAAGAATCAAAATTTTGAAGTACCTGTATTTTGGAAAAAAGCCGAGGGTTGAACGCGCCCTTGGAAGTTGCGTGTAAAATCCCTTTTGTTTTTCGCGAGGTTGTTGCAGGGTGGAAAAAAGGAAAAATCAATCGATTGGGCTGATGCACGGACACACGCACACTCACCGCACAAGTGCAACCGCGACTACGAGGAGAGAGCGAGCGGGTCAGAGGAACCGCGACGGCCGGGTCGGCGCGCGGCCTTCCCCTGCCAAGGCGGCCAGAGACGGCCCACACGCAAACCACGCCTATGCCACCCTCGGCTTATGCAACGCGCCGAGCCACCGCTTGCCTAACCTTTCCCGCAGCTTTGCTTTCAACGCGCTCGAATTCAATTGACATATCCAGTCTGCGATTTGCAAAAGCCGCATAAGCTATATAATGAGCCGCAGTTCGGACAAAATTCAGAGCAGGAATTTAAAAATAAGAAAATACAGGTGGTATTAATGGAGAATATTTAAAAAATTTGGACGAGTAGAGTTCATCCAACTATAGAAATGACGAACCTGACTCAATTCAAGAAATTTTAAATACATAAAGATTTTTGCACAAGAACAATTTTGGCATAAAAATAATTCTCTCTCCAATTAACTGTTTTAATTTGATACTGTGATTGAGAAAGGGGATTTTCGTGGCCTAACTTTCTTTTATAGTTTTTATTTTCAAATTAAAAAATAGATGAGATGTTTCTCTTAATATTTTTATAAGCAAAGATGAACAAAGAAAATTGTAACATGAGTCACGTTTATTTTTCATTTACTCTGGAATCTAATTTTTCCAGTTATTCTATTTAAAGCATTTCTTCCAAATCATATCAAAGCAAACTTGAATTTTAAATATTGCAATCTGCAAAGCTTCTCGCCTTTGCAGATATATTCAGTTTTTTTTTTTATTTTGCAAAATTGAAACTTTCGAGCTCAGAGATGGAATTCCGCAAGGGCCGTGTGAAGTTTGAAGTGAAAAACAGCACTTGCTGATATCAGAGCAAAAATCGATTAAAGCGGCTTGATAAAAAGCCGAATAAATAAAGCCGAGGCTCCTCCTACGGTCTGCTGGTTGGTTTGCGTGGAACCTATGAGGGTTTACACTAGGCTAGGGCGTGGTGGTGTGTAAAGCCTCACCAGAATACACTCTCGGCGAGGGGAACCTGCAAAACACACGCCGCTTTAATTGATTAATTTGCATATTTCTCTTATTTGCATCCGTCGTCTACGATACATCAAATTACGCCGGTCTTCCATCTTTGTGCGTTTTTTGCAATCACCAACCTGGCAGAATTTTAGAAATTTTAATTTTTGGTTGCTGAGAGATCTAAATTTTAACAACCAACTGGAAAAATTAAATGTTATTAACAAAATTACAATGTTCAATTGCCTGGGACTAAATCAGCGCAATGAATTCTAACAATTTATATAATTAAATTTTTTTAACAGAAGCGTTCTAGATTATAAAACAAAACATACAAATTAATTTTAAATTGCTTGTGTGTATTAAATTCTCAATCTCTGTTCGTTTTTTATGGCAACGAATTTTGTTCCAGAGCGCCTGTCACGTATGCAACCTGCGCGACACGAGAGCTTCCTCCCTTACTTCCTGGGACTGCCGCGAGAGGGAAAAGAAGCTCCATAGAAACTCCCTGGAAATTACGCACTGCGACATCTCTTGGCCATTCGGACAAATATTTGAGCTGAGGAACATCATTTTTGAACCTGGTGCCCATGTCAAGCTCACACACTGTTCTTCTCAATGTACCTGTTTGGGGCTCAACATTTTAAAGGTAAGCAAAATAACTCTAAAATTTAGTCCTAATTGAAAAGAAACAAAATTTTATGTCAATTCATTAATGAATTTTTTTAAAGTCAATTGACAAATGTGCATATTCTACAGATGTTTTAATTAAAAGTTAAAATATTCAACAAAATAATAAATTACAAGTGTTAAAGAGCTCACATCAAATTTTCGCATGAATTTTAAAATTCAGTTCTACTTGCAACAATTTAAAAGCAGCAGTTATAATGATGAGGCAAATTACATTTAAAAAATGGAATATTGTTCTTAATTTGTACTCAGTACTTCGATGAGTGGTTTACATATTATTTAGTGAAATGGAATAATTTAAAGTGTGGTTTACAATGTAGTTAGTCTTGATTGAAATCACTCGACGACTGCTTGGAGAATGTGATAATTACAAAAGCACTGGAGGTAGGAATGAAAGTCTCTCGACGGCACCTCGAAAAAAAGGCCCACGGTTCCGACGAAAAGGTTGCCCAGCATCATGAACAACGAGCCGACGATTCCGTCAAAATTTTGCGCCACGATCGAGTCGGCGAGGGCCAGAGCAACCTGAAATTTTAAACAAAATTTAATTTGGTAAAAAATAGTTTTGCCGAAATTTACAAATATTTTTCTGGTGGTGACCGTTTCCTTCTCGACCATGAGAATGGGCCAAAGTCTTTGCGAGGACTGGCTTTCGTAGAGCCAGAACGAAGCCATCAGGAGGAGAAAGTGCAAGGTCAGTCTTATCAGATGGTCCTGCAGCAACAGGGCGCAAGGCCAATGCTTAAGCACGAGTTCAGAGGTGACCAGGGCTGGGAAGAGTGACTGGGTCATCGACGCTAGTTTTGCGTCCACGTTCTGCAGACGAATCTCCATCCATGGGTGGGCTGGAATTTTGAATAAATTTAAAATTAAGAAATTTTGGATCAATAAAATTAGTCTGGAGACTTCCAGACCGCACTCGGTCCGGCAAACCTAGGTGCATCGAGATCTCTCGAAGGGAAAATTTAAAGATTTTTCTTTTTTTTTATCGAAATTGAAATTATCAATAAAACGGGAGAACTGAAATTATTTAAAACTCCTTGACCCACCATATCTCAAAAATCCGACGAACGAAGAAATGTAGCCAATGACAAAGGCATAGAAGACCGGCAAGTGGCGCTGGCTTTTGCCACTTCCGTGGAAAGGTAAGGCGTACAGGGTCAGCAGACCCCACGAGAAGCAAATGTGCACAATGAATTGCGCGAAAGCGGTGGAAAGTCGCGGCATTTTACATGATCAGACGATTGAAATTGGCGACAAGTGCCGGAAGGGGTGGCGGATTTTAAAAGTTTGACGCCTTCGCGTGAATTTTTTTTGTTTTGGCGCCGCAGAGACCTCTGGCGGTAATTAGAGTACAACTCGAGTAAGAAGGTCATAAAAATTACCAAAATTCGCACTCGGAGTGAAAAGTGAGTGTTTTACGCGCACGCACAGCAGCGGAAAATTGTGCTCGAGCTAAAATTTGATTTTTAGAGGCGGCGGATGGAGGCATCGGGCGAGTCGCGACCGGCTAGGATGACATGAAATTAATTAAGACTTATTATGACTAGCAATTACATAATATGGCGGCTGTCCGGTGATGCAAAAGCGGCCGGATTTCTCAGGAACTACGCCATCTCCGCGTGGAAAAAGGTGAGCAAGCGGACCGGAATTTCACGGGCGCCGCGTTTCGAAGCATTTTGGCGGCGCCGATTCGAATTCGGCTGCGAAATTCGGCTGAATTCGGCGTGCACGAAAATGCTTCGCGCTGATTGGCCGCGACGGCATCCACATTTGTGGCCGACGCGATGTAACGCGGCCCGTGATTGGTCGGCGTTTCGTGACAAGCACGAATGTGCGCTCACGAGCGGACCAATGGGAGCGCGGCTTTGTGCCCGAGTTTGAGTATTTTCCACGATTCGCTCGCACCGATATTATGTGGAAAGGTAGAAAGTTCTTGTTATTTGTGCATAAAACAAGCGCTTAGATGTAGAAAGAAGGACGAAAAACGCGATTTAAAGGTACGTAGTCGCCATCGAGGGCGGCGGCGGCCCACGGGCCGCCGTAATTGCCGACTTATCGGCTAATGAGTGTGATAACCGAGGGTGGACGGGATATCGAACGGCGAGGCAGGCGGTGAGGCACCCAAGCCGAAACACTTGGCGAATGGCGGAGTTCATTGTTCTTGCGTCGCCGCCGATGACCCGCGCCCGCCAATTAGCCGCGGCCCCCGCGTCCCGAGCGGCCCGCCACCGGCCGCCGGCCGCTCTCTGGCCGCCTTGGGCCGCCCGCGGCGCCCAAAGCGGCTCCGGCCGAGATGGGGTTTAATGATTAATATATGATTGGAGTAGAGGGGGGAAATGAGAGGAGCTTGATTGACATAGCGCAGTGACATTCGCACGCGTCCCGAAGCCGAACACTGTCCCGACGAGTGTCCCGACCGGTCACGTTCGGCGCTGCTGCCGTCCACGCCGCCGCTCCGAGTCTCGTTCCTCGCACGCCACGAGCAGCCCGAACAAGACGAGCCGCTTTTGCAAATATTTGTGATTTTTAATCAAATTTTGTCCGTGTCTGCATTTTGTTTATGTTTGTTCGGATTCAGTCCGACTTCCTGCCAATAGTTTTGGAAGTTTCCGAATTATCGATTCGGCCCCCGGAGGCCTCCTCGTGTCAAAATTCGCACCTAGGCACGCCTACAATTTGACAAATTCCTCCCGGATGTTATCTCCGAACTATTGATTTCAAAATCGGTTAAAATGTCACGACGGTTGGCCAGGGAAATTTTTGTTCAAATTCATAATAATTTTTAAATTTCCTACAAGCGACAAATTAAATTGACCCTTGACTTATATTTTTTTAATTTTATTTATTTCCCTTCCTTGAAAAAAAATTAAGTCGAGAAATATAAAAATGATTGACTTTTTATGTTGCCCTTAATTACGTAAAATATGCAAACTTATTTTTGGACCAGAATTGTGATTCGAACCCATATAAGATTTTTAAATAGTCTGCAAAATTTAATGCATTTTTGTTCAGAAAATAATATATTTATCAATAAGTGTGCTGAAAGTGCCCCGGAAGAGGCAAAATTAGAATTAGCCATTAAAGAAAATTTATTTGGTTTTTCAAAGGATATATTAATTGGTTTTTTTATTCCTCGTCAGCTCTACATATTTTAAAATTCCAAAAATTTTATTCCAATTTAATATTTTTTAGAAATATTGGCAAGAAACACTTTGATTGAATTGATTTTTTAATGAAAATAAAATATTGCCAAATTTTTGCTAAGAATTTGAACTGTTTGTAAAAAAACCAAATTTAAACAAACTATTGAAATTCAATAAATAAAATTTAATCTTGAGAATTGCTGAATTTGGTGATTTTGTCTTAAACAAAACAGCTCATGTGCTGTTGGCAAATTTTTTCCATCGTTTTAATTTGAATTTTATCAATTTCAAGCTTGGCGGCGGAATGGAGGGTTTTAAATTTTATCGGCATTGCCACGCACTTGGAAACAATTAATGCAAAGAGTGTCAGTTTTGTAGCGTAGTCGCTCACGTTTGAAATCGGAAACCTGCGAGTGAGAATAAATCGATTCAAGTTTTGATAAATTTAATTCTTTTATTTCCTCTTGGACTGATGTTGTTCATTTGTTTGTTTGCAGTTTGGAACGCAGCATGATCAAGAACCAGTTTCCGCATAATTGTTGCAGTATACGATATGATTAAACTTAACTGGTGTAATATTCTAAAGGTGAGTAGTGCCCACAATTTGTAGAATTTTGTTCCTCGATAGTTTTCGTACGCTCGAGTGTAGAAAATAGGCTTGAAAATTTTTTAAAAACTTGTCAATTACGCTAGGAAATGAACTGGAAATGTAAACTGAATTTATTTTTGCTGTTCGTAAATTGTTCTGAAAACTTTTCTTTTGCAAATTAATAAATGAATTGCCTGAAAATATAGGAATTTAAATAATAAATAAAACTTAAATAAATTTGCCACCGGCAGCTACATTTTTCACTTAAAAAAATGCATGTCCGGCCTCGATAAGCAAATCTTATCTGTCGTATTTTGTTCCCCGAAGTGCCGGTTCGGACAAAACGGCCAAACCGAATAAAACGGAACAATAAATAATTTTGTAAATGATGGAATCGTGCGTTGGGTGTGCCAATCAAAGGATGCAGCGCTGCGGCGGCGGCCGAAGCAGCATCTCTTAATCCTTTGGCCGCCCCATTACCATTCATTGCGCAGGTGCAATAAATTTAATGTGTATTGTGTGTGTGTGTGTCTGTGACCGGCTCCATCTTTCCGATCCGTCTCTCCCATCCTCGGCAGCCGGTCACGCGTCAAATTCATATCGGCGCCACTTGCCCCCGCCAGGCACGCGACTCGCGCCCTTCTTACGTAACCCCTGCGTTCACAAATCCATGTTAATTTATTTTTCATTCCAAAACTCCATTTTTATTTCAAAGCATAAGCATTTTAATATAAAAGTTTTCATTTCAAATTGATATGTAACGTTTTTTGTGGCACTGTTTATTTTCTTTTGACCCAGGTCAAGGCTTTAAGAGTGGAAAGATTTAAAAATTCCCGAAATTGCCTATTTTACATGATCAAATTTTGGAATTTGCTAAACATGATTTTGAAAATCAAAAATATCTCAGCTCCTGTTAAAGATACCGCTTAAGTCGTGATTGCCAAAGTTTTCAGGTATTCGACGCTCTACAACTTTGCAACAGTGACCAAAGTCGTAGGTCAAAGGTCAAGGTCACCTTTCGGAACCTGAATATTAAATTAATTCGCCAAAGAACCTGAAAAGTAATTTTTTGAAATTTAAAAATAGCCAAAAGTTGCCCAATTTAGTTGTACTCAGCGTTTTAAAAAACTGTGAGACAAGTTTTTCTCGTTTTTTAGATTTTCGGAGTCGAAGGGTAAAAAACGTGGTTTTCCGAGCCCTTTTTATCGGAAATTAATTTTTCTCCTGTTTGATTTAATACGAAACGTGTAATGACAGAATATGATACCCGTAACTTTCTCTTTCGGAACATGTATTACGCATGTTGACCAGGTCACCAAAGGTCATTGACCTCGGTGACCTGTGCCCTTCGAGATTTATTTGTGAAACGTGTGGCACATAAATGGAAAAGGGACATTGTTAGAAATATTTTGATACTTGAAAATTTGTTGTCAAACTATTAGGAATAAATATTTGAATTTTTTGAATTGGTTTTTCTAGAAATAAAGGAAGAAATTAATGTCACAAAACTTATGTAACAAATTTATTGATGTTACATTGTCATTCAAAATTCTATGTTGAAATTTGTTTCTGATGAATTTTGAACCTTCACCCAGCAAGTTAATAACAAATTCAATAAATAAATATAATTATTTGCGTTTCGTCTGGACATGATGCAATTATTATTACTTTTGGAAATTCGGTGACTCAGAAGAGTTGTATAGTGCGCCGGACCAACCTCAAGAGCCACGTGATCATCACACTTACACACCGGCTTGAAGACGCTCGATGTGCCGGTGCCCAAACGGGAAAGGTTGTTTCGCTTGTGCTTTTGCCAGCGCCATAAGCGTATAGCTTTTCCCCTTTGGTCTCTCGGCATTTGCTTCAGTTTGCTCTGACAGTTGTCGAATTTTGTATGTGTGTGTGTGTGTGTGTGTGTGTGTAATTATTTGTCAGATCCATATATTTGATTTCCAGTCTGGTTATTGTTTTCGTTTGCTGTGTCAACAGTTAGTGAGGCCGAGCGACGCTTCTGCGAGCGAGGCCTCAGAAAGCTTAAATTGGCTTTGAAATGGATTCTTACGACCTATTCGGTGACGACGTAAGTGGCAGCGTGTTAGATGGTCTTCCTGATTTAGGATCTGAAGCTTTCGGTGATTCGAGCTCTTCTGGACCTGGTAATTATCACACAAACTTTTATAAGTAAACGCAGAGGAAGCATCTGGATTATTTGTAAATTTGTACCAAAAATTTATTTGAAGCGAAAACTCCCCAAATTTAGCCATTTGTAATGAACTCTCTCTTTATTGCTAGTTTGTAAGGACTTTTGATCGCCCTCCACGTTTTTCTGGTTGAAAAAGAAGTCGAACCGTGAGTTGAACAAAATTCTAAACACAATCCAGGTTCTTCCTTGACCAAGAGCACTGGAATCTTTCGAATTTTTAAACAAAAATCAAATTAATTTTAATCACATTAAAAACAGATTCCAGTGCTCATTTGTAGACGTACTAAATGTTTTTGGCTCGCCTGGCTGAAATTTACAACATTTGTTTGCTTGGTGTAAAACACAGCTCGTGGGCGTCGATTTGTGGCAGGTCCTTCGGTAAGAGACCCAGGCGGCGGTCAGCAGCAGGTGCCATATGGAGGTCATGGGGGAACTCCGTCTGGCTACCCGAGCGGACAGTCTCAAGCGTCTCAACAGCAGCAGCAGCAGCAGCCTCAAACGCCAGGGGCCCCTGCCCCGTCAGTAGGCGGCGCGGCGTCCGGGGAGTCGCCCCTGCAGAAACTCGCCACCTTCGGCGACTACAGCGCCCAACAGCAGCACCACATGGACCCGTACGGCGGATACGACCCGGGTCGACCCATGGCCTACCAAATGGGTCACGAAATGCCGGCCCAGGCGCCTCCGCCACCACCCCAGCAGCAGCAGCAGCAGTCGAGGCGGGGCCGCGGCCACTCGGCCCAGCAGCAACAGCAGCAGCAGCAGCAACAGTACCCTGGCTACGGGGACGCCATGTACCCTGGGGCGGGCATGGAGGGCGGCTCGGCGGCCGAGCACATGCCCTGGGCTGGCATGCCCTACCGCAACCAGCCGCCCCAGCAGCAGCAACAGCAGTACCAGATGCAGGGCTACGCCAGGCACCAGCAGATGGGCTACGACCCGCTCAGCCAGCAGAAGCAGCCCATGGGCCAGTACGGCGCCGCCAACACCTCCATGATGGCCTCGCAAATGATTCCCCAGCAGCAACAGCAGGGACAATATTCGGTTCGTGTCAACATTTTATCTCTCTTAATTATAATATAATTATTACATTAACAGTGGATGGAATCCCTACCAAAATTGTTTGAAATTACAATTTCCAATGGAATTGAATAAAATCTAGTCTATTTATTTTTAATATGATGAAAACAGCCTCCTTTTCTAATTTTTTAACTCATCGTAACATGAATTTTTTCTATTAATTAAATTGGGTTATTTACAAACCAAAATATGAACTATCAAGCTATTTTTTTTTTGCAGAAACCAAATGAATTAATTCAAAATGATACAAAATAAACTACATTTTCTCAGAAACTTGAAAAATGAAAACAAAACCATAGTTTGTGTGGACGATTTTGCTTTCCTCAGGTTGTTCCATCCTCTTTAAATGAAAGTGATTTTCTTGGGACATTTTTTAAAAATAGAATTTGTTAATAAATTTAGATTATTGATCAACTTTTAAATTATTTGTAAAGGTACAACAGCAGCAACGCATGTTGCAGCAGCAGCAACAACAGGGCTACCCTGAGTCGGCAGGATCATCAGGGCAAATGTATCCCGGCGGCCAGCAAAGCAATTACCCTGGTGGATACGGCCAGTCGTCCGGCCACCAACGCTTCCCTTATCAACAATATCCCCAACAGGTAAATATCAAATCTGCACTTGATCTCAGCGGGCGATTCACAATTTTCCAAAAGCCTGCCAAATTGTGAAATTTACACGAAAATTTGCTTGTCTGATTTTTCAAAATCGAGAGGGTTGTCGCTTAAAGAATTTTGAATCGCCCTCCATTTGCGTTTTCAACTTGAGAACAAGCAGATAAACGTTCATTAAGACCAAGTCAAAACAGCAGGTTCCGCAGCCGCAGCAGCACGAGATGGCCGGCTACAACCACCAGCTGCCGCACCACCACCAGTACCAGCAGCCACACTCGGCGGCCGCCATGGGCCACTACCCTCAGTCAAGCAAGCACCCCAGCCTGCAGCAGCCGGGCCCGCCGCCTTCGATGGGCGGCGCCAGTCCCCAGTATAGGGCGCCCTACCCTCAGCTGTCACCCCAAATGTCCCCGCGGCCGCAGATGTCCCCTCGGCCGCCGCAGCCTTCGTCAAAGTTGTCGCCCCACCACCAGCACCTGACTAGTCAACCGAGCATGTCGCCAGGGCGGCAACCCTCGTCCAAGCAGCAGCAGCAACAACAACAGCTCAACCAGCCTCCGGTCACCTCGCCGGGGCACATGTACGCAGGCATGAGTCAGGCACCCAGTACTTTGCAGGTGGATGTAAATTTATTTATTATATCTCTTTTAAAAACAAATAAATCTCTTAAATGGAATAAACTGAATTTGCTGACGTTGAAACGTTTCTTTCTTTGCAGGCTTTGGAGCAGATGGTGATGCCACCGTCGAGTTCCGAGTACCCGTCGTCGGCCGGTGGGTACAACAGGCAGTCCCAGCAGCAGCAACAGCCGTCAGGGCCAAGCCCAGGCATGATCCCCAGCCCCATGCAGCAGGCCAACATGGCCGGCCGCAACCCTCTGTCCCCGCAACCGTGGCCGCCGCAGCAGAGGCAGTCCCAGCAGGCCACAAGTCACTTGAGTGGGCCGCCCACGCCGCAACAGCAACAGGCCATGGCCTCGCAACAGCAGCAAATGAACGGCGGCATGATGTCCGGCGGTTCCATGCAGGAGCTTCCCTCCGCGCAGCCAGGCATGCCGCACCACTTGTCAGTTGTGAGTATTCAAGTATAAAAAATTTGTAAATTTATGTTAAGAATATTAGTGTAAAATGTTTAATTTTTTACTTATCTAATTATGCTATTCTACTCCTGAAAATAATCAATGAGATTGATTGGAATCTGGTTGATTTTTATTCAAAAGCACAATATTATTTAAATTTTTAATAATTTTTGTATCACTTTGCTTCACAGCCACCCTCTTCCATGGACACTGAGCCGCACATGACTAGGCCACGATCACAAGATGCACAATCTGCTCAACAGACAGTACCTGACCCCAGCTCGGAGGGCGACGCTCGCAGTGGACGGTCCGACCAGTCCGAGTTCAGCCTAGACAAGTTTGTCGACGGCAAAGATCAGCAGGCGCCGGAAAAGCCTGACGAGGACAAGCAGCCGAAGCAAGACTCTTACTCGGCGCCTGACTTTGGCGCCTACCAGGGCGACAGCAGCAACAGCCAGCCGCCCAAGTCAGAGCCCGAATCATATCAAGCCACCCCACCGCCCCCGGTGTCGGCCGCCGCCTCCAGGCCGTCCTCGCGGCCGCAGGCGCAGTCTGCGAACGGCATGGCGGCCAACGGCCCGCCCCCTCACTCAATGGGCATGGGCATGCCGCAGATGCCGCCCCACAGCATGAGTCAGGCCATGGGCATGGGCGGCCCCCACGGCATGCCGCCCTCGATGCACCCAGGCATGGGGCCTGGCGGAATGCACATGATGGGCCCGCCGGGACACATGATGGACATTCACAACAATCCGTACATGCCGGGACCCATGGGCCATCAACAGGAAATGGCTGCCCTTCAACAGCAGCTGCAGGAATTCTACTGCATGCCACAACAGACTCAAGACATTCAGGCCAAGGTCGGTTGGAAATGACAAAAGCTTTTTTTCATTTATTATTCTTCATCCAAACTTGTTAATTCACAAGAAATCAATTCTGATTCAAATTTTAGAAGAAAAGTGAAAAATGATAATATCATAAAATTGACTTTTTGAATTAAATCATCTGATTAATTAACTTTTATTAATAAATAACGAAGGTTATTGAAATTTGAAATTCTTTGTTCAGGTTGCCTGGATGCAAGAACGCTTACAAACCCTTCAGCAGCACTGTGCCACAACACCGTGCATGGGACCTGGAGCACATTGCAGCTTGCCAAATCCAGCCCTGCCGTTGCCGAACCCACCACTTGGCATTGATCACGTGAGTCGCCTTTTTATTATATGAAAATTTTTTAAAAGTTTCCCTTTTTTTTAAATAAAAAATTCTAGAGATCGCTTCTTAACCTTGTGAAATTTGTGCATGGCTGCAAAGTAAGTGTTAATTTTGACTTGACGCCTCGTTTCATACAATTGCAGATGCCGCCCGTGCCAACGACAGGCAGAGGCAGAGGAAAAGGCTCTCGTGGGCAACGAAAGCCGCGCGGCGGAGGCAGCAAGCGCGGTGCCAAGCACCAGGCGCAGATTCCTCCACCCTACGAGCTGATGCCACCCTCGAACGGCGAAATCCCGGGCATGTCTCCGCACCTGCCTCCGTATGCTCAACAGCCGCCTCCACACATGGCCATGCCAAGCATGGGCATGGATCCGATGGCCGGCCTCGGCCCCATGCACCAGCACCACATGCCCCCTTCCATTCAAATGCAGATGCAGTCCCACGGCATGCAGGGCATGATGCCGCAGCCGCCTCACCACCCCGGCCAGCAGGTGATGCCGCCGGGGCCTCCGGGCCATCCTGGGATGCTGCCGGGGCCGCCTCCGGGCATCCCGCAGATGGCTCCTCCGCAGAGCATGGCGTCCCAAATGCCGATGCACCCTCAAATGCCACCTCAGGGCATGCCTCCGAGCATCACGTCGCCTCTGCCGCCCCACATGGGTGGGCCTTTGTCCTCGAGTCCGCTGCCCCAGCAGGTCCCACCTCCGCAACAGATGCCACCGGTCCAGCACGGGCCACTGACTCCCACCCAGCAGCCACTGCCACCCATGCCGCTGCCGCAACAGCACCCTCCTCTGCAGCTGGAACACCAAGAACCACCTCCGGCACCGCCTCCGATGCCACTTCCAATGGTTGAGGAGGAGGAGCCGCCGATTGCCATTGCGCCTCTGCCGATGCAGGAACAGATGGAGGAGATGTCGCAGGAGTCGGTCGAGCAGCAGAGAATCGATTCTCCTGCCGCCCCAGAGCCAATGGAGGTCTCTCAAGAGTCACTGGAGCCACCGCCCATTGACGAAGCCAAAAGTCCAGATGCTCCACCGGTGCCGCCTCCAATGCCCGAGGACGATTTGTTTCCTCAGCAGGAGGAGGAATCGCCTGTGATGCCCCCTCAGTCTGCCCCCGCGTCTGTTGAAGACGACCCTTACTCCATCGAGGAGTTTGACGAGAAGCAAAAGAAACCCAAAACGCCAAGGTAAAATTAAATAATAATAATAAATAATTTTATTGAAACTATTCTCAAACAATTTAACAGGACTTTCTTTTTTTTTATTCAAAGATTACTTTTATTCATTGACAACCATTTGTATATTTCTTTATTCCATTCATCCACTACAAAAATGTAACATAAACACTAATGTATTCATAAATTTATCTAATTGAACAATAAAAGTTGGATGTACCAATATGATGCAGTATATTCAATGTCATTTTTTTTTAATGTGTTTCAGAAAACCGCGGGAGCCGAAAAAGCCTAGGGAGCCTAAAGTGCCAAAGGAGCCTAAAGAAAAGAAATCTAAGAAAAAGGATGATGGCGAAGAGAGCAAATCGAAATCCAGAAAGTCTCGAAAGAAAAAAGAGCCAGAGCCCGATGCTGTGAGCATGGACGAAGAAATCAAAGATGAGTCGACTGAAGCCACTGCTTCTGAGCCCAAAGACGCAGAGAGCTTGAGTGACACTCAGACGGCCGAAGACGAATCCAAGGTCAAGACGGAGGAAGAGGCTGGGGAGCCCACCGAGTCAGCGGCTTCCACTCCGTCGGCCACTCCGGCAAAGAAGAAACGCGTTCGACCACCCAAAGGGGTGGTGGCCAAGAGAAATCGGAACCTGAAAAACATGATGGCCGCTAAAGGCAAAAAGGGACGCAGGGGGTTGATTGGAAACGACTCTGATGGGCCTTCTGACTTGGAAGCGACGCCTCCACCCTCTCCTCCAGAGGACGATAATATCCACAAGAGGAGGAGCGCTCGCAATACTCACAGAAAAAAGTACACTGATGATATTGAGCTGAGCATTTCGGACGAGGAGATACCTGGAAATCTCATCCTGGACTCGAACGTGAGCACTCCTAAGGGCTCGAAGGCGGAGGCGCAGTCTCCGGCTGAGTCTCAGGGGACGCCCACACCCGCCGCCACGCCCAGCACTCCGACTGGAGGCAAGAAGGCCAAGGTTGTGGAGGAAGAGCCGCCGGCCGACGCCAACATGAATAAGCCAAATTTTGTTTACATAAACACTGGTGACGAGGATTCGATGGTGGTCCAGTACGTGTTGGCAGTGAGGATGGGCAGGCGCGTCAAGAAGAAGCCTGTTCCTGTCTCGGAGGAAACAAAACCAGTGGCCGAGGGTGAAGAGGAAAAGAAACCCGAGGAGCCGTCTGAGGAAAAGAAGGCTGAGGAAGAAGTGGCCAAGTCCGAATCTGAAGAAACCAAACCTGAGTCTGAGCCAAAGAAGGACGAGGAATCTCAAGAGAAAGGGGAGGAGGAAGAGGAGGAGGAAAAGAACGAAGTGCCAAGCAACAAGGACGACGCTGATAAGACTGTTCATCACAAATTCCACTCCGAAGAGACTGCCACCGAGGACATGGAGGACGTGGAGGAATTCTTTGTAAAGTACCGCAGTTTTTCCTACCTGCACTGCGAGTGGAGGACCGAGGAGGAGCTGGTCAAGGGCGACAAACGAGTCTCAGCCAAACTGAAACGCTTCAAGCAGAAGCAAGCTCAACAGTGCAATATTTTTGAGAATCTGGACGACGAGCCGTTCAACCCGGACTACACGGAGGTTGACCGCGTCCTCGACGTCACGGAGCACGAAGACCCGAACGGCAGCGGCGCCCCTACCAAGCATTACCTGGTCAAGTGGCGCTCCCTGCAGTACGAGGACTCCACCTGGGAGCTGGAGGAGGACGTTGATCCGGAGAGGATCGAAAACTATCAGAGATGGCAAAAGCTGCCTCCGAAGGACCAGTGGAAGCCCAAGAAGCGGCCCAGGGCCGAGGACTGGAAGAAACTGGACGAATCTCCTGTTTACAAAAACAACAACAAGCTGCGCGAGTACCAACTGGAGGGCCTGAACTGGTTGCTCTTCTCCTGGTACAACAACCGCAACTGCATTCTGGCCGACGAGATGGGTCTCGGCAAGACGATCCAGTCCTTGACCTTCATCCACGCCGTGCACCAGTACGGAATCAGAGGCCCCTTCCTGGTCGTGGCTCCTCTGTCCACGATTCCCAACTGGCAGAGGGAGTTTGAGGCGTGGACGGATCTGAACGTGGTCGTGTACCACGGCTCCTCGGCCAGCCGAAACATGCTGACCGAGTACGAGGTATTCTACAAGGACACCAAGGGCAACATCATCAAGGACATGACCAAGTTCAACGTGCTCATCACCACCTTTGAAATCATCATTTCGGACGTGATGGAGCTGCGTCCGTTCAACTGGCGGCTGTGCGTCATCGACGAGGCCCACCGACTGAAAAACCGCAACTGCAAACTGCTCGAAGGGTTGAGGCTGCTCAACCTGGAGCACAGGGTGCTCCTCTCAGGCACGCCGCTGCAGAACAACGTCAACGAACTCTTCTCCCTGCTCAACTTCCTTGAGCCGAGCCAATTCTCCAGCTCGGAGAATTTCCTGCAGGAGTTTGGCCAGCTGAAGAGCGAGTCCGAGGTGCAAAAGCTGCAGGTTCTGCTCAAGCCGATGATGCTGCGGCGGCTGAAGGAAGACGTTGAGAAGTCGATCGCCCCCAAGGAAGAGACTGTGATTGAGGTGGAGTTGACCAACATCCAGAAAAAGTACTACAGGGCCATTCTGGAGCGCAACTTCTCTTTCCTCTCCAAGGGCACCACGTCCGCCAACGTACCTAGTCTCATGAACACTATGATGGAGCTCAGGAAGTGCTGCATCCATCCCTACCTTCTCAATGGTAAGAATGTTTTTTTTTGTTCATGTTTAAAATGAAATATTAATTCCAAATTATTTACTATTACAGGTGCTGAGGACCAAATCCAATTAGAGTTTCGCCAGAACCAGGGTGAAGACCCTGACGCCTATTACAAGGCATTGATCCAGTCCTCTGGTAAAATGGTCCTTGTTGACAAGCTGCTGCCCAAATTGAAAGCTAACGGACACAGGGTACTCGTTTTTAGTCAAATGGTGCGCTGCTTGGACATTCTCGAGGACTACTTGGTCTTCAGAAAGTGAGTATATTTTGGTCAGCGTCACTTGAACAGAAATTTATTTGCAAAATTTTAGATATCCCTTCGAGAGAATAGACGGCAGGATCAGAGGAAATCTGCGTCAAGCCGCAATAGACAGGTTTTCAAAACCTGACTCTGATAGATTTGTCTTCTTGCTGTGCACAAAGGCAGGTGGTTTGGGAATAAACTTGACTGCAGCCGACACCGTCATTATCTACGACAGTGATTGGAACCCTCAAAATGATCTCCAGGTAAGCCTTTTAACTATTTAGTTTTAACATGTTTTAAAAAATATTGAATAAATCCAGCATTCGTATTTATTTTTTGTCTGATTTTAGGCGCAAGCCCGATGCCATCGTATTGGTCAGCAGAAAATGGTCAAAGTGTACCGTCTGCTGTGCCGAAGCACTTACGAGCGAGAGATGTTCGACAAGGCGTCCCTCAAGTTGGGTTTGGACAAGGCTGTGCTCCAAAGCATGAACACCGCGCAAGGTGGCAAAGACCCGAACAACAAGCAGCTCTCCAAAAAGGAGATTGAGGATTTGCTGAAGAAGGGCGCCTACGGCGCCATCATGGACGAGGACGAAGGTGATAAATTCTGTGAAGAGGACATTGATCAGATCCTCGAGCGTCGTACGCAAGTCATTACCCTCGAGTCCGAGAAGGGCTCCACCTTCTCAAAGGCTAGCTTTGCTAGCTCCGGAATCAGATCTGATATAGATATAGATGACCCCGACTTTTGGGTCAAGTGGGCCAAGAAGGCGGACATTGACGTCAAGGACGGCAACGACCTCAGTGAGTTGGTCATTTCTGAGCCTAGGCGCAGAACCCAAATCAAGAGGTATGGCCAAGACGAGAGCATGGTTGACATGTCTGAACTCGACTCCTCCTCTGACAGTGATGAAGAAGGTGGCGTCAGGGGAACCAGAAGTAAGTTTCAAAAATTACTAAATTATTATGCTTTTTAATGTGATCCCAACAATTATCTTTCGTAGCAGTATTTTGAACGATCTATAATGATTAAATTTTATTCTTATAGGTGGTCGCAAACACAAAACCAAATTTGGAAGAATTCGACCAAGGAGATTTGAAGAATTTTCTCAGGAAGGAGACGTTGTTTATGGAAGCTGGGCTAGATCTGAATGCTTCAAAGTTGAAAAGGGTCTTCTCACATTTGGGTAAGTTCAGCTTGGATTTTGCAATAATATGCCTTCAATTTGATTGGAGCTATGATTATTGTTGGCTCCAAACCTGAAATTTGAAGTCTATTGTGATGATTTGCCATGCTAATACTGAGGGTTTGGACTAATTTTCTCTGAACAATTACAAAACTTGTAAAAGTAGTAATTGCTCAGATTAAAATTAGCTCCTGAGCTTCATGAGTGTAATGCTGTATCTGAATTTCATGTTTCTTGCATTTCTTTAATAAATTTCAAAGGAATGAATGTGAATTGATTTCTTTTTTTTTTCATTTAGATGGGGTCGATGGAGCGACATCCTTGTAACAGGCCAGTTCAGGAAAGGCTGGCGGGAATCTGATGTTGAGGACTTGGCGCGCGTCATCGTCCTCTACTGCCTTCGTATGTTCCGCGGCGACGAAAAACTTCGCCAGTTTGGATGGGATCTTGTCACTCCTGCAGAGTTTGTGACTGAAAAACTTGCCAGTAAGACTAGAGTGACTTTTATATTAAAATGAAATTACAAAATTTGTATCAGATCAAGGCACAGCCAGAGGAAGGAAGGCAAAAAAGAAACCGCCTGGTGAGGACACCAGTCAGGATTGGAGTCGAGACGAAAAGTACGACGGGGATATTTTCCTCGAAGGAAGTTACAAGAAGCACTTGCTGAGACACTCAAACAAGTAATTTGCTTCTCAATAGTCATATGTCTGCAGATATTAATCGAGTCTTGCAGGGTTTTGCTGAGAATCCGAATGCTGCACTACATCAAGCATGACATAGTTGGCGACCTGGCTCAGCAGATCTCCGAGGGCCTCCCCATCGGGTAAGTAGAGCGCCTTGTTTCCTTGTCAAAACTTAACTCACAAACCATCATAGTTCATGCAGTTAACTGCCTGCATGAATGGTGTCCAATTGTCATTCATGTGTCTGTCCACTCGATTTTCATAACATAGTGTGAGCATTTGCGCAGATTCATTAATTATCAAGTCGGATTTTCGTTTTGTCTCTCAATGTCCTCGTTTTTATATTTTATTACCACTTAAATACGCTTCACAGTTTTCTGTTTAATTGTATTTTTTTATCAGCACACCTTAAATTGTGCATGTCTTCTGCCTCTTTTGAGTTTAAAATGTTAATTTGAAAACGATGGAAGAACAACGAGTACCACCTGCCTGTCTCTTGTTTTGCTCCCTTTCTCCTATGGCTGGCCTGCTTGTTTTTTTAGCCGCCTGCCTTTAGCCGCGGTGCCTCCGCCCCCAGAGTTGCCCCCTACGACATGGTGGGGCCCCCAGGACGATCAGTCTCTCGTGGTTGGTGCCTACAAACACGGTTACGAAAACTACGCGCTCATGAGGGCAGATCCGTGCCTCAGCTTTTTAGCCACCTGCGGTCCGCCGACCAAGGCAGAACTCGAAGCTCAGGGACAGCCGCAGATCAAGCGAAAACAGTGAGTAGCCCACAAACGAAAACAGACACACACAAAAATGCCAATGGTCGACTTTTCTATAAGTAAGAATGAGAAGTGAATCAATTTAATAAAGAGTGATAATTTCTGTGATGCGGAGAGGAAAGGTAAGCGTTTCCATGCAGCTGCCTCGTCTCAAATTCATACATTATTATGTCAAGCTTTGCTTCTTTTACAACTCATTTTCACCCACTGCATGCTTTTTATATATATATTTACTATTCCAATTTGTCCGTGTCACTCTTCATGATTCACAACATCGTCGGCCTTGACTGGCGCGCGTCCCTGAAGCACCAAAGCCAATTTCGCTCTATTTCCACTTTGCAGCATCACCGACGAGGAGCTGGGCAAGATCTCAGACGACGAAGAGGCCGAGAACGAGCCTGTCGTCGGCGAAGTCGAGGGCGAGCACCCTGGTGAAGGGGGCGACAAGGCGCCCTGGCCTTCCGTGGCCGATCTCAACACAAGACTGAGGCGCGTCATTAGCTCGTACCAGCGCAACTTCAAGAGGGAGGAAATGAAAATCGCGCAGAGAGCCAAACTCGAAAAGCGGGAAAAGATTGAGCAGATGCTGCGTGGCCGGCATCACGTTGAGACTCCCCGTCGCTGGTCCCGCAGGGAGGAATCAGACTTCTTTAGGACGGTTTCAACCTTTGGAGTTGAATACGACAGGTGAGAAAAACAGGAGACACGCATTTATCATAATTTCAGTTGTCAGAAAAGTTACAAAATATCATTTGTCCTAAATCTTTTGAGATACAAATGCTAAATCTTTGCTTCCTGCTGAGAAAATATTATTTTTTTATTCATCTGCCTTTATTTTCTATCGTGATTCTGTTAAAACTGGGAAATCATATGAAATTGAGCAAAATTGAATACAATAATGATAAATGATTTTGCAGAAATTAAGTTAAATGAAGCATAAAATATAGTTAAAGTTATTTTATTGAGAAATCTTGGGGTTTCGGCCTATCTCGTTGATTTTTAGGTCCATATAAGCAAATTTTATGAATAATTAAATAATTTCGTTTGAAAAACATTTCAATTTAAACAAATTTTATTTTTATTATCAAGTCAATTTAATACACATCTATTTTATTAATAGATTCAAAGTTAATAATGTTTATTTAGTGTAAACTTATTTAATTTTGCTTACATTCATCAATTTTATTGAAACAATGCATTAAAATTTAGTGAACTTAGAAATTTATTTTAGATTCTATAATTTTAGGACACTTTTCATTCAGTTAATTATTCCAAATTTATGCATTATATAATCAATTTCTATTCTTGACTTTTCAGAAAACGTGGCCAGTATGACTGGGCCAAATTCAGAGCCATTTCTCGACTTGATCGCAAGCAGGACGATGCGATGACTGAATACTACAGGGCCTTCTGCACAATGTTGAAGCGCGTTTGCGGCATGAAGCTGACCGAGGAAGAAGGTACTTGCATTGTTTACATTATAATATTTACAAATTTTGACTTAATTTTAAATTTGCAGAACTCCTTGACATTGTGGTAGACCCAATTTCTGAAGAGAAAGCCAGGCGCACTCTTGAGCGCCTCGACCTCTTGAACAAAGTGAGGGAGGAGACGATTTTCAGCCCCAAACTGGAAGAGAGACTAAAATTGTGCCAACCATCCACTGATCTGCCCGAGTGGTGGCTTCCGGGCAAGCATGACAAGGAGTTGCTTCTCGGAGCTGCAAAGTGAGTCTATTATTCAAAATTGAATTTGATTGTCTAAATAATAATTTCCCTCTTTAGGCATGGTCTTGGAAGGACGGACGTTTACATTCTGAATGACACCGACTACACATTCAGAGACATCCTGAGACAATACGCCTCTGGCCAGATCCCTTCCCACGTCCGGCTCGCATCTCGCAAGGCTGAGGAGACGGAAATGAAGAAATCGAGAGATGAGGAGGAAGCTCTCGGAGCAATCAAACTGGAAAGGCCCGAGGACATTCTCAGACTTGACAAGGACGAGATCATTGTCAAACTTGAGAAGGGCGAGGGAACTTTGAAGATCGAGAAGATAGGCATGAAGAAAGACAGCCCTCAAGCAGCTGCGGTCAAAGAGGAGAAGGACGAAGTCGAACTCACTCTTGTGTCTGCAAAAGGAGGCGATGAAAATAATAAGCCGACTGAAGAGGAGGAGAAAGAAAAACCAATGGAAGAAGTGGCTAAGCCAGACGAAGAAGTTTCTCCCAAGGAGCAGCAAGTCCAGAAGCCTCAGAGTCCAGCAGAGAAAGAGAAGGTCGACGAGGCTGAAGAGAAATCTGAGGCTGAGAAGGAGGATTCTCTGAAGCCAGCTGCGGAGGAAGTCAAAAAAGCCGAATCTGAAGAGCAAAAGGAGGAGGTCAAAGACACAAAGGAGGCTGAAGAGGTTGAAGAATCCAAGAAGGACAAAGCGGAAAAAATGGATGTCGATGAGCTAAAGCCCGAAGAAAACAAAATTGAGGCGATGGAGGTTGATAAGCCTGTTGAAGACGCTGAAAAGATCAAACCAGAAGTGACAAAGAAGGAGAAAAAATCAAAGAAGGAGCGTGGAGTCGGGAAAGCTGAGAAAGCAGCTGCCGAGGATGGCGAGAAACCTGAGCCGAGGTGCACAAGGAGGAAGAGCCAGGCGGCGGCTGCAGCTGCTGCGGCCGAAGCAAGAGCCAAGTCCGACTCGAAGCCAAAATCTCCTGAACCTGTCAAGGAAACCGTAAGTGAGGAAGCAGAAGATAAAGAAGGCGAAGTTTCTTCATCAAAGGAAAAAGAGCCTGCAAGTAACGAGGAGGAGAAAAAGGAAGAACCCAAAGAAAAGCCTGAAGAGAAGATGGACGAACAGGTCGAGGACTCAAAGGAGCCTGAAAAGGAGCCCGAGAACGATGATCAAAAGGAGAAAGTTCCAGACGAGGATAAGGAGAAGGAAACAGAAAAAGAAAAGGAGCCTGAGGAGGAGGAGCCAGAGCCTGAAAAGGAAAAAGAAAAGCAGAAACCTGCAGCCAAGGAGAAGGAAGCGGCGGCTGCAGCCGAGACTCCACTTCCACCTCCGGATCTCAAAGCTCTCTTCCCTGACCTTGAAGTCATCCAACCACTGAGCAAGTTGGCCGAACTGGACACCTTTGTGTTCAGAGACAAGAGAGACTTCACAAGTGACCTTGGACTGGCACACATCCTGGCTGCTCAGGGTGGATTTCACAGCAAATTCAGCTGGCCCAAGGTAAGGAAATTTCACTCGCAATATCTGAAAGAATAGGTTTCTATTTAATCTCAATTTTTCTCATATTTTGCAACCCCTTTTGCAGGATAATGTCCTCCAGTCTCGTCTGGAGCAGGTGGTGATTGCCGTCGACACAGGCGAGTGGCCTCCACCGAGACCAATTCCGCCATTCCCCAGCGACCTGGAGATCTTCACGAGCACTCCCCCTGGCGGCACTCCTCGCAGAGAAACACCCACGCTGTCCCTGGAGGAGCAGCAGTTGGCCGACCTACACGGCGCCATGCTTCAGCACGCGCACCAACAAGGCCTGTCCATCTCGAGGGCCTCTGCCATGGCGGCCGCGGCTCTCGCCTCCAAAAAGAGGAAGAGGCAACACATAGCCATCGACGTTGAGACTGAGAGGGCAAAACTGCACGCCCTGCTTCAGAACAGCCACTTGCAGGCCAGCAAGCTGTGGGATGACGAATCTCTCTCGGAAGAATCAAGGTAAGATTTGTGAATAAAACCTAAAAAAATTAATTGAAGTAATATAATATTTCAAGTTTTTAAATCTAAAAAAAAGAACAAACAAATATATACAATTTATTATGATTGTTCAAGATAGTTTTTTTAATTATAAACTTCGGTTTTTATTTTCCAGACGATCAACTCCGAACCAAGCTGCGCTCGGTCAGCCACCTCCGGCGCACCAGAACACTTCGTCCAGAGTGCTGAACATGCCTCTGAGCCCATTCGAGCTGAAATTCCACACCGGTGGCGGCGCCTCCTCTGCTGTGGCTGCTGCTGCGGTTAAGGGAGGTCTGCTGGGCCCAACCCTAATTCCAGGCACCTCGTCTACTTTGACTCCGATTGACCTGAGCTCAGGGTAAGTTGAAGATCAGCCAGCAACCGTAGTATAATGAGAGTTTTCTTTTTCAGCTTTTACAACAGCCTGCCGAAAATGGAGTGCCCGACTTCGAGTGCCTTGGATGTGTCCAGAGGCCGCGGCGGTGACGACGCGGGCGACGCTCCGCAGGACTTCAGCCTGCCGAGCAAAAACAAAAAGAGCCGGCTGGACGACATGCTGGACAAGATCATGAAGAGGAAGCAGGAGGAGCCTCCGCAGGGCAAGGAGAAGAAGCGCCGCAAGCTGGACGAGATTGTGCTGGGCCTGAGTTCCGCCCGGGAGCAGCAGGTGGCGCACACCTCAGGGGTGGCCGAGCTGATCAAGAAGACGGCCGCCTCCATCAGCGTGGTTGGCGGAACGAACACCTCGCCAGCCCATCAGCAGCCGCCGTCCCACCTGCCGCCACCCCCGACCGGCGCCACCCTCCACCCCCTGCTGCGCCCCCACGTGCACAAGGGCGGACCCACGCCTTCAAACCATCCACCCATTTCGTCTTCGTCCAAGCCGCCGTTCACCATCACTGTGACGTCAGTGCCTTCCTCGGCAGCCTCTTCATCTTCACGGGCACCCCCACCACCCATGCCGCCCATCAGCAGTGCCGCTTGCAAGGTAATAAACTTTGTATGTGACAATTACCTAATTTACTCGCTGAAATAATTACACTTATTTAATCCAGAATTTTTTTTATAAAATTTAAATTTAATATGAATTCTTCTCAATCCCTTTGCAGGACACATTCTCCCTGTTGCCGCAGCCCGACTTGGCAGCGTCTCTGGCTCTCTTGACTGGCGCTGCCAGTGGCAAGAAGGGCTCATCGTCTCTCGGCATGAACCTGCCCCAGGCGCACAGCAAGATGTCCTCCTCAGCCTCCCAGGCTGCTGCCGCGGCCGCAGCGTACGAGGCCGTCCTTGCAGACATGAACAAGATGGCAGACCTCTCGGCCAAAGTCAACTCGTACTCGCACGAAGCCAAGGTAGGTGTAGCTCAGATTCGAATTCCATGTAAACAAGGCTCGGACTGTGATTTCCAAACTATTGGCGTTGAAAAATCTAAAAATAATTTATAACATGCTCCGGACCTTGTTTTTGGTGTTGATTTTGTGGAGCTGTAAAAAAGCTGATGTCGCAGGTCAACAAGTGGCTGGCCGAACAGAGCGGTCTCATGAACGAACAACTCACCGCCGACTTCCTGGCTCGCAGAAGGAAGCCCAGACAGGACCCCTCCATCATGGATTGGAAAAAGGTCACTGGAGAGGAAAATGTTCCGGTAGTCAACAGAATAACTGGCAAAAAGGTACTTTTACTTCTTTCGAACCTTCTTCATATTTGACATAATTGTTCTTGTCTTTCAAGCAGTTTTATAATTTGAAATGAATTGTGTTTTCAGCTTACTGGTAGCAAAGCTCCCTCACTGAAGCGATTAGGACAGTGGCTCCTGGAAAACCCCATGTTTGAGGTCGACCCGAAGTGGACCGAGTTGGTCAAGGAAATGGGCAACTTGCCGTCCGACATAATTTCAAAACGCTCTGGTCAGCCGTCCAGTTCGAGCAGCGCGGCAGCCGGCTCGAGTGGCACTCAGGGTGGCAAGAAGAGCAGCTCTGCAAGCCGAGCTGCCCAACAGCAGCAGCAGCAGCAACAACAACAACAACAGCAGCAGCAACAACAGGCCTCTGACCAAGCCTCAAATCTGGCAGCAGCCGCCATGGGACTGCCCTTCAACCCCTCCCTGGCAGCCCTGTCCGGCCTCAACCCCAGTCTACTTAGCAGTCTCGGCCTGGCAGGATTCGACCCGAAAAATCCACTCGCCGGATTCGACCCGAAGACGCTCGGGTTTGACCCTAAGACCTTAGGCTTTGACCCCAAAACGCTGGGCTTTGACCCAAAATCGCTCGGATTCGACCCCAAAAGTCTCGGGTTCGATCCCAAGTCGCTTGGATTTGACCCAAAGTCACTCGGGTTCGACCCCAAGAACCCCCTGGGCGCGTTTGACCCCAAGAATCCGCTGCTGCTTCCGGCGTTTGCGGCCGCGGCGGGTTCGATGCCCGGCATGAGCAGCTTGGCCGGCCTGTCGGGGCTGGGCGGCTTCGGCAGCAACCTTTTCGCCAACCTGGCCAGTCTAGGCTTCGGCCTGGACGGGAACGAGATGGGCCAGGCCGCCGCCGCGCCTCCGAGCACGAGCAAGGGCAAGTCGAGGTCGAGTCAGAAGGAGAAAAGCAGTTCCTCCGCGTCTTCCGCCGCCGCGGCCTCGCAGGCCGCGGCCTCGTCGTCGGCCTCGGCCATTCCGACGTCTTCCCTGCCCTTCTTCTTCCCGAACCCGTCGCTGCTGTACACGCCGCTCGGCCTCGGCGGTTTGAATCCGTTCGGCTCGTCGTCGTCCGCGCTCACCTCGGCCTACGACAGCCTCGTGCAGCAGAGCCAGCTGCTCAACGGCATGGGCACCTCGACGGCCGTCACGCACACCACCAGCAGCAAGGGCCACCGCTCGTCCGGCGGCGGCCAGTCGGCGGCCAACCACAAGCACTCGTCGAGAGGCGGGGGCGGGTCGTCGGCGGCCGCCCTGGAGCGCCAGCAGCAGCAGATCCAGCGGCTGCTGCTGCAGCAGCAGCTGGACGCGGCCAACGACCTGGCCAGGGCGCAGCTGGCCGCCTCCCTGGCCACCTCGTCGAGGGCCGACGAGGAGCAGCAGCGCGCCAAGATGAAGCAGAGCAAGCGCGGCTCGCTGACCAAGCTGGAGGAGACGGTGAGCAAGTTGGCCGAGCGCAAGGGCCTCAAGAACAAGGGGGCGTCGCGCGAGGGCTCCGTGGAGGCGGCGGAGCGGCCCGCCGAGGAGGCGGCCCCGACGGAGGCCGCCCCCGAAGAGGCTCCCGCCCCCGAGGAGAGGCAGCAAGCCAACGAAGACAAGGCCGAGGAGGAGGCGTGAAACGCCACCACCACTTTGTAAATAAAACCTCGAACGATCGATTCGAATTCCATCTTCATTTTCGAATTTAGCAGCTTTTTTATGAAACAAAAATTGCAGACGGATCTACGAAAGAGAGACAGACACGATTCCCCCGACTTTTCCTGTGTTTTTTGCCATCTGTGATATAAATTTTGTTGCCGCCTACCTCTCTCTTATCTTCTTTTTTCCATGCCCTACGCTTAATATCGGACTCGCTCGGAAATCATGAAAAATCGCAAACAAACTAGGAAGGAACTCTTGTGTAAACAAGTTGCCTGGTGAATGTATCATAAAATTCTACTGTTCTGGGTTTGGTGTAAGAAGAAGAAGAAGAAGAAGAAGAAGTGGCGCTAGGTTCTGAGATTCGTTCGTTTCTCTCAATTAGTTGATTAAGTAAGATTCTTTCTCGTGTGAAGAAGGAAAGTGCACCGAACGAGGAAAGTGGCCCACGAACCTCAATTGTGACGTGCGATTTAATTTTGCAGTCAGACGAACTGACTCCTTTTTTCGACCACCCGACGCGAATGAATGAATGTTTTTTCAAGAGTGATCAGACGATTATTTATTTTTACTGTAGCTACAAGGAAACCTGCAACATTGATTGGAAAATTAATCCCCACACTTGTTACGGACGAACCGACGATTGAGAGTGCGAATTCAAAAGTTTAAAAATTAAAAATATAGATCGAGTGTAAGAACAAAAGAGATGTTTGAGATGGAAATTGTCATTTCGCACGGTGTCATCACAATTTATTAACGAAAACTTGGTCCAAGACTGGCAAAGCACTAACAGATTCGTTTTAGCTTATTTTGTTTTCCTTAAAATTGGCAACTCGAGGGCAGACCGAGGCCTTGGGCGTCCGGGATCGTTCCCCCAGTTCGGATCCCGGACGTCGTCGGGCTCGGCTTTTGCTCGGCAGAAAGAGGCCTTGTAGTTTTACAGAAAGAAAAGCAAACACACGCATTCAATAGGGCAATAGACAGACACAAATGTTAATTTTACACTTTCTCTCTCACAGTGTACAGGCGATGATGCATCAACTTTGTTACTTTTATTTTTGCATTTATCCGGGCGGCGGCCTCGACGAGCCGCCGAGTAATTTATTTGCAGACTTAAAAATTTCTCTCACTTCTCAGCGAAGAATCGTGTTGATTGACCATGTTTATGAAATGACTGTACGCGACGTGTTATTTTTACTCTTTTTCCTCTCTTTGTGGCGTTTTTATCATCCGCGAGAATCAGTTGCTGTTTTACTTCTTGTGAATGGATCATATGTACTGTACACTCTCAAACACCGCGCGACACACACGCAGATGCTGTAGTTACTCTCTCATGCGAACACACTTGTCAGAATAGATACACTTCACACACACACACTTGTCTTCATATTATTCGGTTTCATGGATATTTATCAGAAATGTTTTGTACAAAGGGCGATCGATGACGATGATACTTTAAAGAAAAAACACAGTGGAACATGCTTCAGTTGTAATTTGGTGTCAATATTATCACCAAAGGTGCGTATGTGTTTAAATAAAATACTCTTACAGTATTATTGTTGATTTTCCTTCGCTCAAAAATTACCCTTCGTGAAATAATACAATTAATAAACTGGAACTGAAGAAATATATATACAATTATCGAGTTGTTATTATTATTCAATGAAACAATTTGGCTCACGGGTTCAAAATAAATCTAACAATTTTATTGTGATTATTATCGCCATGGTAAACAAATCGACCGAGATGAGCTGCTTATTTATTCAGGTCACTGAAACAGAAAATTATTCAAATTTCTTTAATCAGACGAGAGTGAATGGTTACTTTTTTGGGGCCAAATATGAGATCAGCGTCAGGTGCGCCCTTGGGGTGCTGATACTTGGGCCGGCGCTCTCGGCCTGGAACAACCGTCGCCGGTCTTTGGAGCTGCGCCAACATTTCCTGATAATCTTCCTCCTCGAGCCGCTCGTTTATGTCCAGGGTCAACTTCTTCACTTTCTCCTTTTCCGCCCTCTCAGCCTTCGAAACGCAATTCAATAAAACAAAAAAAAAAACTCTTAAAATTAGATTAAAAAAATCACCTCTTCTCTGTTCTTCAAATTCAGCGCCAGCTCCGAGTCGACGGGCACTTCGAGATTTTTAAACTGCGGTTTGTTTCCCTTGCGCACCATGAGGACAAAATTTATCGTCCTCTCTTCGTCCGCCTCCTTTGGCTCCATCATTAATTGATCTGGAATTCAATTGAGATCATTTTGTTGAATCCAACAAGATTTAATAATCCTACCGTAGCCTTTCTTGCTGGAGCTGCTTTTGAGGTTCATGGGCACGGAAATGTCCACTCGAGGCGGCTTGACGGTTTCCTTCATTCGATCCTGGATGTTTTCCGAGACCATTTTGTCGAAGGCAGTCATGAAGTCGTCGTCCTCGGCACACTCGATTTTCCGCGGATGTTTCGACACCACAGAGTCGTCGCCGTCTCCGTCCATTTCTACAGGGAACTCCACGTCGTCTCCAGTTAGGACCATGTTTTCATCCTGGTTTCAAAATTTATATAAGCAAATTTATTCAAAATTCAAAGAGAGATTTGGTTTAACGAAAGATTACTGAAGTTTGGAAACAGAAAAATGAAATTTCATACATTTAATAGAAAATTCAGATAGAATGACTGGAAAACAAAAACTATTTGATACATTTTTTTTTGTTACCAAAAAATTGGAATTAAAAAACAATTGCAATCTTAAAATTAGTGATAAATAATGTAAGTTTTTTTTAGTTCTTTTTCTTTCAAATTAGTTTTTGAAATGATCGTCAAACCTGCGACTGCGAGTAGCTCTCGGTTTGCTCCTGGCCAATTTCGTGTTGCTCCGAGTTGTCGTTGTCCGACGTGTCCTCGATCTGGCCCTCGAGGTCCTCCTCGTTCTCGGGAATGGTGTGCAGACTGAGCCTCTGGCCGCGCGCCTTGGGCCGCAGGTCGGGCGTGCGGCGCTGCTCCTCGCTCCACTCTTCCTCCTCCTCCTCCTCCTCCTGGGTCGTCTCGGCGATCGGCGCCAGCCCGCCGGCCGCGTTGCTCTCCTCCGCGGGCTCCTCCTTGGGCAGCAGCGCCATCAGCTCCTCCTGCAGCTTCTTGACGGCCTCCTTGGCCGCCTCCCACTCCGTGTGCAGCTGCAACCGTGGCCGCAGGGTGGTCACTGTGTCGCGGTACATGTACTCCAGCCCCAGCGGAAACGGAGAATCTTCCGTCCACATCGGGTGCGATCGCTTCATCCAGAAGTAATTCTGGCAAAACGAAATTTCATGCAAAATAAATTAAAAACAAATTCGATGAAGAATTCTTTCTAATCCTACAATTAGAAAATTAAAATTCAAAATAAAATTTTATTAAATTCGGCTCAATGGTAATGAAAAAAGCCTCATTTTCTTATTTTCAACTCATTCAAACGTTATTTTAAAATTAATAATGTTTTCAAAACGACCGACTGAAAATTATTTAAAATTTTCAGTCCGACGCAAAATGACATGGCGCATCTTTTGGCTATCTCGGATTTGTTGTCAGGGTGCCTATTTTCAAGGGGCATAACACATAATATTTTGACCTTTTGCCAGGGTCAAAATCAAAAGACGCCTTCGTTCATCAGCTCCAACCTGCCGCCGAGAAAATTAAAAAATATTTACTCAAATTAATTAATAAACCCTTATTTATCTCCAGCGGCCGAATCAAAATTTGACAAAATGGGAAATTTTCCTGAAGGGAATTGTTTTTAAACCATAATCCGCCATATCATGAAAATAGATTAATTCCAAGTTCTGCAAAATTCCCTGAGGTGGTTTCATCCTTTTAATATTTCGATTTTATTCATTTTGAGATAAAATTTTGTAATTAAAAAATCCACTTGCGACTCCAAATCCTAACCTGGAAGTAGACAAAGAAGTAGTCGAGCCGTTTTTTGCTGGTGCCGCTGTTGAAATACTGTCCACACGTGTCGAGCAAAACGCACGCCAGCCTGATCCTGAACAGATTCTCAGGCGAATCCAGCGGCGACGGATTTTCCCGGTCTTCGCTGACGCCGAACGTGATCAACGAGTACAAAACCTAATAAATCAAATTTGAGCAAAATTTATAGTATGTATTTTTTTTTTAAATTTCTCACCTTGAAAATGTCTCCGCTCTCAACCAGTCTATAATTGTACAACTCGCCGAGAAACTTAATGACGGCGATGCGCCTCTGATTGAACTTTGGGTGATTCTGTTCCATTCCGAGCCTGATTTCCTCGAAAATGCCGTCGACCACTTGCGTGGCTGCCGCGTCCTGATGACACATGGCATTTTAGCAAACATTGAATGACTAACATGGTCTTTGTCTCACTTGATAGGCGGCGAGACCGGCGAGCAGACTGGCCAAGCAGCCGATGTTGAGGTATTTGACGTTCCACACGTGCGTCATGCACTTGACGGCAAACGCGGCCGACTCGGCCTCGTTCCACTTGAGCTTGCGCATCTGCCGCAGGATTCGGTCCGTCGTCTGCTTGCTCAGGTCTTGGTACACCAGTTTGCGGATGTACTCGTGCAGGGGAGGCAACTCCTCCCTCATCTGTCCCGGACCCACCTCGGGAGGGTCGACGTGGTAATACGCGTTCTCGATCATGGTCACGTAACGAGAGTCCAGCGCCATCACAGACTTTTTCCTCATCATTTGCTCCTAGAAATTGCAACAATTATAATTTTAATTCTTGGAAACGAAAGGACCCTGTGAACCTTTGGAGGAATTTGTTTTAGGAAATATTTAAATAATAATAGCTCTGCAACCACAAGTGATAAAAATTTCATCCCCTGCCATTATTTTTCATGCTGAACAACTTTTCTGTTTACACAAAAGCTGTAGTCAAAGGTCAAGGTCACTTTGAAGCGATTTTAATATTTTTTTAGTAAAAAATTCCAATTTTGGGGATGATCGTCCCTTTTATTCAATAGGAGAAAATGTAGCTCGTGTAATTTAATATAAAATTTGTAATTTTCAGAAAAGTTAAATTCTTCATTTACTTAAAATTCGCGTCTGAAGTAAAAGAAAAAAAAACTGGTAAAAACGCCACCAATTTCACAAAACATCGCAAATTTTAGTTGTAAAATATTTGGGAGCCCTGAGACTAAAATGGATAATATTTCGGATTTCTTTCAATAAAAGGGAAAATTGTTTTTTTTCTGATGTTTGATAGAAAACTTACAATGATTCTATTCTGATTACATATTTAATTTCAAATTACACAAAGTACATTTTTTCCTACAAAAAAATTGATAGGGACGATCCGATCACCTCCAAAATTGGGCTTTAAATAAACAATCATATAATCGCGTTAAAGTGACCTTGACCTTTGACTTACAGCTTTGGTGTCAATGGAAAAGTTATTTGGCATGAAAAATTGAGTCTTGCAGTGAAATTTTTATCACTCTAGCATTTGTGGTTGCGGAGTTTTACACTTTTTAATACTTCTGAACATATCCAAAAAATTATTCTAAATAATTCCTTCTTGAAATGTCCTCAAGCAAACGAGAAATTCAAAATGATTCCTAAAACAAATAGCTCAAAAGTTCCTGAGGAAATGACGTTGATTTCATTACCAAGTAAACTTTGGTCCTCTGGTGCGAGTCCGGAGATCGAAGAAGAAATCTGCCGCAAACTTCGAGCAGGTTGCAGGCCATTTCAATGTGGTGGTGTGTGAAGTCGTGGAGCAGCAGTTTCAGGCAGTACAGCGCCTCCACCTTTGAGTACATTTTGAACTTGACCATTTCTCCGATGAATCGAACCACTTTGATTTTGGACTCGATATTGATCTGGTCCTGCAAATTCAGTCATTTGAGCAAAATTATGTTTTTCCATTAAAAGAATTTTAAAAATGCACCTTTTTTCGGAAGTGGTACTTGAAGTCCTGCTTGAGTTTGAGGGCCAGGTCGGTGGCCACGTCGGGCATGCAGGGATGCAGGGTGGCCACGAGTCGGGCCAGGAACGGCAGCAAATCGATTCGGGTCCGCTGCACCCCGAAGAGACACCGCACCAGTTTCTTGCGGTTGATCTTCGTGTTCAGGCTGAGAACAAACTCGGACGCCGCGTTGTCGATCATGTCCCGACTCACGCAGTTCATCACGTGGTTCACGAACGCGTCCATCACGATTTTGTTGCTCGCGTTCGTCGTCGTCTCCGGCTCTTCAGGTTCTAATTGTACGGAAAGAAAATTGCAACTAAATTTTTCAAAAATGATTAAAAAACCTTCAATTTCGACAGGCGGAGTGTCCTCTTTCTTGGCCTCCTCCTTGCCCTCCTCGATTTCCTCCAACTCCTCGTCCAACTTGGACTCGGTGACCTCCTCAGGTTCAGGCTGGATGGTTGCCTGGGCGCTGTCCTTGTACAGAATGCTCGGCAGAAACGCCTTCAGGTCGGGAAGCTCTTCGTAAAAGTATCTCGTCTCCTCGTCCTCCCACAAAAGCGACTCCTTGGTGAATTCCTCGGCGTCCATTCCGGTCACCTTCAGGTCCTGCTCCTCACTCCTGGCAATGTCTGAAAGGAAAAGTTTTCAATCAAGTTGAATTGATTTTGAAAATTCCACCTTCGGCCTCCAGCTCGGGCATGTCCTCGTCCAGGATTTCACAGAAGGACTGAGTGCCTTCGTAGAGTTTTCGGTACGCAGTGTGCAGAGCTTCGGCCTTTTCTTTCCGACTCGGAGACAATTCGCCTTTGGTCTGCAGAATTTTCTTGTTTTGGTACTCAAACTGCCTCAGCTCTTTGTGGGTCTAAACGCAAATTTTATATAAAAAAAAAAATATATATAACAAAGAAGGTTTAATTTCTCACTTCAACCAAGTGTTTGCACAAGCTTGTGCAGTAATCCTTGAAGAGCTGCCGGACGTTTTTCTGCTTCTCAGGCATCAAAAGCTTGCTCGTCGGCACCAGCATTTTGAACTCTTCCGAAAGCAACCTAATTTTCCGGGGAATCAGTCCTGCAGGAATTAAATTTTAATTAATCATCACAATTTCAATTTAAAAAAAATGATTTGCCTGCGTAATCTTCGCCGCAGTGTCTGCAGAAACTGAGAATGACATTGATGTTGTTGTGTTCCTCCTTGTCCATGCCGGTCAAGTTGGTCAGGATTGTGCCGAGCAGTGGAAGACCCTCTTTGTTTGTGAAAATTCCTGCGTTGATCAGCTCGGCGTAGAAACGAAGATCCACTCGCAACTTGCTTATGTTTTGAATCTGGCGAAATATATTTTAGAAGAATTTACATTCTTTTTATTTAACAATGTAACCTTCTCGTCCTTTTTGAAGGTGAGCGCCTTGTGCCAGTTTTCAAGCAGGTGTCCCGTGAACTCTGCATAATTTTGGTGCAGGTACGCACAAATGTTGACCGCCGCTTGGACGTCGGTCATTTTCAGCTTGGCCTCCACGAGGCCAGCAGCAATTTCACTGATGTACTTGGTCAGGTTCAGCGTCTTCATGTCCTTCAAAAGGGCTTCTTCTTGGGTTGCGGTCAAATTTTTCTAGTAAAAAACAATAATTATAGTATGCAAGATGAGAAAAAATATCTCAACTGAAAAACACTCACAATTTTCCTGACAAATGCTGTGTTTTTCTTCAAATTCGAGTCCAACTTGCTGAAGTGCGACTCTTCAGGCCTGGTCACGTGAAGGTTTTTCTTCCTGTTCTCATCTCTCTCCCGATACCTTTCTTCCGTTTCGCGGATGTAATCTAATAGATAATTCTGAAAAAGAAAATTACTCAATTAAATTTTTACTTATTTACTTTGGTAAAATTACTCGATTCTCCTCTCTTATTTTCTCCTCGTTCTCCAGTCTTTGCTTTTCAGCATCTTCTTCCTGAACAGATTCTTTTGCCTCTTCACCCTGACCAGCTTCTATTAATTTTTCAGGCTCAGTCGATTCATGATTTGTTTGGCCAGAGCTTGACTCGTCGTCTCCAGCACCTGAAGCACCTCCAGACATTTCTGCAAAAATTGAACGTGATTTGAAAACCACAAAAAAAAAATCTGTTCTATAAAAGTGTGTACATTTTGTGATGTTGGTGATATTTTTTTATTTTAAAATAAAATAATATGTATGTATTTGTTTTCTTTGAATACATAAATTAAAAATTTACCCTTACCGAAACTAGAAATTTGAACTGGCACAGTTTCAAAACATAAATCTCTCTTCTCACTATGGAATTCTCCTTAAATTCGGCATCACAATCGAAAATTTGGCAAAGTATGTATTCGCCAACTTTTGATGTTTCAAGCCCGTCGACGACCAAAACACAGAAGATTCGACAACCACGCCCCCTTTTTGACAACATTAGAGACTCGAGCCGCGCCCCCTTTTCCCTCTTCATCTTGCCAGCAGCTGTCGTGCTTTTAATTGAGAATTACGCTTCATTCATAATAATGTCTCTTGTCTGTGCGTCCAATGTCCGAGCAGCGTGCGTTGTTGTCCCGTGATTGAGCAGGTTGCAGGGTTGAGGAGATTTCTTTAGGGATGGAGGAAGAGGCGGCGGATCGAGTGGCCGAGGGGCAGCTCGAGCTGGACGAAGAAGACAGCGAGCCCTTTGAGGAGCTCGAACCTGAGGACAAGGAGGACAAGCTGTCCGACTTGGGCAGGGGAGACGAAATCGGCAGCACCATTCCCTCGGAGTTGAGTTTCTCAGGAGGTGAGTTTCGACGAGAGGAAAAAAATTTGAGAAAATCTTGAAATTTTTTTATAATTTCGCAGAGCCAGCGTTGAGTCCAGCCTTGAAACGGAAGAAGAACGACCTTCTCAACTTGTTGGCTGCCGAGACCTTGGACAGGGCCAGACTTCTGCAGATGGCCCTTTCAGAGGGAGGCCTTATTGATGGTGAATTTTGCGAGTTTCTAAATTTGAATAAGTTAAAAAAATTATTGATTGGTGAGGGAAAAATTATGTTCTCAAAATTTATATTTATTTATTTATTGATATGAGAATTGGGCCAAAGTGCACAATACACATCATTGTCCTGCAACGATTGCAAAATGATTGCATTTTTACTCAAATAATCAATCTCCCGTGTAAATATTTGCAGATGAAATTCGAAAGAAAGCCTGGCCTTTGTTGTTAAACATTGGCGACGAGTCAACGGAAAAGCCACCGACGCAAGAGGAAATTGAAAAGCACCCTGAGTACAGGCAGGTGGTGATGGACGTCAACAGATCCCTCAAAAGGTTTCCACCTGGTGAGAAAAGAATTAAAAAAAAAGTGAAATTCAATATTTATTTGAATTTATCCAGGCATTCCGTACGAGCAGCGCGTGGCCTTGCAAGACCAACTCACCAGACTCATTCTCAGGGTCATCATGAAGTACCCCCACTTGTGCTATTATCAGGTAGATTGATGACTAAAAAAATTTATTGGTTTTGATGTGTATAATTAATGTCAAGGGATATCATGACGTGGCTGTGACATTCCTGCTGGTGGTCGGCGAGGACAAGGCGTTCTACATTTTGGAAAAGTTGTCCACGGAGCACCTGAGGGTGTGCATGGAGCCGACGATGGACACCACCTCGCGGCTGCTCAACACCATCTACCCCCTGATCAGCAGGAAGAATCCGCAGCTGCACGAATACCTCGAAAGGTTTTGTTTGGTTTTATTTTATAATTTTTTTTCGGTAAAACAAAAATTGCAGGTCCGAGGCTGGCACCCTGTTTGCGCTGCCATGGTTTTTGACGTGGTTCGGCCATTCTCTGAGCAAGTACAGCGCGGTGGTGCGCATGTACGACTTCTTCCTCTGCTCGGCCCCGCAAATGCCCTTGTACGTCGCAGCCACGATTGTCCTCTATCGGACCGAGGAGGTGCTCGAAACGCCTTGTCAGATGGACTGCATGCATGGCCTTTTGTCTCAGGTAAAATTTTGTAAATTAAAAAATATCACAATGAAAAGTATAAGTTTATTGATTTATATGAAATTTTGATCTGCAGTTGCCTGAGAATTTGCCATTTGAGAAAATCCTGAAGCAAGCTGAAAGACTGTATTTGGACTTTCCACCTGAGAGTATCGAAAAGGAAGTCGACGAAAGAACCAAAAGAGAGTGAGTTTTTCTTTAAATCAAATTTCTGATTATTAACTAAAAATTCCTGTCCAGATTCGAATTGAGATTCAATCCGCCTCCGAAGGCAAAGGCCGTGGTTAAAAAGAAGCCGCCGACAAAGTACTTGTTTGGCCTGAGGAACATCCTGGCCGTGCGACGACCCACGAGTTATGTGCAAATGTTCGTTGCCACCGCCTCAGTCATGTTCAGTCTGTACATGTACATGCGTACCGGAGCCGAGCAGGGACAGCTGCCCATAGCGCCCAGCTAGCTAACGGTGAAAATCAAGTGACTTTAAGTGAAAAAGGGATTGAAAAACAAACACTGTTGCAGAAGAAGTGAATATTGTTAATAAGTTTGGCCTCAAATTGTGCAAGGAGAGTTTTAGAATCAATTTTAGGCTGAAATTTCAGCAAACCAGGCCAAAGAAAATGAGTATTTAAGGTGATCCAGCTGTTTTGTGATCCAACGTACTTGTTAATTTTAAAGAAAATCTGCAAGGAGGCGACTTTGTAAATCATTATCCTATAATTTATTGATCAAATGCGAATTTAAGTTGCTATTTGTGATAATTTTGTCAAGTGCTCTCATATTCTTTGTGATTTTTTTCATTTTTATTTGGATTCTATGTAAAATATGCTCTACACAAACAATAATGTCCTCAAAGAGTTCTTATAGGAGGTAAATTATAATAGTGGATGATAAAATAAATATGGGAAAACGTTTGCATTATATATTTATAAAAAAATGGATGTTTCATAATAATAACCTGCATTACTAAAATTTGTGTTTTTAAAATGATTTTCAACCTTTTTGATCTTTTTTTTTTTAATCTAAGACCAATTTTTAGGCATTTTAGATTACATTTTTATACACTTACATGATCATCAGTACAGAGTATAAGTTTCCATAATAATTATGCTATTATTAAGTACAAGACAAAGTAAAAAGAACCACTCCTCCCATCATCAACTTGATTCTTCTAAGCAAATCAAGAGGGAAATTAAAAAAAAAGATGATTTGCAGTTAAGAATCTCGTTCTTTCTCAAGCAATACAATATAATTGCAGGTACCTCTTGGAATATGAATATGCAGTACAAATCCTAAGATTTCCTCCCAAATTATGTAAAAATCTAGTTTAATCGCCTGCAAAGTTATTTCTGATTGATGCGGAATAAAAAATAGAGTATTTATTATTCTTACTCAAGTGTCCAGCGCACGTACAAATGCGAGAGATGAAGCGTTTCGAAGAATACACGAGTACATTAGTAAAAATTGTCTACAACAAAAAACGTGAGTCGTTTCAGTCCTTCTCGTTGCCTTCACCGCTCGTCGTACTTACAATTAGAAGCGCTAAAACTGTCAGGATAGATAGATACATCGGTAGGAGAAATTGATATCTTTGAAAGACGCTACAATAAGAAATGTTTACCCTGCCCAAAGGAGTTTGCTTTGCTTGCACTCTCACCGGAGGCAAAAACTGTGAGCAATGCGAATTGATATTTTACAAAAGTTGTTAGAGCAGGGCGGTGCGGGCTTCGGGCAGCCGCGAGGCCGTGAATCCAGCCACGGCAAAGCAGGCGGCCGACAGCATGGCAGGCACTCCTCTGCTCGAGCGCAGCAGGTGCGAAAATGTGGTGAAGCCCAGCACAGCGCCCAGTCTTGATATGGCGGCCAAAAAACCAAAGCCAGTTGACCTGAACAACAGTTTAGGTGTGAAATTTTAAATTGTAAACAAAACAATTGATTAATACTGGAAAAATAAATGTTTTACTGATTATTTTTTGTGACAAACCTTAAGTGAGTGGGGTATGATTCGAGTGTGGCGATGGCGAGAGAGCTCCAGCCAGCAACGAAAAACAAATTGAGGACGGACTCGAAGGCGATGATGGCCCGTCCAGAGTCCAACAACCAAATGAAGGGAGAGATGAGTGCGGCCAGCAAAAACGTGACGCCTGAAATAGAAACGTCTCAGTCAACTCGGCACTTCCTATTTTTTTAAATTAAATCAACCAATAATTTTTATCCTTCCAACCCTGTCGACCAAAAAGGCGCAGACCAGTGCCCCAGGCAGCAAAGCGAGCTGCCCGACGAGATTCTCGGTGAAAATGTCTTGCAGGTGAAGGTTGTAGTCAAAGTCCAGGTGGCAACCCTGGGACAAGCTGAGGATCGAGTTGTTGACCAAGTTGCAATGCTCGAAGCGCCCACTTGTGATTCCGTCCTCCCAGGTCTCTTCGTCTTCGTTTTTCTTCAAAAAGGATTTTTATTTATTTATTTTTTTTTTAATCAAATTTGATTTGATTTGTATACCTTGTAAGGGAGGTTCCCCCACCACAGGTCCGTGTCGACAAAGTGAGACTTGCTGATTTCAGAGTCGCGGAAGAGCGTCCGACTGGAGCGGACGTTGGCGAACGTGCACGCCTCCATGGTGCAGTTCTCGAAGAGCACGTGACTCAGGGTGAGGTGCTCGAAGCGACACGAGATGAACCTGGACCCGGAGAAGTTGATGTTCTCCAGGGAGCGGTTGAAGGTGATGTTGAAGTAGGTCTTGTCGAAGACGTGCTGTGCTTTCGAGGAGTAGAGCAGGTCGCGCAGGGTGCGGATGTACTCGGGAAACCACAAAGTCAACCCGTAGAAACTTTTTGCATTTATTTTCCATTGTATATATAAATATTTTATTATTTTAATAAGCAAAATTTACCCAAAAGCAGCCGAGATCCAAATTACCAGCAGGGTGACCGTCAACTTGACGTGTGGCGAACAAAAGAGTTGCACGAACGAGTTCCAGAACTGATTATTATTTTTTTTTAATTAAAACATTTTCTTTTTGTTGTAAAAAAATAATACCAATTCCAGACTGTAAATCATGTCTGCCAGGACCGATTTGCCTGGCGAGGACGAAGCGTACGGACCACCCAGGCCGTTGATTCTTTTGGTCGGCAACTCCAACTCGGACAACTGATACTGGCCGGCGCCCTCGGCTCCTTTCTTGCTGTTTGACTGCGAACAGTGTAAATGAATCACGAAAGCTGCGAGTAGGGATGTACTTTGAAAATGCGCTGGTAGGCCAGCATGGCCTCGACGTCCTGGCCGGCTTCGAGCAGGTGCCTCGGCGACTCTGGCGAGAAAATGAGACCCGCGATGGCTGCGAAACAGGGCAGGGTGCACAGCAGCAGGAACTGGTGCCACGCCGAGAAGTGCTCGGAACTGTCCTCGGCCACTTGAAGACCTGTTTTGAATTGTGAAAAAAAAAATATGTCATTGATAATCTTAAAAATAATAATAATAATTACAAAGAAATTCATGCTTTCATGAATAGAATCAGCTCTATTTTGTTTATAGAATAAAAATGAAATAAAATATCAAATTTTATGGGCTATATTTTTTCCTACATCTCAGCCTCAAAATTTGACTTTTATTACATTTTTTCCCAAAAAGTGACATTTCTCTTAAGCCTACGCCGTTTATGTCAGCAGAAAAGTTGTTCAGCGTGGAAAGTTACGCTAGATCATTGTTCTCAAAATTTATAGAAATTCTAAAAATTTCTTTTCAGAACTCAAAATTTAGGGTAATGCCCATTTTTTTTAGGTCTCAAAATTGGCAAAGTTAGCTGAATTTTTCAGTCCGATCAGTCTCTCTTGGAGAAATGCTCGTCTGAAATTGAAATTTAATGCTGAACTAAAATGTGTACCAGTTCGAGGGAGGATAATCCAAGCCAAGAGGGCAACGTAGACTCCTCCGAGGGACCACATCATCACCAGGCCACTGAGGAATCTGCCTCTGTCCGATCGGGGCAGGAATTCAGAGTAGTAGGCGTAAGCAACGGGCAGCGAACCGCCAACACTGGAAAGACAAAAATAATAAATTCGAGAGAGAATTTCACATGAAAACAGAAGAAACCATTTTCTTCTTTAAAATGTTATAAATTGTTTACATTATTATCCTCAGAATAGGACAAGACTTTTGAACTTTAGTTTGAAAAAGTTGAATTTTGAACTTGTTCAAAGTAATGTTCAAATAAAAAAAAAATTAGCTTAATTTCTATCCTGACAATGAGCAATCTTTCTGGTATTTCAAAACCAAACTGGAATTGAAATTTACTGATAATCTGATTTTTTGAATGGCATAAAAGAGATCAAAGTGTTGAATTTGTTCTCAATTAAAAATTATAATGTTTCAAATCAGCAAATTGCCAACATTGGAAATGAAAATTTAAGTAAAATTTTAGAAAAGAAAATTTGAGAAAATTAATAACAATAACCAAACAAAAAACTTTTCAAAATAACAATTATCAATTATTAATTGAAAAAATAGTATTTCAAGCAATATATTTTGTCGAAAATCTGATGAACTGTGGAAAAAAATTTCGAATTTAACTTTCTCTGGTATTAAAAGGCAGAAGCGGTAATTAATTTTCATGAATTGGAATTTTTTTTCGATTATATTCACAATAAATTTGATTTACCCGACGGCGCTGCAGAAACGGGCAGTCATGAAGGTGCCGTAGGTGGGCATGAAGGCCGCGATCACGCTGAACCCTGCGTTGACCCCCAAGGCCGAGAGCAGCGTCCTTCGACGGCCCATCCGGTCAGCCAGGTTTCCCCACAGGGTGGCGCCGACCATCATCCCCACGAACGTGATCGCACCTGTTTTCAAAGAAAGAAAAACCAAATTAAAATTGTTATGCTCAAGTGGAAAAGAAGGTTTCAAACCGACCCATCCAGTCTTTTTCAACCTGAGTGATGCACATTTCGACCTCGGCGCTCGGCAGAATGTAGAAGACGACGAAGACCTCGACCGAGTCGGCGGCCAAGCCAAGGCCGGCCACCAACAGCAGCAGCATCTGGAATGTCCCGAGGCCAGCCTGGAAATTCAAATGTAAATTAAATTAAAATAATTGAAAAAAAATTATATTTATTGCCATTTTTAGCCAAATTATATAAATTTATGAAATTTTTTCCATTCAATAATAAATGATTTTTAAATTTTTGAACCAAATTGATTTTTCTGTTTTAGGTTGAGCTGAAATTTCGAGGTGACCTTTGGACCCTTTGTTGGGGTCACTGCGGCCGACGCACCTGTTTGATGGCATCTTCGTGGAACTGAGAGAGGAGCGAGGCGTCGTCGGCCGCGGCGCCGCCGAACTCGAGGGTGTCGGTGCTGGGGTGGTCGGCGGCGCCGGCCTGCGAGGAGGCGGCGGCGACGACGGCGTCGTCGTGCGGCTCCACGCTGTCCATCATGGTGTAGGTGGCGGGACGCCGGTGGCCGCTCACAAGGGCCGCATTCTCGTCGCTCGCCTCTTCATCCTCCCGCGGCACGGACACCACCATCGCCGCTCATCGGCGCTGCGACAACAACAAAATCAACAACAATAATTCTCAATCAATGCACAATCAATAAAATTATCGTGATCATTGTGTAAGACATACTCTCGTTTTTTATGGATAATCTAAATAATCAAACAAAGCAGTAAATTTATTTTTGAAAAATAAAATTAATAAATTTCAATATGTTTAAATGTGAAACAATTAAAATGATTCGCTGAAAATCCCATTCGGCGCCAAACCAAAACAATATCGAAGGAACTTTTTTCTTTGATGTCCCTCGGGGCCTTTGCATGTGACCCTGGTTCGGAGGGCCACCCCCGGCGCCCCCACGAGGTCGCAGGGCAACTCACCGTGCATCTTGGGGCGGGTGGCAAGTGCTTGGTGGGGTCAGGTCGCCGTCGGAGGGTCAGTCTCGGTCGAATTCAATATGTTTTTGGTGAGCAGAGACGAGAGAGCGAGCCCAGCTGCGATCAATAACAACGGGGGAGGGGGAGTGAGGGGAGGCGGCAGGCAGGGGAGGGGAGTGACGTCGTCGCCGCCGCGCTCTCATTCTTCCGCGTGTGGCACATTATATATGCATACGAAAGGGTGGAAAATTACTTTGCCTTTCACGCCGAAATTACACCCCGACGCGTGAATCCGTTTTCTCTGTAATTTCAACGGGATTTTGTTGATTTTGTTTCAAAAACATTTCAGCGGCAGTTTCCATCTAGAACGTGGAAAATAAAATTGCATTTTTTCGCAAATTTCGTCCAGCATTGCATTTATATATCCCTTGTCTAGGACGGAGGAGGAATTTCTCTCAGAGATTTAAAATAAGGCCATTAATAATAATAATAATCCCCACTGCGGAATTAAACCAGAGAATTGCAGATGAAATGACATTCCATTTAATTAAAATAATGACAATTAGGAATATGAAGCAAAAAAATCGTAAACGCTTATTTTCGTTTTGCATATTTTCCTCCAAAGTGGCTAAATCTGTGCTGGCGTTTAGAAGCTGGACAAGTGCTGCAGCGAGGGGTGTTTCACACACACTCGATTGCATTAATTTGGCTTGAGCATAATAAATGGAAATTCGCGTGGGTGCGGCGAATCATTTCCGACAAAGACTATTACAACTGGTAATCAACAGAAAATCCGAACCAAAATCAATTTCGAGCGGCTTTGCACGTGGGGAGCGATAAATTACGAAAAAATTACGCGCCACTGCATCATTCAGTGTCCAGAGTGGCTTAATTATTTCAGTAATTACGGCTGCAAATTTATTTTAAATTTCAATGGAAAAGCGGAAAATTACAAAATTTTAGTTGAATTTTAAAAGATTCTGCTTTGAAATTTTAAACGAAATTAATCAACCTATAAATCTATTTGAATGTGAATATTTAAATTTGGAATCGAATAATTCCGTTAAAGATTTTGTTAAGGCGCGTCATGCGGGCTGCCGTACAAGCGTGTATTGCGCGTACAAGTCGTTTATTTGCAACCCCCGCGCCGTGTCCTTTTGGCCGAGCGCGATCATTTTTCAACGTTGCACGTGAACCGACTTGAATTATTGATGTGCCGAATGTTGTACTTTTCAGGCCGCCATAGCTTTCCTTTCATATTCGTAACAAAAGGCAAAATGACAAATTGTGAGGCGTAGAATGAAAGATTTGATTTAATTTCCCACTATGGGAAAAAGCAACGCCGTTTAAAAAGAATTTTGTATAAAATTCCGCAGAGCCAAAAGTGAATGAAAACAGTAAATTTTAAATAAAAATAATCAAAATTTTAATTTTAAAATTCCTTAAAATTCCCATTAGAGGCCGCCAAGAACTTGGCACTACAGAAAATTTCTCAATTTTTTAAGAACGAAAAGTAAATTACCTGTTAAATTTCTCTTTAATATTTTCCAATTTGTTTATGTCTCTAAATTGTTTACGACTAATAACACTGAATGTAGAATTCAAAGTGAACTCTTATTCATAAAAAGTTTTCCATATCGTAAATTCTAAATTGAATTCGAAAAAATTTTTGGAAAGCTTATTAAAATAAATATTCCGTTATAACAAATAATATTGTTCAATTCAAATTAATAATTTTCAGTTTATTTAGTGTCCTTTAAGAGTTTTTCTTTTATCTTTGAATGATAATGACAATGACATGAGGCAAGAAAATTTTTATAAAAAAAAAGATATCATAAACCCTGTGAAGTTGAAAAAATAGCATAAAAAATCATTGAGAAAACCCCCAAATTCCAACATCATGATTTTTAGCACTTTAATTGAATTAAATACATTTTTTTAACATAAAAATGGAAAACCAAATCAAGTAGCAGAAGACTTATTACTTTTAAAAATTAATAAATTCAAAAATATTTTATATAACATATGAAAAAAAAGGCATTTTTCCCAGCACTGCGGTAAAGTTTTGTACGGTCGGAGCACGCAACAGCATTGTCAGAAAAACTACTCCTGTTTGAGCAACAAAACGCAAAGTCGGAAAAATAAATAAATAAATCTCTCGGGGCGACGTAACAAGTTAGCACGAAATTTAAATTTCCACTGGGCGCGTTGGAGCGACGCTTGTATGTATATAAATTTCACGTGTGCTTGTGCAGAGTGTGTCGCAAATGAATGCGTGTGTTTGCGTTTTATTTAGGGGGGCCAATAATAACACCAGCGGCACATCCAACCGAGCCACCCACCGGCCTCATTTGCATAATAAATTAAACACACAACGACACTTTTTGCGCCCGACCGATTTATTGCACGGAGAGATTTGCATAATTATCAAGCGAGCTTGCAGCAATTTGCTCTGCTCTTGTCCGGAAGGAAAAATTGATTTTTGTTTATTCCGTGTTTGTATCTAAAAAAAAAAAACGGTTTGGTGGATAATTTAAATTTTTATCTAAAATAAAGAAAATGTATTTAAGTTTTACATACAGGGTGGACAATTAAAATTTTGATGAAATATAATTAAATTGAATTAAGTTTTTTCTTCATTAAAGAAAATTAGAAAAAAAACCAAATATTTCAAATCAATTAATTTTGGTAGTAAATTATTCAAAATTTAGATAGATTTAGAAGAAAATGGAACAGAAAATCTAAACAAAGGACAGGAAACACTGTACGTGCAGTTTTATAAATATATATCTCTGATGTTGTGATCGATAGCAATTACAATGGAAACCCAATTACGACAGCACGGCCAACCGTGTATGTATTCCGTTTTTTTTTTCACACGGAAAGACGAGCGCAGCGCACGAAGGAGGAAAAATCGACGTCGAGTGCGCAGAGGGAATTTGCAGCGAAAAGTCTCAAAATATAATTGATACATTTCGCTCAAAAGAGGGTTGGTCGCGGCGTTTGTTTGAGTAATTACCTTACAGCATGTTGAGGTGGAATTCGGGCTTTGTGGTGCGAGGCGCGCTGTCGGACTGGCCGCGCAGTAAATAAGAGCAGAATGCGTGTCGCCTTTTTGTGGGCCACTGCGGCAGCCCGAGCAACCCTTGCGATCCACGCATGCCCGCCGCCAATATATATAAATTCACTATTATATCGCCATCGCCAGCCCATACGTTACTTGCCAACTTGGCCAAAAGCTCAGCTCGTTAAAATTTGCAACTTGACAGAAAAGCCTGAGAATCTGTCATCATTCTAATTTTTTGGTTAAACAAAAAATTAAATTGAAATTTGAGTTTGTCAAACAAAAAACTGCGATTTTCATTTTGATTTTTGTTACGAATTCACTTTGATTTTATTGGTCTAACGCATCAAACAATTCACTCCTCTGGCTGCTCCTCTTGTCTCTTTTTGACCCAGACCTGTGGCTTGGCCTCGGGATATTTATCCGTCAAGAAGCTCCGGATTTCCCCTTGCTCTGTGACCATCCTCAGTCGCACCTGTTTAATTAAAACAAAATCAAATGTAAGCTACATTGAATTTTCGAAGATTACGTCATCGTGATTTCGGCGCCACAAGTACTTCTTCAAATGAATTTGCCAGCCAGGTGTGTTGACATAGAACTTGGGGTATTTCTTCTTCTTCAGCACAACCCGCCCGTCCATCACGTACTGATTAAAAATAAAAATAATTCCTTGATTTTTTTATTTTACAGAGGCAATTTCCTTTACCTGAGAGTAATCGAGCAGCTCGTCAGGTTTCAGTTCGGCCTTTGACCTGCATTTGGTAGGCGAGGCGATGACCTTCGGAAAATAGCCTTGTTCCTTTTTAAATTCGACCAGGTGCAGCCCCTTCTCCTCGGCCATTTGCTTGTGAGTTTTCTACAGTAATCAGAATAATGAAACCAGTTATTTAAAAAGTTCAGATCAAGATTGAACCTGTTTTAGAAGACCGATGAAGAAGGCTTTGACAATGTGCTGCAGATTTGTGGACCCTTCGACTTTGGCGTACAAATCCTTGATGCCGATGACCTCACACATTGTTTTTATGGCTCTGTGGCAAACCAAGCCGAAACCTTCGGGTTTTTGAGTGACGAAAATCTTGGTGCGGCCGAATTGGGTGAAGAAATCGTGCATCACTGTTAAAAGTGTGTATTTTTTGTTGTTGTAAGAAATATTGATAAAAATCTATTGGATAAAGTACCAGTGTGATTGTTGTACAGCTCAATGTACATTAGTTTCTGGCCAGCCCTGTTTCTTGCCCGCTTCACTGCCGAGCGGCCATCAACAGACTTTGCCAGTCCGAAGCCGGCAAGACCTTTCCCATTTCCAGTGATGGCCATGCAGCTCATTCTTCTTCTGCGGCCAAAGTTGCCCTTCATGTGGAAAACCGATTTGAACTGAAACAGAGAAGAGGGTTTTATTTTACGATTACAAATATTTGTATCATCAAGCAAACCTCTAAAACCTTTGTATCGAAACCCTCGAAGGCATCTGGAAGAGAAAATTTTGTTTGATCATTGGTCGATGAAAATTCTCAATCAATACCGTCGCCAACAGGATCAGGCGGACCGATGGACCTTCCTGGCAGTTTGGTACCGCTCCAGCCTCTTTCAATTGGCAGAAGTCGAAGGTATCTGAAGGTGCTCATCTCGTCTCTCATCTTGACAAGTTTGGCCATTCGTTCGGTGTCCTCGGGCAACTGCTGCTGCCGCACCAAGTCCTTGCCCTGAAGGATCGGCGCAGACAAACCAGGCCACATGATATTCAACTTTCCTGGTTCAGAAATAAATTAATTCAAAAACAAGATTTGATCATAATCCTTACCAACTCCAATGACCTGGCCTCGGTTGAGATTTTTCGCCGTTTTCCTGCCGGTGCCTTTGCCTCGGCCTCTCTTCTTTCCTGCGTTACTCACACTTGTCACCCCTTTCCAGATGTTCTCCGCAGGTACTAAATTTATGAAAGGTTTTACAATTAGCCGAATTAGCAAACTTCCGAAAATAATCAACTGACTTTTGTTGAAAAAACTTGTCATTCGGCATGGTTGACCTGGCAAAGCAGCGATTCGAAGTGCGGGGCTTTGTGCGAGCAGGAAGTTTCCACTCAGACCTGAATAATATAAAACTCGAGTTTATTTTTATATCTCACAGAATATGTATGACCAATTAAGAATTAAATTAAGTTCAATGTTCGTTCACAATTAATATATGGGGTATATTCTATCGATAAAATATGCATAAATTCTATGTTGTGTTGCTTTCTTTCTAAAATGCTTCCTACGGACACAAATCTTTCATACCTGGAACACATCTTATTGTTTTGGGTACAAAATTAAGTAGTCTCAAAATCGGAGTCACCATCACACCGGCGTTTTGCCCTCTAATTTACCAAATAATAATGCCTTCTTGAATTCATGAAAAATTGTTTTTCCTCTCGAATACGAAGGGGGCGTAGCCAAATCAAAGTTGAAAGATAGATGGCAGATGATTCGAGATTTTTGAGCGGGAAATTTGAAAAAATCATTCAAAACAAAGGCGCATGGCGAAAATTTAAGATTGGTTTGGTTGTGTTCACCGACCAAACGTTTGATTTTGAAAGTATCCTTAATCTAGGAAGACTGAGAAGATGACACGTACGGTGTCAAAATCCACCAAGAGCAGCGAGCAGGTTGCTCATCAGAAGGTCGCGCGAGTGCCTTACTTCCTGCACAGACTGTATGAAAACAAAGAAGGCTACGATTGCACTTTTAAAGTGGCAGGAAAGGTAATCATATGAATTAAAAATATTAAGACTACAGACGACATTAACACACAATTGACTTTAAACTTTCCAGATTTTCCAATGTCACAAGCAACTATTGGCTTGGGCCAGTCCGGTCTTCAAGGTGATGTTCGAAGGGCCGTTTGCCGAGTCTTCCAATGGGCCTGATGATCCCATTCCTATTGATCACATGACCCCAGAAGGATTTGAACTCTGCCTGAAGTAAGTGAAAATTATGTCCTGTAGTTACAGAAGCTAAAATTTCTAGTTGGACAGGCTAAATACTGTTTTTTTTCTGTAATTTTAGGTACCTGTACAAAAATGAAAGACAGTTCCCACCATCCAAGATCGGGGAGGTGCATTACTTTGCCAATTTGTGGCAAATCGCTGATCTCGAGGAAATAACTGAGGGCTTCCTATCCCAGACTAAAGCCGCAGACTTCTGCGAATCGTATGCGGCTGCCAAGGAGTCTGGAAACAAAGTACTAATGAACTTCTACATGAAGGTTTGTGCTGCTTTAATCTTGGTTTAACTCTTGAATCTTATCAATCTTATAATACTATGCCTTGCAGAAAATTTGCTCCAACTTCAAAGAAGTGACTGGTGCAGCTTCGTGGCCGCTCACATCAGCAGAAATAGTCGCGGACATTTATTCCCAGGAAGATTTCAAGTTCAACATTGTCTCCGAAGCCATACTCTTTGAAAATTTGGTCAAGTGGGGTGGCAAGAAAAGGACGCGAGAGGTTCGGAAGCTGGCGCCTCTGATCCACTTCTTCACCTGGGACCAAAGTGACTCTTACCACACGTACAGGGATGAGCTGCGAAAAGTGTTCAACGAAAAAGAGAGGAGCCTCATCAGAATTTGCAGTAGTCTGAAGGACAATGTCATGGGCATAGTCAGATCGCTGCCTGATGGTATGAAGTGATTTTCTGATTTGTACATTTGGTTTTTACTGTCAAACTTCTTTAGAATTTTGCAAGAGCAGAATCGAAAGGACGATGCACCAGGGAAGGTATGAAATGAGGTGGAAATACAAGGCCGAACCCCCGTTGCCCATGCTGCCCGAAGAGACCATTTCGTCGTCCTTCAAATTTTGGGTTGAAGATGAAGTTTACCTGCTTGGGATTTACCACTACATTGTCGACGTCCTTTACTTGAATCATAAGCACAACTACGAGGCAAATTCTCTCCTTTCATGCTTTAGTTTATTTGTTAACCTTTGAATCATAGGTGGTGCTCAAGGAAGGCAACGCAGTGCTCAACCAAATGAAGTTTTTCGGCCTGACCAGACCAAAAGACATAACATCGAACCAGAGATGCACCATGGAGTTCAGCTTTCCGACTCGGCTGAAGGCAGACGTTGCGTACGAAATCGTCGTCTTCAACAAAGGAGGTGTGAAGCAGAGAATGAGCACCACAGTGACTGCCCTCTGCGCCAGTTTGTGGAAGAACCAGGTTGCCAATCTGCACATGATTGGCGGCAACTGCACCGGAGAGATCTTCGGACTTGCTGTGGGAAGAGTAGTGTGTTCCATTGAGTGAAGCGTGCAAAAAACAACTTTGTTAAAAAATCTAGTAAATTAAATTGAACTTAACATTGTTTTCAATACGAGATTTCAAATATTGATTTTGAATAAGGTAGCAAATACTACCCATAACTGAAAAAGGTTCCTTTTTTTTAAGGTTGTTCAACAATAAAAGAGTTGAAATGATCAGGCTATTTTTATTACAAGAATGCACTATTTTTTAAAAATTATTAAAAGAATTTGTCTTATTCGCATGCGTTTAATGTTGAACCATGGTATAACAGAAATACATATAAAAAAACCACAACTAAATTCAAAATTAGGTAATTTCCCAGCAGAATTTAATATATCTCAACGACGCGGCAACTTTACATGTTATTCAATTTACTATAGGACAAAACATGGAAGAAACCCACTAAGGTGTGGATACGCGTAGTTAAAACATAAAACTTCATTTGGCAAGAGGTTGCGAACTGAACTTGTTTTGATTTCAGTCAGAACTGAACTCACACAGGGTCACACTGCAATTTCAGTGACATATGAGTAATTTTAAGTTTTAATTTAAAAAATTACTACTCACCATCACTTTAGTTTGGCGCAAGTACCTTTCTTTATAAGTCTTGTCCCCCCTCTCTTTACAACATCTTGTTTGCCGTACCAGGCGTAATTTGCTCGGTAGCTGAAACCTGGAGCTTGTAAGAAATCATCTGAAAATTCTGTAGTTTTCCAGTCGCAAACTCTGAACCAGCGACCTGTAAATGGAACATTCCATTTAAAAACACAGTCAAATACAATAAAAGTTATCTAGGGAGAGAATTTTTATATTAAGCTAGTGTGGTTTAATAAATGCTTGGGAAGAAAACAGATCATCAGGATTGTGGACTGGGATTAATAATTTCAACACTGGAAAAATGGTGTTGAGAATTTATTAATATCAATAAGCAATGGGCATTAAATAACAAACTGCCTCAAAATTTTATAAAAATAAATAAAGCCGAAGTTAAGTTCTGAAAAATATGAAGGAAAGTGTCTAACTTTACAAAATTTGGAACTGAAAAAATGCAAGGTAAAATCCTTGTTATATAGCTGCAACTTATGAATTTATGTACCTCGGGTGTAATTCCTTTCTAGGAAGAGGCTATGGCTTGTTGGCCGTGCAAGATCGTCATCATCATCGGACGACTGTTCTTCCTCCTCATCTTCAAAATTGTCTGCTGGCTCTTTGTCCTGAGGATCATCATCGTCGTCCTGTTCGTCGCTGTCGTATGTGTTCTTATCTTCATCATTATTTTTCTCTTCACCGACATCACCATAATCGCTAGTGCTGATTTGATCTTCGTCACTGACATTGTCGACACTGATCTCACTGAGGCTACTTGTATCGTCCACATCACTCTGTGAACCCTCTTCTTCACTCGTCTCGTCTTCACTCCCCTGATAGAAATTTTACTATATTTAACAGCAGATAACTATACAATAACAAGATTTTAACGCATTTTAACAATGAAATAACACCTTTTTTACTAAAGTTAACAATTTTAACAAAAACTCGGGGAGATTTTTCAGTTAAAATAGTGTTAAATCATATTGTTAACCATCATGTTAGCTGCATTGAGTTTGGTGCAAGTTAAAATATTGTTAACTCTTATTGTTAACAGTCGAATTAAATGCAGCCAGGTATAAAAAAGCGACCGAGGAGATTTGTCCTGTTAAAATATTGTTATCCAGTGTTGTTAACAGTCGTTTTATTCGCAGTCGTGCGCTCTTATGCACTTTTATGACTGCATCCTCCCCCACTGACAACCCCCGCCATAATTTGGGCTCCTCCAAAAATAACGAACTTTTAGTAAAGCGGCGCAGGTTGAGAATGGCCGGGCCCATATCAGCCGCGCTTGCATATTTGTGCTTCTGCGGACTGAAAATCGCGTATGACCCTTGTGAAAATGGGCAGAGAAGTGACCTAGAGTTCCTGCTGAAGATATAACTGCACCTATACGCGGAGGATCCAGTGATTTGTGAGTAATTGGCGTCACACCAGTTTTGTTTATCACAATTGTTGCCGGCCGACAGCAAAAGGCGCTGGACCCCGAGATCAACACAACAGCAGGCGCACCGTCACGGAACTTAAAATATACAGGGTAATTATATTTAAAATCTAATATTAATTGATCCAATTATAATTATTATTTCCCTGCATTTAGTAAAAAAACAATAATTGAGATGATTAATTATTAAGTTCAATTAAATTAAAAATTTAAAATAAATGATATAAAATTAAACAATTCTCAATTGTTTTGATTCCAGCACTTTTACGATTCTACCGTCATTATTGCCAATTAATTATAGAGGACAGGATAATAACAAGGAGCGAGATACTACAATAAAAATATGTAAGTAAAATTTCAATCTGTTAAACCATTTTTATAACTAAATAAAGCTGTCTGATTATTCAAGGATTTTGTCTGCAAAAATTAGCAAATACCTAATGCATAAATATTATAAAATTAAATTGGCTATTTATATCAATCACAGTTAAATAATTAAATATATTTTTTGTTCCAGATAGTAAAAGGCCCCGCGATAAGTGACATACCGCTGCTGAAATACTCAAAACGGATCCGTGTCAATGGGAATTGCAGTGTGCTACTTAGAAATTTAAATGTGTGAAAATTAAGTGCGCAATTTTTTATCCATCTTTATCAACGCAATATTCAAACGGCAGCGATCAAATTAAATGTATCTAATGAATGAGGTAATAAACTTTCTATCAAAATTCAAAGTTTTTAATTTCCTGAACGCAAAAAAAACTAAAATTTAAACGTACTGCAATAACAGTCTTTTAACTGCAGTTAACATGCAGGGTAACCAATATTTTAACCTATTTTAACTGCAATAGCACGACCGTTAACAAAAAGAATATACCTGGTTTAACTATATGCTTAACAGTGTAATAACACTATGAATAACAGGGGACGAAAGCGCTTCTTAAGATGCGAGTTATTGTAGTGTTATCAGTGTTTCATTTTTCAATAGTGTTATTTGACTGGTTAAAGTACCTGTTATTGTATAAGTTATTCTAGTGTTATAACATTCGTATTTCTATGGGGGTCTCCGAAGAGAGTTCATCTTCTTCGACTTCCTCCTCATCAGTCGACTGTTTGCTGTCGTCACCTGATTTACTCTTCAACAAGTAATAATTTTCAGGTCTCAAAGCAGGGTCGAAACCAAGGTTTCTGACATAGCGAGGAAGTTCTGCTGGAGGTCCATATTCAACTAGGTCTCTCACAAAGTCGGTATCTTCAATTTCTTCAGTGCCTACAAAAATATAAAACGATTTAGTCACTTTTTCTGTTTGTGTGTGCGATTACTTTATAGAGGGCAGGACAAAAAAAAATAGTAAGAGCATTGTCTCACAAAAATTTGATGCATGCAGTTAATTTATATGTGTTATGTATTCATGTATAATTTTCAAGAAGTTTAAATAAGAGAATGTAAAAAACACACATATTTCAAAAATAGAGCTTTTCCTCTTGCTCAATAATTAAACGGCGATTATTGCTTACATGGTAAAAGTTGATATATGAAAAATGTGTCATTTCCATCTGGACCAAAAAGTAATAATTTTGTTGCAATGATCCGAGAACACATTAATGTAGCTCTCTCACTTAAATTTGATAAAATCAAACTTGAACAGAAGCTAAAAAGTGACTTACTCAGGCCAAGGAGGTAGTAACACTCATTTCCAAAAGTCAGGGTGTCTACGAGAAGGCCCTCCGCCTCTAAATCGTCTAAAAGCGCATATCGATCGCTTTCCAAGTCGTAATGACAGAAGTCCACCAAAATCATACTATTGCATGCGACAATCTCGGTTTTCATTTGCCCATTGCACTATATAACAATTAATAATAGTTTTAAAGCAAGTTCAAAAATGCGCATAGTAAAATAGTTACTTTCTTGCACTTTTCCAGAGGAGCAGAAGCGATTTCAGTGAGGTATCTCAACTCAGTCGGGGTAACGTGCGGAGGCGATTTCAGATCCAGAACTGTGTGGTCGCTATTGCTCGAGCACACCTTACGCCTCAGCCGGACGGTTTCTAAAGCAAATTCCAGTGCCTGCTGCGCCAGCATGTCCCACTCGTATCGCTTCTGCCGCCAGCGTCTTGCGCTGAGCACATTTTTTTTCAAATTATAATAATTTTGTAATTCAGGAAGACACTTACTATGCAACGATCACAACCTGTCTCAGTCGATCAGCCTCAAGAGAGAATTGAGGGTTGGCTATAATGTAGTCGAACAGGTTTCGAATCGGTCCAAAGGGGCATCTGCTGAGCAACTCTCGGATGGCACAACGGAACTAGAATAAGATGGGAATTCAATTTAGCGTAGGTATGACAGATACACTCAAAACGACCCGGGTGTGCATCTAAATATCTTTTTGATATTTATCAGCGGAAATTAATCTTTTAACTTTTAAGTGACAAAAAAATAATTTATAAAAATATGTCACATATAACACATAAGAGAGAGCAATTAATGCATAATTCCACTTTCATTTTAATAATAGAAGAAAAATAATAAAATTTAAAAATTTTATATACATTATCGTTGTTAAATACTATTCGTATTTTTCATTCAATAGGAAAAAGCCAGTCCAATGAAATTTTCCAAATTTTCAGTCTATATATATGCATGATTTTAGAGATATTTTGTTTTTTAATCTTAATCTGTGTTTGCCTCTTTTACTTTGAAGGCGCAAGTACTGAAAGCTTGTCACCAATTAGATACATTTTGGTCTAAACACTCACTCCGTCTTTCTGCCTTCCACAGCTGTAAATGCCATGCAGCCAGCTATTCAAGCTACAATTGCCCTTTGATAAGTCTGGGGGCGCACGAGGGATGCCACGATGACTGGAAGCAGCGTTCCGATGTTTTTGTCGTTGCTTTTTTGTTTTGTTCTTGGAAACCACGTAGAGAGCTAACGAGGAGTAATTAAATTACAAAAAATAGGAGTGCTTACAATTGAAGCCTTACGTGTGCTGACACAATCTGCGTTATACAAGTCTTCTTGCAAGGGCGCCACAAACACTGGAGAGCAGAATTCAAAATTTTACTTAAAACATTTAAATTAGAATATGTGCGTAAACTTAAAAAAAGGTTGCATTATTTATGTTTAAAAGATATATACACATTGAAATTTTCTGACATCATTTACAGACTTACCAGCAAAGTTGCCCTTGTCCCCTACTTTGATGGCTTTCTTTCTTGTCTGATCAAGGAAGGTGTCGTAGAACGTGTCTCGAGCCACCATTCTTGACCGGTACGCCCAATTCTCACGACAGTGCTCCGACTTGTAAAGTTTGAATACTCCTAAAAAGAAATTTCAAGATTAATATTTCTCAAAAAAATTACCATTTAAATTTCCAACGTACCATCACACACTTTTTTCTTAAAGTCATCTGCAGTGTGGAAAGACTTAAGAAGTTTCAAAGCAATGCCCGGCAGCACTTCTCTGTTATTTTTGTTCATGACAGGTTTGAACAGACATTGCAGTTCACGTTTAAGATTCTTCAACTCGTTGGGGTGTAGAATTGTCTCAAGCATGAGATTTGACTTTTGGTTCAGTTTCTTCTGCAGAACCCACTGCGTTACGGCGGCCTTGTCTCCCTTCAAGTTGGATGGCAAATCCTTGTAAATGGACCTCACAACCACCCCAAGAATTGAAGACTTTGCCTCTGCCGTTTGCAAATCCTCGTATTTCCTGAGGAAAAATACATTTTAGAAGATGTAGAAAATAAAAAGCGCATGTGTATGTATAAGTGTAAAACAGTGGGAGAGTCATACGGTGTGTCTCTCTCATCATATTCGATCGAGTGCATCGAAAATTGTTATTCGGAGTATGAGTGAGGTAGTTTTTAATTTATTATTTTTAAGGAAATTTTTGTATGATCGAACATAATCGAAAATTATGAAGAAAAGATACAGAATTTTAACACTGCTTGTACATAAAAATTAAGAATGGATGCGATCTCATGAAACAACAATCCAAAAGAGATCAAGTATGATTTTTAATTGCTTTCACATGTTGAACAGCAATTCCAAATATCTGACTAAATTCACTTAACCGCATTATACATGAAATGATAAAAAAATATAATCAGGTTGATCAACCCTCGAACTCCGAAGATCTGTACTGACCGAGATAAATAATAATAATCTTTTAATGTACCAAATTAAATAACATGATCAGGCCAGATTTTAATGTTACATACGACACCGGCACAACCTCGAGAGCCTTCTTATGCACTTCAAATAATTCTTAAAACGCTTAAAACTTACATTTTTTTACTTTTTAGTCGACAACAGCAAAAGGATCGTGGTCGAGAATCGTCGACCGACCTCTCCTGTCAAAATCAAGTCAAAATAGTCGAGAGCGACGCGAACGTTTATGTTCTGGCTGCCCACACACCCAACGCGCCTAAAAATTCGCACAGAAACCTTAAACTGAGTTAAGAGTCGCAAAACGTCGGCGTAGGTGAGCGCAGCCTCTGGGGACGCTTTCGATGTGTGATGCGAAATGCGAATAAATTCGCAAATGTCACATGTCACCGTCCAGAGGGGTTTATGTTCAGTTCTTCAGTTGTTCAGTTTGCCGTTGGCCGCAGTGCCGCAGTTGAGCTTTGTTGCTCGTAGATGGCGTTGTCTCTCGTTTTTTCGCAGCAAGCAAGAGAGGAAAGGGAAGGGAGTAGAGAGTGCACAGAGAGGAGGAGAGTAGTTTTTCAAGACCGAACTTGACAGAACTTGTTTCGAACAATGAATGTAAGACCTCCAGCGTCCCCCCAGCGATGAATTGTACTTGGGTGAGCACATGGCATAGTACCGAAATATTGTCGCTGAATGAATTATGACCATATGGTGCACCTGCACCATTTGAAGCGCAATTTTTTTTTGCATTTTATACTTTTAAAGTTGGCTAGTTGGCCGTTATGTTTCTCCACAGAAAAAAAATCGGAAAACTGGAGAAGAATGTTGTTCACTGTATAACAGTGACTGCGGTGAAAGTTATCGAGGAGTGTTCGAGCATTAGGATGGGCAACAAAAGTGCAGCGGTTTAAGAATTAAAATAGGAACTTGTATGAACTGATTTGCAAATTTTCAACTTTATTTTTATTTTCAGTCGTTGGTAAAAAAGGCCGCCGCTGCGATGAAACTCGAGTTCCAAAGCGCCGAGGCGCTTGAAGACACTGACCGGTCGTCAAGAATTTAGGGGCGCCGTACTTCAAGGAAAGGAAGAAGTTTTCGCCTGGCAAGAACTCTGACCAAGTGAAAATGGAGCAGCTGGGCTTTCTGGACGTCGCCAATCTCGAGGCTCCTAAGAAATGTAATAAAATTAGAAAAAAAATCACCTTTTTTACAAACTGTAAGATTTTATAAACAGGGCAGCACTGGGAGATGAAGCTGTTGGAGGTGACCTTGCGCAAAGTGGCCCTGGGTGCCCTGCGAAGGCCTTTGGTGGCCAAAAGGGCAATCCTGCTGGACCAGCAGAAGGTGGAGAGGGAAGCAAACTTGTCGTCGGCCCTCACCGATGTTCGCATCAACGAGATCAACATGCAAATCCAGCAAATGAGTGGCCCTTTTTGACAAGCTCAGCGACCAAAGGGCCGAGCACGACTGGTGCCGCATCTCGGTCACCGAATTCCAAGGTCAGCGTTCGCCACTCGAGCTGCGAGCAATGTGGAAGCAGTGCTTGGTCCTCACCCTGGAGAGGACGGCCTGGAACAAATACGAGAATGATCTCTTAAAATTAATTTATGAGAATTTCTTTCGACATAACATGGCTTATTTTGTATAGTAATATTTTGCAAAATGATAAATCTCAGCAGTTTGGCTTGAAATGTCGAGAAACTTCTTTACTAAAGCCAAATGCATAATTCCAATGTAAATAGGAAGAATTGTGACCATTTAAATCTCTGCTTTTGTAAATGTTGCTTGACAAAGTTTAATTTCTTTTTCATAATCCCTTGTCAAAAACGAGACCGTTGGAGGTCGTACTCGAGGTCGCTCGAGACCATGGTCTCGAACGACCTCGAGTACGACCTCCGACGGTCTCGAACGACCTCATATTTTTACATGGTAAATGTTTAGGGGCAACGGTTGCCCCTCGGTCTCGAACGACCTCAAACGGTCTCGGGCGACCTCGGCCGGTCTCGAACGGCCTCGGAGGTGTCCATCGACCTCGGACGGTCTCGGGCGACCTCGGACGGTCTCGAGCGACCTCGGACGGTCTCGAGCGACCTCGGACGGTCTCGAGCGACCTCGGACGGTCTCGAGCGACCTCGGACGGTCTCGAGCGACCTCGGACGGTCTCGGGTGAACTTTTGTGTTAATAAATTGAAAACCATTAAGGGCAACTGCCCCTCTGGGTCAAACGGTCTCGAGCGACCTCGGACGGTCTCGAGCGACCTCGGACGGTCTCGAGCGACCTCGGACGGTCTCGGGTGAACTTTCGTGTTAATAAATTGAAAACCATTAAGGGCAACTGCCCCTCTGGGTCAAACGGTCTCGAGCGACCTCGGACGGTCTCAAGACCGTTTGACCCAGAGGGGCAGTTGCCCCTAATGGTTTTCAATTTATTAACGAAAGGTCACCCGAGACCGTCCGAGGTCGCTCGAGACCGTCCGAGGTCGCTCGAGACCGTCCGAGGTCGCTCGAGACCGTTCGAGGTCGCCCGAGACCGGCGAGGTCGATGGACACCTCCGAGGCCGTTCGAGACCGGCCGAGGTCGCCCGAGACCGTTTGAGGTCGTTCGAGACCGAGGGGCAACCGTTGCCCCTAAACATTTACCATGTAAAAATATGAGGTCGTTCGAGACCGTCGGAGGTCGTACTCGAGGTCGTTCGAGACCATGGTCTCGAGCGACCTCGAGTACGACCTCCAACGGTCTCGTTTTTGACAAGGGATGGAAGGAACAATTTGATTTGATGAATATTTTTGATTTAGTTTGCTGCGAGCAAGTACAGTTTTCAAAACTGGGCAGCGTCAGTGCCGAGATGAGTGGTAAACGTTCCGTGTATCAGTCGTGTGCTTCCTGCACTACCAAAGCATTCTGAACAAGTTCAGGGTAGGTTGGAGTGAAGCCAATGACAAAAGAAACTCAAATCCGCTGTCAAGAACCTGCAGAAAGGAAAATTCATTCTGTGGCAAAAGGTAAAAAGAATATTCTTTATAAAGTTTTGGAAAGCACATTGAAAAAAGAACAAGAGCTGCATTACTGGCCACTTATAATATACGAGAACTAAAACAATTATCCATTGAAACAGCACACAAGCTATTTGATCTAAAAATTTCCCCAATTGCGTCCTACGGCATTGAAGAAATATGGCCTTTCCTAACAAAGACTGATTTTGAAAATCTTGAAAAAGTCAAAACAAGATATTTAAAAAGAGTTTTAGGACTGTCCAAGTATATTAGATCTAGATTTGTGTATGAATTAGTTGACACTGATCTCTTTGTATCGGACTTACAGGTAAAATATTCTCTAACTGAAACTGAAGCATTCCAGAAATTTTGTGTGTCTAAATATTTAAACAAACTTGAGATATGTGATGAGTTCTACGAGACAGAAACTTTGAAGAATAAAAATTGGCAATGTGCAATGTTCAGTGATCGCCAAGTGTTTACGAGATTTGCCTGTCACGGGTACCACTACTTATTTTGTAAGAATAAAAATTTTCATTCTCAAGCGACAATAGATTGTGAATGCAAGCACTGCGGTAAGAAATGTTCACAATATCATATTCTTGAATGTAATGAACGAAAACTAAGCCTAAGAGAGGCTGCAAAAATCAGAATTAACTAATTTTGTACTTTGTAATAATTATAGAAACAAGCTTAATTGTAAAACTAATTTTAGGAAGACAAATTAGCTTTAGACACCTGTTGTACACCTAGTTGTGTTCAATAAATACTCTATCTTTATAAAGTTTAAATTTTTATAATTTTTGTATTATTGGCAGATTGCGGCTCAATTCCCTGGCAAGAGTGTGAAGCAGGTGGCCCAGCGTCTGGACCCCAAGATCAAATCGGGCGGCTTCACCGAAAGGGACGACATGATCATCACGGCTGCTCGGAGCCAAAAAATGACTCAGGCAAACCTGATGCCAGGTCGAACCGAGAGCCAGATCAGAATTAGATACGCCAAGCCAAAGAGTTCCTTGGATTCCGTAATTTAAACGAGCTATTAGAATTTTCTATTATTCTTTGCAATCTTTGTTTGAAAGTGAGGAAGCCCAGAAACTGCTGGCCTTGGTCAAGCAGTTCAAAAGCAGCAGAGACCAATGGTCGATCTTCAACGAGTACTTTCCAGACAGGGACAGGCAGCAGCTCAAGGGCAGGCACAAGAGGCTGCTCAATGATATGCTGCTGGGGTAAATTGAACCTACGATTATAAAAAACAATTTATTATTTATGCATTTTTCATCATTTCAGATCAAAACCACTCTGCCTCGCAAGGGGAAAAGGTCAATCTGGGTGCTGAAGAACAAAAAAATATCTTCTCCAGGAGGAACGACAATTAGATTTATTTTCTTGAACAAATATTTGTGTAGATTTTCAAAGCCAGGAATGTGGTCAAGTTTGCCTCCGATGCCCAGAAGGCTGGAAGAGTCGGTCGGAAGGGAAAGAAGAAAGACGCACTGGACTTGGAGTTGGACCAGGTCTTTCGAAGCCACTACCCCCAGCCAAAAGGAAGAAAGAGGAGTGCGTATTTATTAAAATTATTTGAATTTTTTGTTCAAATGTGGATGGTACCATTTTAAAGTACCATCCGAATGCCGCAGACCCTGCAACTGTGGACGTCGCTCGGAAATTGTGTGAGACTTTCGGTGTGCACTTTGATTGGAGTTGCGAGCAGCGGCTGGTCAAGGCCGCAGCCACTGACCCCGACTACTACAGCATCCTCAACGTGTACCGCCAGCTGCGGATGCTGCACTATGAAGAGGGCTGGGACTGTGGCAAGAAGCACGTCACTCAATTGATTCCTCCGAACGTCTCATCTCTGATCAGACTGCGCACTTTGCTACTGGAAGAGCGCAACATTTTGGCCATGAGCCTGGAGGATCTGAGCGAGGTGCCGACCTACCTCAAGGGAGTTTTCACCAGGGCTGACTTGACCTGGAACCAACCTGATGAGGATTACAATGAAGGTCTGTTTTCACTTCTCCGCAAATCTTTTTCAATTTTTTATTTTATTCTTTAGTTGACGAAGACGCTCATCCTCAGCAGAACGACGAAGGCTCTCGTGAATCGCCCCGAATCACTCCTCAAGAAGCTCTGTCCCTTTTCAAGCAGAGGTTTTTCTCGCTGCTGCTCTGGCCAAGCTACATGTCTCGCTTTGCGTAAGTCTTAAAATGTCTTTTAGACCAAATTGATGAAATATGGATTAAATTGGTCCTTCGCTGGACTACAAACAGGACTTGTTTGAGGGTGAAAGGATGGCTTGTGCCAGTTCCAATGAAGACGAGGACGAAGTGGACAACGTGTTCCTCGACTTTGACACTGACGAGGAGGACAAAGTAAAGAAACCCTGCAATGAAATGTGAGTTTCACTTCTGTAAATGGAAAAAAAGTAACGAGTTCTTTATTTTATCGCAGGGAAAGTGAGGAGAGGAAGCAGATGCTGAGGAAGCAGTGGCTGCAGTACAGAGAGCAGAAACTGAGTCAGCCAGTGCTGGAGGAAAAAGAGGTGCCTGAAGTGCTCAAGAAGAAGCGGTGTCTGCCCAAGAAGAGGGGAGGGAAGAAAGATGGAAGCAGAAAATTGGCTGCAGAGCCACATCGGGAACAACTTTTTGCTCCATACAATGCAATGGACTTTAAATTTAGCTTATCTGATTATCTCCCTAAAGCTGAAGTTTATTTTATAATCTTTTTTTTATAATACTTGTACAATACTATTTTTTTTAAAGAAATTTTGTAAAATTAGCAATAAAAACTGCACTGAGAATATTCAGGAATATATTAAACCCTCTCGTACGTTTTATTTGTCAAACGAATTAATTATGTGATATATAAGATGAAATGGCTTTTGAGTTGGTACAATCAATATATCTACGACCCAAAGTTTGAATGACGACGAAATGGTCTCTTCAGGCAGCATGGGCAAAGGGGGTTCGGCCTTGTATTTCCACCTCATTTCATACCTTCCCTGGTGCATCGTCCTTTCGATTCTGCTCTTGCAAAATTCTAAAGAAGTTCGAAAATAAAATAAGAATGCACAAAGCTGAAAATTTCTTGATACCATCAGGCAGCGAAGCGATCTGACTAAGCTTATGACATTGTCCTTCAGACTATACTGCACGTCCTGATGAGGCTCCTCTTTTTCGTTGAAAACTTTCCGAAGCTCGTCTCTGTACGTGTGGTAAGAGTCACATTGGTCTCAGGTGAAGAAGTGGGTCAGAGTGCTTCTGAACCTCTTGCTTTTTTTCTTGCCACCCCACTTTCGACCAAAATGTCAAAGAGGATGGCTTCGGACACAACGTTGAACTTGAAATCTTCTTAGGAATAAATTTCTCCTACAATTCACTAATATTATTTCCTGACTCCTTAGCAGCTCCCTTTGATTTGCACCACAATCGTTAAGTAAAACTTTCCCTCTGCAAAACACATTTCATAAATGTGACGTCTCTAAGATAAAAGATCTCATCATGGCTGAAAGGGTCTCCACCAGAGCCAAAATTTACATCAACAACATGATAGTTTATAACGGCGGTTTATTTGCCATAGAATATATTACTATTATTTAATATCAAATAATAAAATAATTGAAATTGATTTAATTGAAAAAAAAATGACCCTTCCTTAATTTGGTCAGAGAGGGAGCAAAAAAATAATTAAACGTGTTGAGGATAGAGAGATGTGCAGCCACATATATTTACATCATCTCGCAACGTACAGACCATACAATTTAATGGATCATTACCATTTTACAGATTCTGAGATTATTTATAATTTTATTCACTGAAGGCGCAGACTGAAGGTTACAAAGACCAAAGAAAAAAATGTTCATTTCTGCTGAGGGTTAAAAGAGAACGTCTTGGGCAATAGCATTTCTGTGTAGCTTTCGGTCTCCAAAGAAACTAGCCAGCACCAGACCAATCAACTTTTTGCAATGAATAATAGAAACAAATTTTGTGATTTTTTCCGACCTTTTGAGCAGATTGGCCATGAAGGCATTGTGAGTTTTAACATCAGAGGGAGACTGCAGAATGAACTGTGAGCCAAAAGCAGTCAAATTTTCAAGGGCGAGGTGCGACTCAAGAGGCCCTGGAGGAGAGAACACTAACCCATCCAAGCAAACTACTTTTAAACTCGGAGTACATAAAATGTCCCAGTAAACCATTTTAGTGTATCCACACTCAATGCAGAATTTCTCCAGCCTAAGTGGCTGCACCAGTTTGTGAGGCTCAGGTGGTGGCAATCTGCCCATCACGGCAATGAGCTCGATCAAGTTCGGACACTCTGAAAGCACCGTATACACGTCCAAGTACCTGCTTAGGCCGCGCAAAGTGAGTACCTCCAGTTGAGGGCCGACCTTTTCTAAGACGGGGAGAGTGAGATCGTCCTCGTCGTACCCAAAGACGTGGAGGGCTGTTAAGTGAGGCATTTGCTTCAGAAGATCCCCACTAAGCCTGGCCTCAAGTTTGAGATTATAGTTGACATGCACGCTTTTCAGATTCGGAAGCAATCTTGGCATCCTTTCCAAGCTACGCATGAGAAAATTACTTTTAGTTGACTTAATTTAATATAAAAATGCAATTTACCTGTGCGCGCTGCCTCCAATGCTACACGCTGTTACTAAACCTCGGACATTTCTCACATTGGTCAACCTTAGAAGGGGCCTCTCGATGGCTTCACTTTGGGAGGATTTCCTTTTAACGGGATAATCTGTAACACAATTAATAAATCTACTGCAATTTAAATCCCAGCACTCATTGTATTGTTTATCCCCTTCAACCCAAATGAAATTCAATGTTTTTGCTTTACTGAGCAATTAAGAAACTGAATCATAGATTCATAAATTCATTTGTCTATTATTAACAATTTTACCAACCACTAATGGACAGGTCCCAGACCATTTTCAACCAAGGCAACTTCACAAAGGCCTTCTGAATGTGTGGTCCTAGTGGGATTTCCTGGTGGAAATCATTCCCAATGTAAAGCTCCTCCAAGTAGCCCAAATGCGCCAAAGACCTCAGCCCTGTTTCAGTAAAGTCTGGAGAAATCTGCATGCGGAGAGTTCGAAGCTTGGGGCAGTTTTTGACGATGGACCGGATTTCCTCTAAAGTGACGCTATACATTAGAATGAAAGTCCAGAGATTTATTTGAACACACATACTGTCTGAAAGGGTGCACATGGTGCAGTCAAGGTGCACAAGCTCGCTCAACTGTGAAGTGTATTTGACAATTTTGTGGCTGTTGAGTGGAGTTCCGTGCTCAACAACGCCGGTATGTTTTATAGTCAGTAAATCAGGTGCCGCTAGAGCTAAATGTTTCCAGAACCGTTCCTTAGCTCTATCACTATATGGTTTCAACAGTTTGTAATCGAACTCTTTCAGTTCTTTGTTGACTAACTGCCTCAATGTTGCAACTGGTGGAGCCTCCAAGACTTTGATATCCTGTATCTGTAAAAATACAATTTCTGTCTCAATTTGCTTTTTTAATTCCATATTGAATAATTTATTGCATTAAGCACAAATGAAAGATTGGTGGATACATATTATGCATTTTACACACCTGCAGCTCATCTCGACTTGTGACGCAGGGTGGCATCACTGTTGGGCACCTACTGAACTCGTCACCGTAGTCTGGGACGCAGAGGTTCAAAATCTCTCTCATCATTTCTGTTTTCAGATCATCACCTGAAAAATGGAAATACTCAAATATTTACATGGTTTAATTAGACTTATATGTTAATTGATGAAATATGCCATGTGGATTATTTAGAATTCTTATCTTAATGCACAAAATGCAGTTCATTTTGGTAATCCAAAAAATAGAATGTAACATTATCACGTCACATAACTGAAATACAAATTGAATTTAAATAATCTTACATACCTAATAAATGCAGGTTAACTGGAACCTCCTCCGACTCTACGAGCAGCAACACAGCTGCTTTCAGTGCCAAAGACTTTAAAGTTGTATCAATGGTTCTTAGCAACGATTCCTTGCGTGCCAACATAACTAGCTCTCTTGTGCTTTGACATTGAAGCACGACAGCTATATAGATATAAACATCCAAGTTATTAATATGTATTTAAATAAAATTGATTCAATTTCACTCAGCAAATAATTGAGAGAGAGTTGGAGAATTAATAAGAAAAAAGCTTTTTATATTTTTGATTTTTGTGAACTAAAAATGGATATTTATTTTGTTGAAAATGCAGCTATAGCTAGCTATAGAACTTTTAAATTAATAACATAAAAAACCTTCAAATTCCTTTTGGGTTATACCCCACTTTTGACTCGTCATTTTTAACCGGAGCTATAGCAGCTGAACGTCCAGGCAGCAGGTGGAAATCGACTTTTGACCAATAAGCTTCACACGTTGTCGTAGTGCGGATATGAACACTGAGTGTGCAGCTGCAGCCAGTGTTTTAGAAGAGAACCAAAGACGGGAAACGTCAAAAGGGCCGCCCAAGCAGGGTGCCTGAAACCGAAATGGCGCAAAGTAGAGAGTCTCATCTCAACGATTCATGAATTCAAATGCATTTTCTAATCAAGGAGATTGGGAGTGAACATCTGGGTTTAAGATTAAAAATAAAATTTCTTAATTATGGCAATTAAGTGCATCTCGCACAGCGAAACGCCAAAACAACATCCAGGCAGGCTCAAAGGTAAAAAACCAAAAAAACAGCAGTTTTTTATAGGAAATTTCTGGACTCGATTCGCGTGCTCGCGATCGTTTCCTTGCAGGGCGAAAACGGGGTTCCTTGTGGGCTTGGATCATTTTTAAAGGGTAATTTGGACGGATAGATATAATTTTACTCTACCAAACTGATTTTCACCTGTACAATTCATCCTCGGCGTGGACCTAGGCCAGTCACCTTCGCCTCTCAAACACAGGTTTGACCGGTTCGACCACAGATAAGGGAATAAAGGTTCGACGACCGACGACTCCGACGTGTTTTAGAAAACAAAACACGGGAGCGGTTCAGGGATGGCCGGCAGATGGCTCTACGGTTGTCATTCCTCTCAAACCCAGCCTTGTTGAACCCAGCCAGCACCACCGGCGGCCCGCGAAATAACTTTTTATGAAGTGGAGTGGTGTGTGGAATAAAAATAAATAATTTATTCCTCTCTTAATTACTTTCATTTTAACTGTGGCTGTGGCACCGCCACTGTCATCGTAGAACTTCAAGAACTTCTTTTTTGGTTTTTCCCTTTCAATAGTGTTTTTATTCAATTAATTTTTCGGCTTTACAATTAAATTCATTTTTCAAGGGTTTCATTTTAATTGTTCTCTTTAAATTTCTGGCACTTGTTTTCAATTAATTCCTTACACAATAATTTTAGATAGATAGAGTATTTATTAATGAACACAACTAGGTGTACAACGGCGGGTGTCTAAGGCCAATTTGTCTTCCTAAAATAAGTTTAACAATTAGGCATGTCCTCAGATAATTGTTAAGTGTGGGTGTGTTTTTTTTTTCTGTTAAAATTAGTGTAGAGTAGTGTTTTGTTTGTGTTGTAAAGTGTAAAGCAGTTTCAGGGGTTAATTTTTAAGAGGTTTTTACGTGGATTTACTGAAACTGTGCGAGAAACACTTGGCTTTAAAGAATGGAATATACAAACCAAAATTTTGACTTTTAATTGAGAAATTAATTTTTAAAAGTGCCTCAAAAATTAATATTTTTGAGTCACAAAAAATCAAAATTTCAATTAAAACTCGGAAAATTAGGGTAAACAGAGCAACATAACTGGTCTGGATCGCGATTTCGCCCAATTCCATCTACACAGCTGCCGCAGTCTTAGTTCGTGAGTGCGGAGGTGCAGTCGAAACATTCAGGTCTGCTGATGAGCCCTGGAATTGGGCGAAATCGCGATCCAGACCAGTTATGTTGCTCTGTTTACCCTAATTTTCCGAGTTTTAATTGAAATTTTGATTTTTTGTGACTCAAAAATATTAATTTTTGAGGCACTTTTAAAAATTAATTTCTCAATTAAAAGTCAAAATTTTGGTTTGTATATTCCATTCTTTAAAGCCAAGTGTTTCTCGCACAGTTTCAGTAAATCCACGTAAAAACCTCTTAAAAATTAGGCATGTTTTTAAATTTACAAAGTACAAAGTTAGTTAATTTTGATTTGTCTTCCTAAAATTAATTTTACAATTAGGAATGTTTCGATAATTTTTTCGAAGTACAAAATTAGTTAATTTTGATTTTTGCAGCCTCTCTTAGGCTTAGTTTTCGTTCATTACATTCTAGAATATGATATTGTGAACATTTATTGCCGCAGTGCTTGCATTCCCAATCTATTATCGCTTGAGAGTGGAAAATGTTATTCTTACAAAATAAGTAGTGGTACCCGTGACAGGCAAATCTCGTAAACACTTGGCGATCACTGAACATTGCACATTGCCAATTTTTATTCTTCAAAGTTTCTGTCTCGTAGAACTCATCACATATCTCAAGTTTGTTTAAATATTTAGACACACAAAATTTCTGGAATGCTTCAGTTTCAGTTAGAGAATATTTTACCTGTAAGTCCGATACAAAGAGATCAGTGTCAACTAATTCATACACAAATCTAGATCTAATATACTTGGACAGTCCTAAAACTCTTTTTAAATATCTTGTTTTGACTTTTTCAAGATTTTCAAAATCAGTCTTTGTTAGGAAAGGCCATATTTCTTCAATGCCGTAGGACGCAATTGGGGAAATTTTTAGATCAAATAGCTTATGCGCTGTTTCGATGGATAATTGTTTTAGTTCTCTAATGTTTAATGTTATAAGTGGACAGGGGCTAAATAGTATTAATCATTGAACACTTAAAACTAGTGAAGAGCGGAGCTGGAGCCGAGCGGCGCCTTAATTTGCAGACTGGAGTTTGAGATTTAATTGGCTTCTCTCGATGTCCCTTCTGGCCCCATGTGCATTTCATCCCCCATGTGACTTCAAACTTATCTCTTAATATCTCTTTAATCCTTTAAATAAATAGCCCAAGCACTCCTTAAATGGCTTGGACTAAAGTTACTTTAATTTATTATGACTCTAGTTTTGACTAGGTTTGAGTTATTAATTAAAAGCAATTAATTAAAGTTAAAGTTATTATTAAATATAAGAGGAACAAAATACATAATATGGCCAGATTAGGATTCGAAAAAGCTAGTCTGAACTTACTAAGACTGAGGAAACGGAGGAAAACCAATAATTACCGATTGATTGGGAATTAAGTAAAACGTGGTCGCCATTGGCAAAACGGGTTGGAATAGGACAGGGTGTTGTCTGCGTTTCGGGCGTCGCTCGTCTGAGGCTTTCAGGCACGGAGAGCCGGCTCCAAGGCTCGACCGTGGGTCTGATTGGGCCCTGAGGTTGCGCGCGCCGATCGGTCTTCTCAGGTTGGCTGAAGGGTCCGCGCCATCAGGGAAAGGTCAGCGGGAGATTTGGAAAAGCGCGCGCGAGGCTTGCTCGGAATGAAGTTAAGTTTCCTCAATAGAAAAGCTATGGCCATGTCTAACCTTACTCGCAGAGACATTTAATATACAACAGTTATTATTCGGTTCGACAATTATTCGCGGGTATGTGTGCCACCACATGCAGCTCTCGTTCTTTTTTCAATGTGCTTTCCAAAAGAGATTCCTGATGGTTGAAAAGTAACTCCTAAATATGAGTTTATATTAAATTTCAAAGTAACTTTAAATTTACACAAATTAATTCATAATAAATTCAATTGGAATTCATTGCACTTGTAGAATTCATGGGATTTCTGATTTCTTTGCAATTCAAGGGAATTTATTAAGGCATTTTAAAATTCAGGTGCAAAAAATACACCCATTTGATTTACACTGAGAACTTTCTATGCATCTAGAAAGTTCTCAATGTAAATCAAATGGGTGGGTGGTTTTCGCATGACCCTCCCAGGGCTGCGACCTGCGCTATAAAAAGGCGCTCCGTCCGCTGGCTCGATGCAGAAGGCTGACAGACCTCAGAGAAATCCGAGGTAAAGCTCCGACACTCGAGCCAGCTGACGGAGAGCATTCAACCCTTTGCTCTTTGTTCGCAGGACACCTGGATCCCTTCGCAGTCTTCACACCCGTCCGAGCTGTCCGAAGGCCCCGACCGCTGTCTTGTCCCGACGCTGGCTCGTCCGAGGACGACCGGAAGGCCGACCGCGTCCCGAGCCCCTCGAGTGACACATCCGTGTCCCACTCGTCCTTGCCAGGGGTGCGGCTGAGCCGTCCGAAGCCGTGCGGAGCGCCGCCGACCTGCAGGGAGCCGCCGAGTTCCCAGCGAGGACGTTTCCAGGCAAGCCTGCCAGCATACCCAGGGAATACCGCTCCATTTGTTAAATCAAGAGAAACTTCGACGAACAATTATCGAGTAGTGAAATTTACCCATTCCGCCAGAATTGCTGTAAACAAATAAAGCCCGTGTGTAAGCCGACCTGACTTGTTAAAACAAATACCCCCTAAACAATAGAAATAGTTCAAACGGAGTAAATAATTAAAACAATTGAAAACAGAATATTTGTTTAGTCAGTATATTCGTAATATGCTAACCCCTTACTTGCAACTTCCTAATATTATTTGGTTTGCAATAAACTAAATTTGTAATACCAGTACTCAAAAGCGTTTAATAAAAGCATTAATAATATATATTATTGCCCTTATCCCTGAGATTGAGGGTTCGATTCCCACTCCAGATGGATTTTTCTCCGGGGAACCTGCACTCTCACTATTTCTCACACTGGGACCGTGAGTGAAGGGTTGTTCTTTGCTGAAGTCGGCCAGGGGCGCAGGATTTCGTTTAGAGAAGGGTGCGATTTGCAACCCAGTTGAACGAATAAACTATTTATATATACAAATCCTTTAAGATAGAGCTTTTGTCATGAATATGTTGCCTGATCAATGGCGACAAAATATAGTTATTTTAAAGATTGTGCTAAAAAATAAAGCGGCGAGCGCTCTAAACAGGAACTAGAGAAGCGGGAAGACTGAACGATAGACCTGAATTTTAAAAGCGCCGTTTCTTATAAATAAATTTAGAGCTCGCAAGTCAGAAGTAGTTGGAAAAATATAGTTATTTTGAGGATTGTGTTAAAAAATAAAGCGGCCAGCGCTCTAAACAGGAACTAGAGAAGCGGGAAGACTGAACGATAGACCTGAATTTTAAAAGCGCCGTTTCTTATAAATAAATTTAGAGCTCGCAAGTCAGAAATAGTTGGAAAAATATAGTTATTTTAAGGATTGTGTTAAAAAATAAAGCGGCGGGCGCTCTAAACAGGAACTAGAGAAGCGGGAAGACTAAACGATAGACCTGAATTTTAAAAGCGCCGTTTCTTATAAATAAATTTAGAGCTCGAAAGTCAGAAATAGTTGGAAAAATATAGTTATTTTAAGGATTGTGTTAAAAAATAAAGCGGCCAGCGCTCTAAACAGGAACTAGAGAAGCGGGAAGACTGAACGATAGACCTGAATTTTAAAAGCGCCGTTTCTTATTAAAATATTTAGAGCTCGAAAGTCAGAAATAGTTGGAAAAATATAGTTATTTTAAGGATTGTGTTAAAAAATAAAGCGGCGAGCGCTCTAAACAGGAACTAGAGAAGCGGGAAGACTAAACGATAGACCTGAATTTTAAAAGCGCCGTTTCTTATTAAAATATTTAGAGCTCGAAAGTCAGAAATAGTTGGAAAAATATAGTTATTTTAAGGATTGTGTTAAAAAATAAAGCGGCGAGCGCTCTAAACAGGAACTAGAGAAGCGGGAAGACTAAACGATAGACCTGAATTTTAAAAGCGCCGTTTCTTATTAAAATATTTAGAGCTCGAAAGTCAGAAATAGTTGGAAAAATATAGTTATTTTAAGGATTGTGTTAAAAAATAAAGCGGCGAGCGCTCTAAACAGCAACAAGAGAAGCGGGAAGACTAAACGATAGACCTGAATTTTAAAAGCGCCGTTTCTTATTAAAATATTTAGAGC